AACCCAACTGTATGCAATGTATATATATATTTTTGTCCATGTGTTGTATATATTTTTATAATAACTCTTTTTTTTTTGCTTGCTATTTCTTTTTTCCTTTTGCTTAAATTGTGTAATACGTGTTACGATAGGAGAAAGAATTTTTTTTTTCTTTCTTTCTAAAGATTCCACGCAAGGGTTGTTGGGAAATCCAAGTGTGAAAAAAAGCAATGCACTTTATCTCTTTCAAAAGCGATGTCTTCTTTATTTCTTTTACATCTTTGCTTATAGATATTTTCTTTTTCCTGGGATCCAAAAAGTACAAATGTATTTCCATTTTAATCTTTCCCGTTTTAAACAGTTACACCTAAACATGTTTGAACCATTCCACTTTTTCTTCTTAAAAGAGCGAATTACACTAGAGTAAATATAAAAAAATCAGATAATTGTGTATCCGATCAACCCGCTTCTTATAACAAGATCAGATAATCATACTTTTTTTCTTTTTTTTTCTTCTTTTATTCTTTATTATAAATGAATACAACAGAAAAGCAAGAAACGAATTCAGAAAAAGTAGCCATTGAGTCAATAGACAATGAGAAACAAAAGCAGACTTATGGAGGCGACACTGCCCTTGCCAATGCTCCCTGGAAGTTTAAGATCATTGCCCTTGTCACGGCTTTGTTATTTCCTTGTAAGATCACGATATACAATAGTTTACCTAACTAACATATCATCTCAGTGGGATCACACTTTTCTGCTAGTGCTTTATCAGCCATGAAAAGATCCATTGTGAAGGTAAACAAGCATTCATTTTTTTTATATGGATGGTCTTTTAATAAGTTAAACTATAGGAATTAGCCATTTCTAATACGAAATATGGTGTTATTTCTGCCTCTGTCTCAATTATCAATACAATTTTCCCTATTGCAGGCGGTATCTTCATTGACATGTTTGGTTCTGTCTGGGGTACCTTGGCAATTAACTGTATGATCATTCTTGGTTCTCTCTTGACCGCCCTTGCTGCCAAATACAAATCTTACGCTCTCATGGTCGTTGCTCGTGTGGTCTTTGGTATTGGTAGTGGTTTGATTGTGACCATGCAAGAATCTCTACTGTCCAAATGGTTCCGTACAAAGCATTTATCTATTGCTATTGGTCTTCAGCTATCCATTAGTCGTCTCTCGACCTTTTTGGGTACACTCGTTGCGAACCCAGTCGCTTCTGCCACAGGTGACTGGGTCTGGGCTTTCTGGCTTTCATTCATCCTTTGTGGCTTCTCCATCATCATGAACTTAATCTATGCCCTTGTCGTGCGTCACCTTAGGGGTCAAGTAACCCTAACAAAGGAAGAACGTGAAGCTTTGAAGCAAAAGAAAACATTCAAATGGCGTTCCATCTTCAAGTTCCCTACCATCTTCTGGCACATCATCTTGATCGAATTCATCTACGCTGCCGTCTGGTCCTCTTTCCAAACCATCTCTACCGACTTGGTCATCATGCACTTTGGTAGCGACAAAGTCTTGGCTGGTTACAAGGCAAGTGCATCTCAAGTCGTGCCTATTGTCGCCACTCCTATCCTTGGCTTCATCATGGACTATTATGGTTGTCGTGTTCTCATCCTATTGCTTTCTGCCGTCTTCTTGATCCTCAGTTCAGGTTTGCTTGGCTGGAGTTACGTGGATGCTACCGTCGGCATGGTCTTCTACTCCATATCCTTGGCCTTTGGTCCTATTGCCATGATTACCTCTATTGGTATGGTCTTGCCCTCTGAATATATCGGTACTGGTCTGGGAATCTACAAGAGTGCCAATAACGTAGGCACCTCGATTTTGGATGTGGTCGTAGGTGTCGTTCAAGACAAGACTGCCAATCAGAGCTACGTCAATGTCATGCTCGTCTTCATCATCCTTGCTGCTATTGGGTTCGTCTTGATTATCGCCCTCTGGGCTAATCAGTTCAAGTTTTACGGTAACTTGCTCGAAGTCAGACGTACCATTCGTACGATGCGTATGCAAGAAATTAACGACAAAGAACTCGAATATACCTCCAAGGGCATGGACCCTTACACCGATACACCTACCAGATGGACAAGTTATCCTATCGTTGGTTCCTTTGTTGCCGCTCTTTTAGTTGCCTGGGTCTTATTCTTTGTTTATTCCATACATGAATCCAGCGCTTAGAAAAAGGGAAAAGAAGAAAAAGTTTTTTATTCATAATAATCATATACTACTACTACTTATTACTATTATTATTATTCTACAAGTGTGATTGAAATGCTAATAAACATATAATGCTAGAATGATTTTTTGTTTTTCATGTACGATATATCGTCGTCTTATTGAAGGCTAGGCAGGTTCCAAGTGGAAGCAGAGGGTAAGGAAATATCTGTTGATGGTAGATGGACTAGTCGAGGATGAGGATGTGTTGGGATGTTCGTGTCTGTATGGTTTATTCTACAAATTGTATAATATCTTTCAATATCAATAAAGAACTTCTTTTCGCAATGATTAATTATTTCGAGGATTCTATCTGCTTCATCCAAATCATAAGTTACACCCAAACATAACTCCTTTAGGCGCGATAGTCTCGATAATAACTGATGAATAGAGTCCGATGTGAGAAGGTCAAGTCCACTGACATTCAATGTTTCAAGTTGGAGGTCATTGTCGTTCAGCAAAAAAGCGTGATCAGTGAGTAATCGACAGCCCGATACGTCCACGTGTCTTAAAGAGGGACAGTGAGAAAGGAAGAGCTATACATATCGTACAGAAAATCGATGAATGCTCAAGACAGACGTATTCCTTTATTTATTTTTACCTGCATTGCTTGATTGGTCACGCCTGTCTGGTAAGCAAGTAGTAGCGTCTCTAGTGATGTACATTCTATGGCCAATCGAAAGAATCCATCGCTACTATTCACTTGATTACATTCGCTCATATCGAAATAGACAAGCGACTTGCTTGAATCTGCAATTAATCGTAAATGATGAGATGTCAACTGACTGATATCACGCATACGGAGGTGTGTCAGTTGTGGTGCTTTCCTAAAATACCTTGTCAGGGCAGTACTCGACAATGACGTACAGTGCTCGAGACCAAGGTCGGTGAGGTGAAGACATTGTCCAATGGCATCCAAGATGGCGTCGTTTATATCTGTCAATCGGATACATTGTAAAGTACTTGAGTGCCGTTGAATGATATCGACCATCATTTGAGCATCCATCTTCCCGCAGCCATAAAGAACAAGTGATTCTAGTTGATTCGGTGACATGTGCAAAAGAGGTTTTATTGCATCACTCGATAAACAGTAACATTGAGACAGATTAAGCGAGCGTAAATAACGACTAGAGGCAGCAATCATAGGATAGACGATATAGTCTTGCGTGGCTGCATTGGAAAATTCAAGTTCCCTCAGGTGAGGAAACAAAAAGGATTTGAAAAAGAGTCGCTCTAAGCTATGTTCTTCTCGTGCTGACCATTTAAATTTCCAAACAAGTTTATTATACGCCGTATTATTATCCAATGTGTTTTTAATTTTACGTAACGTTCGAAGTGAAGTTGGATTTAGCGTTCGCCAGAGCCTCTCAGATGCAAATCGATAAAACACTCTACAAGTCAATGCTAGACTAAAGAGGTCCTTAGTATCTACAAAGCTACATAGAATACTGGCAATTTCAGCTATTAAAAGTGGATGATTATCGTATTGCATTGTAAAAATAATAAAAAAGAGGGACAAAAAAGGGATAAATTACCAAGTTCCCACAAATTTATTTATTTTTGTTTACACTTTTTTATTACTGAATACATAGGTTGGACCTTGATCCCATTTTGGCATTGCACTAGGATCTACTTACTAACGTTTGATTTTGCATTAGTGCATAAACAACAATACCGTTACCGCACTTACTACCAACTGTACATCTTTCCAGGTCACCTTTTACCAGTTGACTCAGCACATGATGCTTGCCAAACATGTAGAGAACAAGTTGTAGTCACGCGTCGTAGACATCGAGCTCGGCGAGACAAAGGAAACGAAGTCTCCATCAGGTACAGAGACAGAAAGTGATGCAGACCTCGTTGCATAAATTTCGCAGCTTTTTCCCCTTCGCCTATTGAACATTGAACGCATGGACAGGGAATATTCCCATTGCCACGCCCTTCAGAAAGGAATGAAAATCTGGACTTCGAGATTATAAGAAACTTTTCAGCTATGCTTGCCCAGTGCAATCCCTTCGCACGTATTTACCGTCATACATACAAGATATTAAGTAACCATGAGAGCTTTAGCATCAGCAATGAGGATACTGTATTTTTATTAATTATTGACGTTGATTTTATAAAACATTGTCATAAAATAAAAGAAAATATTTACGTAAAAAGACGACAAAGAAAAATACGTTTGAATAAAACGACATCATGTCAAAAAGAGAGATAATGAGTATATGTAGAAAAAGAGGGAAAGAGTATGTTAGTATTAGAGCACATATCCTAATATTAGTTTTACTTACCACCAAGGTGCATTCTGGGGAGGGTAGCGATAACTACCCAGGATAGTTTAAACAAAAAAAAAAAAAAAGAACGGAGGACAGAGAAAACCCAGGGCATCAGAAGAGACTATTGGGGAACGTTCCAGATACACGCCAGAGAGCAGAGAGGGCGGGACAAGCGAGTCAGAGCAAGGACCATGAGGACAGGCTAGTTTTGATTGGTGAATCTTTGAACACTCAGAGGGACATTTGATAACTGCTGTAAAGAAGCAAAAAAAGGGCTCTTTTCCAAACAAGCTTCAGGATCGAGCACTTGAGATAAAGAAATCATATCAAATAGAAGCAATCTATATCGTGACCATTCAAGAATATGCATTGCCAAATATGAATAAAGAATTTAAACTTTTACAAGAGACTAAAGAGGACTATTGCTAATATTAAGTTAATTTCAACTCCAAGACAGCCCACCGGTTAATAATACTGTCAAATGGGATAGTGAGCCATATTCTTTTTGTATTTGTAATTACTCAGATAACATTACAATGGTTTCAATACGACATCTAAATTTGGAAAGCACGACATTCAGTCTCATTATTTTTTGAAAATACAGTATATCCATGGATGTCAAGGCTGGTACTAGGAAAATACTCTTGGTGACGACGAATTTACATTTCGTATAGCATGAATTTTGTTCTCACCATTGAGTGCATTTATTTTCGATCACAGGCGAATTTACTTTCCGGAAAGAGTGTATATCTAATAAAGATGACTCTACCGAAAGCGAGACATCCTACATTATCATCAATCCTTTGATGAGAATGAGGCTAATTGAAGAAGGCAATAGATGCACTCACAATTTGCCAACAATGGAAGAATCTGCTGCAGTTATTTCTATTGAGTATAGCGACAGAACCTTCCGTAACATCGTTCTTACCTTGAGAGGAAGCAATAGAAATGATAGTCTTGATCAAGGATGTGATTTTGAGCAAGGCTTTCAATTTATCGACCAGACACATGCTGCATATATATATACGAATAATATATTCTGCTATTTCCTCAGCATACAAGTGGAACTAGAGACTGTGCCTCTCCTCTTCCCTCTTTACCATTACTTCTTTGATCACCGTTCCAGGGGTTTAGTTAATGATTCATGGCCATCTTGTGCCATTTTAATATCCTTATCCATTACTTTTATGAAAATTGCTACTCTGATCGTCAGTTTTTAATAAAAGTGGATCACAATAGGATGTGCAGTGTGTCTAAAACAGAAAGAGTTTTTCATTTCAGGATACAAAACGTATTGCTGAAGAAATCAAACAATGTAACAGGGAGACTGAATGTGTTTATGTTGACGAGTTTTTAACAAGTCAGATTTGTAATAAGTGTACGACCAAGCATATTACCAATATATCTATTGCTGAGAACAAAATGTCCTCAAGTGTGGATCTTGTGGTACGGTGTGGGATCGTGATATGAACAGTGCATTAAATATATACCACATCTTTGTGTACAAATCAAAACATGACAATGAAAGCCCTCTCCCTTTCAAGAGACTAACAGTATTCCCGACTATAATGTACTGTCCATAGCGGCAGTGCATTCCTTAACACCTCGGTAAGTATAAAATGAATAAGACGTTATTTTTTATTCATTCGTCTTCTAGTTACTGAATGATTTTGTCTCTGTATTCCTCAATATTTTCATACGTTAAAATGACTATCATTCAGTGTTAATCTATGTTTCCTTATTCATTTTTTATCTTACCCAAGTCTCGTTTTGTCAAAGGTTTCTTGGTCAAGGGACAAATATTCTTCTTGCCTTCCCAATTTGTTAAGCAGCGTACCCAACTGTCATAACTAAAAACAGCGTGTTATTCATAGTTTCTTTCTTTCTTTCTTTGTTTCTTTATTACCCCATGACATGACCATATTTTGAAATGGCAGGCCTGACTACTTCTTCGAGCGTAATAGGATCCAAAAAGCCAGGTAAAGGATTATCATATTGATTCTCCTCTTCTTCTTCGTCCTCTTCTTCTTCCATGCCTTCATTTTCATTCGGTATATCTTGAATAGGCTCTTGATTACGCGTTCTTCTTGTCGTTCGCATGCTCATTGTGAATGTACCAGAGTCATCGTTATAGTCTTCAAAGTCATCTTCATCGTCATCATCATCGTCGCTTCCCCAGTTTCTTGTTCTTCTTTTCTTTTTCTTTTTCTTATCTGCAACCACGGGTGCTGCTCTAGCTCTTTTTCTTGTTGTGCCTGAAGATGATGTGGGTGACGAGGATGAAGCACCACGACCTGTGCCATGCTTGTTATGTGTTCGAAACGTTTTCTCCACGTTACCATCTGCTGTTTTCTTGTCAAACAAGTAATGTGCCTTGCCCTTTTCATCCAACACGTAATTAGGGTCCTGGATTTCGTTCGTCTCGACGAGTAGACGATAAAAATTGGAGCATTGATAACCAACACGGCCAGGGATTGTCATGGAGAAAATACCCCATTGGCCATTAGCACCGACCTCCTTAAGACGTTTAAAGAACAGCTTGCGCTCTTCAGCGCTCCATTGACCTTTACGCTGAACCTCACCAGGAGCATTGAATCGGTAATAGTAACTGTTTGGGTTTTCATTGATCATAGAGTAAGCACGGATACGAGCTTGAGACCAGCCTTCGAAAGCCTTGTCGAGCTTATCCTGGTTATCTTGGGCTTGACGGATGGCTTCGTCTAAACTAAGACGGCCACACATACGGTATTGTCTGTCTATCTTTTTAATAAACAAGTTCAATCATACAAAAAACTAGACTTACTTTTTAGCGGTATCATTAGTGGTCTTCTTTAAAGTTTCAGAACGTTTCTTTAACAATTGCTTATAAGCCGTCAGTTGCTCTTCACTCATAGCATTACCTATAAAAGAAAGTTTAGTGATCATCTAAATTGCCCTGGATACACATACGAGACACTTCGACTTCGGGCGCATGCTTTGTTGCGATCGTTCTACGAATATCCAAGAGATAATTAGGCTGGGTAAGACGAACGATGACTTCTTCCTATATATAAAGGTGAGTGGTGTGTCTCTACAGTGTTTACATTACCTACCTCGTCGTGACCACAATCGACAAGCATGTCAGATATTTCCTCATCTGTCAAGTGATCATAAACTCCCTTGATCTTTTTCGATTTACGCTTGTATTCTCTCTTTTCAAATTCTTGAAACTGACGTTGTTGAAGCGCAACGCGTTTTTGAATAATGTCCATTTCGGACTCCGTTACTTCTTCACCAAACATGTTCTCCTTGCGCACCTTTTCGATCTTTTCACTGTTCAAAAACACGCGTACTGTTAGTCTCATCAGGCAGGAATATATATGTTTTTTACTTTTCAGCAAGGTCAATCTTGAATGTCGATTCCTCTTCTTCTTCTTGTTCTTTTTCCTTTGTTTCGAGTGCCAATTGACGTAGCTTGTTCTAAAGTAGACATAGACTGATATTAGACAACAACTCTTTATAAGCATAATCTAATATTTACAAGAACAGGACTAACTTGTACAGTCTCTGGAAGCGGTGTTTGCTTCCAATGTAGCTTTTTCATTTGAATCTGATGACCATCTTGATGAAAGAAAGTTAATGGGACACATTTGACATAAAATTTTTTTCTCCTTTTTCTCATTCCAAAATGAATGAATGAAAAAGAAAAAAAACTTTTTGTTTCTCGAGTGGCTTAAACAAGTTAAGCAAACCAAAAAGTTATAGTTTACCTTCTTTAAAGAACTTGGATACTAGTTTTTCTACTTCTGGCGTGCTTTGCTTCTTTGAACGAACCATATCAATAGTATTTGTACAAAAAAATCAAAGGCACCTCAATTTTCGCGTTGGCAAGAAAAAAAATCACGAGGGGTGTATAGGGGTGTGTCTAGGGATATCATGGATTAGGGACGAGACTTTTAACCAATAAAACTAATCCTTATCCATCATTTAAGCTGTATGTGGTATGAATTGAACCCAATGAATGTATATACAAGAAAATGTTTATTATGTACAAATAAATTATTTTTTTGCGCAATTAGTTGTTAAGTGTCATGAACTCATCAAAAAAATCGTTGGGGTCATTCTGAGGTGAGGGACTAGGTGTACAAAGGGTACTATCTGAATACGAAGATGAGCCATCTAAGAAATTGAGCTGATAAAGATCATGATGAGGAAAGTGTCGCTTTGAATGTTTACGCGGTAAAAGATCTGGGACAAACTTGTTGCGATAGAGATCAAGTGTACGCTGAAGCAAGTTCTTTCTGCCTGCCAAATGCTTAGGGTTCAACCATGCCTGTTGTACACGATAGGTTATTAGATTTGCTTTTCCTAATAAATGTGTTTTCATTTTTTACCAATTTCCAAGCGATTTCGTTACACCTTGACTCTTCTATCCATCGAATGCTTCCGTTGGCAGGTGCATGTATGGCTCTCGGAAAAGGGCAATTTGCCTTACGAAACTCATCACTGATATCATCCAAGGATACTGTATCGAGGTTGATCTTGATCCTTATCCTCTGTCCCTGTTCATCCATCATGATTGTTTTAGGCAACGGTTCAATCTGTCTCGACTTTCGTTTTCGTAGTGTGCCATTCATTAACTTTTCTTGACGAGCGACACGACGAGATCGCATACTGGGATATCTATTACGATACGAGTCTACCGCACGCTGAATCAATCCTCGTTTTCCCGCAATCTCCTCTTGATTGAGCCAAGCTAGTTTCCACCCCAAGATGTTGCACTCTGTCTCATACGCCCATCGGTTACCGCTATATTGATCCTTTTGTACGTTGGCTCGAGGATAAATCTAGATATGATTAAATAAACAGAAAAAAGAAAAAAGATAAACCTTACACAGTTTTCATTTTTAAACTTTTCGTCCATGATATCTAAATCTGACACTTGGTGAATATCGATGCGTATTGAGTATCGTTTCACAGTTCGATTATGTGAGCAAACAAATGATATCCATTCAATGCCTTCCTTGAGTTCAACTGAATCCATATGTTTGACAGCTTCCTTTTTAAGTCGTTTTCTCTTTTTTACTTTTAAAAGAGTCTGTTCAATTGACTCAATCTGGTCATAGCTAAGTAACTCTAATAGTGGTTCAGCTTCTGTTGGTAAAGAAATTATGTCTTGCAATGAAAGTGCAATGGGTGAATCAGGTAGGGTGGATGTCATAAATAAAAAAAGAAGAAAAAACCTCTAAGCTCCACCGGAATAAAAAAGAAGAGGAGGAGAACAAAAAAGTTTTATGACGGAGAGAAGACCCTTTCCTATCTCTTTCTTTCTTTATCACACAAATAACACAAAAAGGCTTCCAAAGAATAAAACACGTGGCAAATTAATCGCTAAGCAAATGCAGTTAATTTTGAGCAAGTGTAGACGACAAGACTAGGTTAATTTTAATTAAAAACTTCACTTGCCGTCATGAGGTTTTCTGCAGGGTTAAATGAGGATTTGTATTTCTTATCTTGAACTTTCCTTGCTGCCATGTAAAATGTTCAGAGTAAGAGCCAGTGCTTCTTAACGACGTGAGAATACATCTAAAGCTTAGGGCCCGATTCCAGAGCCTTCTTTGGACGTGGTTGGTCGTCTCGGTCTTCAAACATTTTTGGTTGGTACTAGTTGTATTTGGATGTTGATTCTAAATCATTTGTATGTCATACCTTAAAAGACAGTGACAAACAACGAAGGACCGATAATTTGGTACTAGTTTAAATGTCCCTCAAAGGAGAGTACACACTGGGACACATATTTGATGTCCCGAACCTCCTCTAGTAGCATAACATTGGATCCATGTCTTCTAAGAATACAACCTATTCCTCTAATAAGCTCTTGGATCAGCGCTACGTCTTCTTCTTCTTTTTTTTTTTTTGCTTTCTCAAGTTACGCAGTCGATGTGTGCTATTGATTGTGAAAAGACAGCCCCATTTTCCGAAAAGGCCGTTGAGATAGCTTGGGCAAAAAGCATCAGCAGTTGTTACTTCATCAGCTTCCTCTCTTCTTCAGAATCCATCCTTTCTTCATGATTATAGTAGCTACTTAATTCCTTTGGCGAGTTTAATATGAATCTACCATATCTGATAAGAATAATAATCAATCTGGCAACAATGAATGTATTATAATAACATCAGTGACGACATTATATAGTTTTCAGCTTTTTATAAGGAATCTAATTCGAAAGTTATTGACTTATCTGACCATTTCAAATATAAAACTAAGTACAAAGACATTTTCTAAAAAATGTCCTGACTGACATCGTCTTGAGCGGTTAAGGTCACTGTTCGCTTATAACCCCCTTCAGAAATATGAATTTTGAAAATGCAAACGCGTGATGATGCATTGCATAATGGCTGAATGCAACTCTCTAGCTTCCATATATTCTTAATTCATTATTGCCCTAATGTCTCTAAGCATAATAGCTTATGTTATTTGTTTACCTCTGTAATGTCCTACCATTCTCACTAGTATTTATCACTCTGGTTGTAGTAGGGTTCAAAGCAAAGCGAGAAGGAGGTGGTTATCTGTTTCTTAATAGTTCAATCTATTTACAATTGTTATCAAACAAAGTATATCTTATTACACAGAGCAATAATGCAAAAGATGTAAAGAATACAAAATAGTCATAATAGTTTACAGCTGTCTAGCCTCATTGTTTACATTTGCCCTAAATAGTTCATTTAGGTTAAAAGTTGCTCTTTGTTTATTTCTGCTAATCGCAATAATATTTTAGCTGCTAGCATTTGTATTTTGTCTTCTACAGACGAATGTATGATGTCTACTCTCCACGGTTAACTTTCATCACTCTATAAAAGCCCAATTTCTTTTTACCTTCAAGCCATTCTTTTGTATTGATCAATTCACTCATAAAGTCATTAAATAGCAATGATTCTTGTCTCTTGTAACTCACGTTCAGAATGGTTTCAATGCCTAAGAGTAATGCCTTCTGACACTGAGCAGCTTGATAATATCGCATAGAAAACGCAAATTCAAAATATTCTCTGACAATACGACGTTTATCGGGCGTATTTGCTTTGGAAGTGGGAATGTGGTGAGTCTCAGCCTTATGTTCCTCTATATCAGCAACTTACTTGAACTGTGCATAATGATATTTAAGGTCATGATGAACCTTTCAACTACATTGGGATTATTTCCAATCCAGTACCTATACAGCAAGTAAGTACATAAACATGTACATTTTATATATCATACTTCAATCGGCCTTGGGATCCTTCCCACCATCCGACGAGTAAAGGGAAAAAGAAGACAGGTCCTGCTAGCCCAGCTAGACGATTCTTTTGTGCTTTGGGTCGATTCCTTTCAAGCTCTATTCTTTTAGAAACAAATAACGACACGCCCAGTTGATCTGCTAAGGCATCTATCTGTTTTTCTGCCCCCTTTGTTTTATCTGTAGGCACCCATCCTGCCAACTCTCTTACAGCCAACGCAATCGAGGCTAGTATGGTTTGTACTTGCCCCATATTTGTATTTCGATCATACATTAGATCAATCATGTACCTGATGAGTATAAGCATTATATCAAAACAGAACAATCAGTCACTCTTTACCCTGTAACCACATCTGGTGCACCCACTATTAATGCTTGAAGCGCATCTTGTTGCAACTGTCTAAAGTCCTCAATCTCGTACGTCTCTGGAAAATACACAAGATATTTTGCTAGTTCCTGTCCGCATTCCTCTAATAAATCATTATTACCATCTCTTTGTATGGCCCTCCAAAAACCTCTCATATACTTACTTAGAGCTGTTCCAACTCCTATTGATTTTCGGATAATCGCTTCTGCTTCATTTAACCCATTCCTTAGACTGACCGGGTCTTCTGTATGACGAAGATACCGAACCAAATCTTGTACAAACCTATATGCATGTCGCACACGCCCCTTAGAATCTTTTGTGTATTAAAAATATACATGCTCTTACGCAGGTTTTTTAGACATCTCTTTGGACTCTTGATCACGTCGAAGTCCTTCATCATCCGATTCATCCTCCATGGCATAAGCCTGAAATTCATCATCACCTTGACAGAGAGATAAAGAGTAAGTAATAATGACAAAAAATGAACTACGCTTACTGTCATCTTGTGGGTGATAAGCGGCGTCTGGATCCAATTCCATTTCTTTTTCTTCCTGGTCTGTATTTTCTTGTTCTTCTTCAAAAGAAGCAACAGGTACCACTTGTTTGTTCTGTTCATCATCCTCTAATAGCAATACCCACATGACTTCGATCAGTTTCCTTGTCACATATACATATACGCTTTACCTTCCGTCTTGAATACAACCTGTCTAAGCGCCTGTAACTCCTTATCCTCATCTAATAATCCCATATTCAAAGCATTCTCTTTATCTATTCTACTCGACGTTGCTTCTGCCACAAGAGCTCCTAGTTTGGCTGTTTCTATATCCCCGCTATCCAAGTAGAACGTGACGCTTCGAATGAGTCGGGTATCTGGCATAATATGGTATCTGATGTCGTCATCCTCCAAATAGCTCAAAAGAACCAAAACGCTTGTAGATACATCTATAATAATAAAGTTCAATATTATCACGTTATTCCCTTAAGCTTTTAATTACATCTTTTCTCTCGTAATGATGCATGCTTGATAAAGACTGTATCTGACCAAGCATGAACCACCTGCTTTGTGCATTCAGTCCAATCATTCAAGCCAGCGTGTTTGGCCGTGGCAGTTGCTAGTCTGGCCAGTGTTTGATCTGCTAAACTCCATCTGGCTAGCCGAACGAGGGCACATATAAGAAAGTCCTTGATGCGTGCCTGCTCTTGCGATGTGAACAAAATACATGCGACTTGATGAGCACGGATATGATGAGTGAGCGCATAGTGCAGGATTGATTTGGTAACAGTATCAAACGAGGATAACGTATTGTACATGCGCTCAAAGATGGCTGGGAAGGCGTCTGATGACTGAATGGCGACCGGAATGGTGGATGCAATAACACTATCTATTGAATGTTCACGTCAAGCTTTGGTAGATCAAGACTTTTTTTTTACTAAATACCTTCATACCCTTGTCGTATCATCTTACAGAGTAACTGAGACGTGAATTCAACTGATTGCGATGCATGCTGTGCAGCCAATTTGGTCAACTTTGGATAAAACTGCTTGTCGCTATACCAGGCTTCGCTCTGCTGGTGACCACCAAACGCGTTAACAAGTCGACCAGGAACAGAACAGAGCAAAGTGCAAAACAGGTCAACTTGACCGTGTTCTATCTGGGAAGGATACAACTTATATGCACCCAGTGTGACATGCTTTAGACCAGCTGTATAGGCTTCGAGGGTATCCAAGGGCACTTCTTGGGCAATGCACTCTAATAAAACTGTCAAGCTGGTTTTGGCCATCACAGCGCCGATCTCAGGCCGTTGATCTTGAAGCCACAAGGTCGAGAGTAGCTTTTCTCTATGTGGGCTTAACGAAAAAGTCCAATTAGGCAAGATCGTGTGAAAAAGATGCCACAAGTGTCTTCTCCACGCTTTGTGTTGAACCAGAGCTAATTGTTGTGATGCCGTTAGTGGTGACTCTGTGACTTTAAGCCAGCCAAGAGGTATTTGAATGCATTCAAGGACCTTGTCTAAACTGTCGGCATGTGTCAGTTGATCAAGCTGAGTGATGAACTCTTGTGTGGTGGTCATTAATTCAGTTAAAATGCTAAAATAGAAATAATCATTTTTCCCTCTTTAACAAAATGGACCAAATATATTTACTGAAAATATGTATTTATTGTAGACAAGTACAATAAGCTGTCTCATAGTCATCGTTTCAAAGTTAAGCGCATCAACTTCCCCTTCTTTTGAAACAACTCTTTTTCATTTTAAAGATGCTTCGACATTTTATCAAGCAAAAGTCTAAAAAGTCGAGATATGTCAACATTACTCGTCCTTCATTTAGTTCAAATATTACGCCAAAGTACTTTTTTACTCTTTATCCTGTGTTGAAGAGGGGGTACACAAAGTCATTCATTATAGTTGACATTCTATATTTGTGTAAAGTCTTTGTTTATTCCGGACAATGGTCTTGTAATTCTTTTATTAAATATATTTCCTTTTACTGTGAAAAGAGTTGTCTTCAGGGCATTGTAATCCTATTTTATATAGAAAGAAGAGTGAAACGATGTATGAAAAGAGAAAATGATCTATTTATACATATGACGCATCAATGAAGAAAGAACGACCAAGCTTCTTCGCAAAACGGGTACACGAATCTACTCGTTCAGTGGTTTACACTGTGCCGAAAAGGGCTTGTAGAGTATTTAGGCAACTCTAAATGGGATGTTCCTCCATGGTTCTCTTTACTATCAGATTTTATCCATCCGCTACATTCGCCGAATAATCTTCTTCCCCTGGTTTTGGGGAACTGTAAGTTAAAATCTTAATACGTTACATTCAAATGTTATTCTATTACTATTGGTACCATGTGGCATCCAAATCCCGACATTGGCAACCCCATTCAGTTCAGAGGCTTTATTCTTTAAGAAAATCACTGTTCAAAAAAGAAGATTTATGCAGACATCTTTTTAGATTGTAAACATTATGCTCCCTTCCTGCTGTACATATGCTTGGGTTATTTTATAATTTCACCAAGGATTCACTATATAATATAAATCGTGATCTTCTCACAGTCTATATCTGACAAATATGGGAAAACACTGACAACCACGTTACAATAACATCTTTAGCTAAGCACATGAATCAATAAAACAATAATTTTTTAGGACCTATTCAATATGCGTCCTAAAAAGAGATACAGCTTAACCCTAATAGGTCGTGTTAGCCAACAGTCGAAAAAAAAAACTTATTTCAAATGCCATTGAGGGATTGGTAGCACTTTTGCATTCCCTCCAATCAATGCAAAAAGAACTTTGATACAGAAAAGGAAACCACATCCAGGGCCGGAGCGGAGCCAAATCCTATTGTCATAGGAACGACCGGCAGTAACAACGCTGGCACAAAAACCAAAAGATGGCGAATGTGTGATGCTTTTGGGGTTACTGATGAATATCCTGTCGTCATCGTCACCCAAAATACTTGTCTTTTTTTAGTATAAGAATATATTTTTATTGTATTCTAGGTGGAAATATAAGTCCCGGTTTGAAGGATCTATAGTCATCTCGCCGTATCATTTGTGTACCAATATCATATAAAAAAAATAAAATAGAGAAAAGAACTGTGTGTAACAATGATGTACACAAAAAGTCATGAGAACATATTTCTCCACTTTTTGTAACTTCAAAGGGACCCCATTGAATGTGTGTGTAAGGCTCATGTGACATAATACTCATTTCATATATTTATATAGAGTGCAGATCTCCCCCCTCTTTTGTAAAAAATATATATTACCATAGAAACAGGAACCCCAACCAAATTTAAATTTATAAAAAGGAAATTTATTTTTCTCCGTTCTCCCCTTCTCTCTCTTTTTTTCTTTTCTTTTCTCATTTTTAAATTTATATGCCAACAAATAAAAACAATGAATCCTCAGTCATATCATATCATGAACCTTCTTTACTACCGCAGAATGTAGCGAGTATGGTCACCACAGTGTCGTTAGCTACGCGAGTATCATTAAAATGCTCTTCTTTACTTGTGGATACTATCTTTGGTGCAGCCAAATATGGCACTTCGATGTCCCTTTGTCTTTCCAGGAACGCTATCACTCATGCTATTTCTACTGCAAAGCATTTACATTCAAACGACCAAGACAATCTATTTATAAAAACACTAGAGAAATATACCAATGCAGGATTGGACTGGGTTAGCCATACGTTTTCATTGGCTGAACTTTTGACCATCTCTGGTATCCAGTTTACCTCACGGACGATTCAGTCCACTTTAAAGGTAGAGACTGCGCGTACACCCTAATTGATTTTTGTATTCTATATTTATACATTTTTTTTTTTTTGGCTTAGGCAGCTGAGGAGTCAGTGCGCATATTCGATAATATCTTTGGATCCAATGAAACATCACGCGCAATAGCTTATATCATCACACGTCTCAACAAAGAGTTCCTACATGACCCAGACTTTGATCTAGCTAAAGCAGGCAGAATAGCTGTCCTGACTGGCCTGACCAAGGCGTTAACTGCGTTTGCTGTTCTTCAAAATGTCACTTATAAGCGACGAACCATACCCTCAACCTTATTATGGGAAGCCAACGTGGGCGAAGATCCTGAAGAAAGACAGAGACATGTCCTTCAGTTCAAGCTCAACGAAGATGCCCCCCCATCTTATTATTCCACCTACCATACCCAGCGCCGGTTTTCGATACCGGTTCAATTTTATTGCGACGAAACCAAAAAATGTAATTCCATGCCGATATTATACCCCATTGCACATTTCATCAGATACGCCAGCGCTGCTTACGGAGAATCATTCATGCGTATCCTAGGTATTGGCGATATTCCCGCGACATTACCCAACGACCATCACCCAAACCACCATGCCTTTGCTCATCACACAAACAACTCTGTTCAAGACATCCTGCTATCGACCTACACCGACCCTTCACCCTTTTTGAAAAACTCTGCACTAAACGCACTCGTGCACTACGTCACCGTCGACCATACAGCCAAGGCTATCGTCTTGACCTGTCGAGGTACTCTAGGCCTCAGCGACCTCTTGACCGATCTCAGCTTTGATTATTCCGAATTCACCGTGCCCGCAACCGACCAAGTCTTCATGGCGCACAGCGGCATGCTCAAGGCCGCTCAATTTCTGGCCAAGCAAAAGGGCAAAGTATTCCAAAAGATCCGACAAGGCATGACAATGTATCCCGACTATGGTCTCGTCCTCTGTGGCCACTCCTTGGGCGGAGGTGTTGCCAGTTTGCTCACGGTCCTCTGGAGCCAAAAGAGGGGCGCCAAGTTCACAACATCGTTACAGTCCGGCCTGCCGCCTGGCCGATCCATACACTGCTACGCCTATGGTCCTCCTGGCGTCATGTCGCTCGATCTCAGTCACTATTGCCAGGGACTCGTCACCACCGTCGTACACGGCTACGATTTTGTCAGCTCCCTCAGTTTAGGTCTCCTCCAGGACTTTAAAAACGTTGCGAGGAATCTTCATGCGGAAGAAAATGTGACAGAAGAGATCATATCGAGAGTGATGCAGAGAATGAAAAAGAGCCAAGAAGAAGAACAAGATGATGATGAAGATCAGTGGTTTTGGGCAATGATCAAGACCATGCGTGCTGATATGAATGCAGAGAAGATGTATCCTCCAGGTACTGTCTACCTGATCACAACAGAGAATGGAAAGGTGCGTCTCAGTCGTTGTGATGATGTGCACGCTAGATTTTCGGAAATTGTCTTTTCTCGTACCATGTTTATGGATCATTCACCTTATTTATATGAACAAGCTATTCAGAAACTATATCAAATAAAACTAAAATGATGCAGTATTTTGTCTTTTTCTTTTTCTTTGAGATGATTACTTTCTTTTCATATTTGCTTTGAATAATGTAACTCTTTTCGTCTTGGCACACAAGTAATTCTTTACAGACAAATTTCAATTGAAAACTTGTAAAATAAAACCCAGTCGAAAGTCACAGGGCTCTCCCTATATAAACCTCGCAAGGATCATCAGACCCCTCCCACTCTTTTTTCCCTCTTTCTACCACTTTATTTCACCTAAAAAGCTTTCAAATTCCGAACTTTTTTTTTTCCAATTCCCTTTTTCTTCGTACCCCTTCTTTTTTTTTTTCTTTGTTGTAAATTTGTTATTATTCAGTATATATAAGCGCGTGTTGTCTGCTCCCCCCTTTCCTCTTCTTTCCCCCTTCTTTTACTATTTTTTTGCCCTGATATATATATAAATGGATTTATCTAATATGCTGAATGGCCCATCGAGGCCAAAAGAAAACCACCTGAGACCCACTATGATGGGCAATGATAAAACTGTAACATCAAAAAAAGGAGAGAGAGAAAAACGTTCTAAGCGAGTCACATTAACCCAGATCATTGTATAACTTTAGGCCCTTTATCAATTGAGCGCTTCCTTAAATACCGTTAAAGCGAGAGATCCAAAAAGATTGAATGGATCCTTAAAACGAGACCGAGGTAAATACATGATATATATAAAATGTCTTTTTGTTGTTAACATATAAAAGATACCACTACAGTAACCACCATAACACCGTCACCACAAACATCATCTATTCTCTTTGGAGACCCCCTGCCTCGTATCAAAGAGTGGCGGCCCAAGCTATCACTCAGATCCGTACCTATCCACCAACACAAACGAATTAGACTTGACCCACAGTATACCCAGCCAGAGATTGAACTCGAGACACACGAGATTATGTACCAAGGTTTTGAACCGAGAACGTTATTGCTCGAGCCCAATTATGAGCTGCAACGAGTTCATGCTCGAGGTGTCTTTGTGATGCTGGCTAAAAGAAATATTCAGCCTACATTTATCTTTCGATTACCCGAACATGCTTGGGTCAAAGATTTATCGGGTTTAAGAAAGACAGCATCATTTGAAATGAAGACACAAGAAGGAGAAATCTGGGAACTGCATATCAAACCATCAAGAGATACAGCAGAGTAAGAGAAAAAAAAAGAGAAACGATACATATGAGACTAACCATAGAATAGATATAGAGGCTATATGTTTGGATTTCTAATTCGACAGATAGATATGGTGCGTAATGTGAAAGATTGCGTACATGAATTGGTTCGTCATCGTAAATTACCACTTGTACTTGATTTAGATGATACCCTAGTACGATTAGTGGGTAACGAAAATGGACGATTTGTGCCAGAAGCAGATATACCCAAATGTGAAGATCGTGTGGCTGTCCTTAAGGATGGTAAAAGAGTTGTCTTGACAGAACGTGTGCGTGAATTTCTGGAATGGGCACAACAACTGTTTGATATCTCTGTCTGTTCACTAGGGTAAGACAAATAATAATAATGACAAACAAAAAAAAAGGGCTCATGTGTATGATAGTGACCAAAACTATGTTGAAAATGTAATTGACGTGCTAGATCCTAATCGTGTATGGATCAAGGGTATATTGTATTCTGCTAGAGCCGAGCATGACTATATCCGTACATCTCCCGAACCTGGCAGACCACCTAAAGACCTACAGGCGCTTTACTCATTTTGTGCTCTTCGTGACCAGTCACTCGGTTCAGGATTTTCTCTTCCACTGATACTTGATGACGAAACAAGGATGTGGCCAGCAGAACAGCACGACAATATCATTGAAGTCAAGGGACAATTAAATAGTGAAGTGTGGACTGTATCACTCTTCCCTGTCGTACAAGAAACGTTACTATATGTGCATACAGAGTTCTTTCGCCAATACGATACTTGGTATGCAAGGTCACAAGATGCCGAACATCAAGGCTTAGTTTACCCTAAGCCACCACCCAGTGCGATATCCATCTACAAAACTTACCTAAGGCATATCTTACGAGACATGATTGCTGCAAAGAAATCATAATGTATTATAGCTCTTTACCTTCCTTTTTTGTTTATAGTTGCACAAACTGAATAAATAATCCAATTCTGTCTCTTTTTTTTTGAATCTCTTCTTTTCTTTTCAATGATCTCCATTTTACCATGCAAGGTGAAGTTACTTCATTTCCCTAGATCGCACTTACACCACGTCACCCATGCCATTGTCAAAGCTTGTTTCTTTCAAGACATGAACGAGTAAGTTTAATCGAGCTTTTAAAAGAACATCAAAGATTAACTTGAGCCATAGCCTAAATTATTTTTTTTCATTCACAGAAAATGCTTTTGAGATATCCATTGTAGCCAATAAACAGGTGATCGATCAAGACTTTATTCCACCACTGACCATGACACAATGTCATGATATGAAGTATTCAAATGACATTTACCGAGTACTGCAGGTGGATGATGAGGGTGGACAAGGTAAGGTATACACTTTGACTCATGTGCGGAAATTGAATTATTGTATTGTTGTAGGTGCAAGTGGAAAACGAATCAGTGACATATCTGAACCCTTAGCGCAGGGTAAATTTTCGATTTTTTACATGTCGACGTATCAAACGGACTATGTGCTGGTAAATATCAATAAAAAATCGGATTCAAGATAAATAATATTGTATACATAGGTCAAGGAGAGACGACTGAGACAGGCGATAGAATTGCTAGGGCAATTAGGATATCAATTTGATCAAGATTCGCTAGAGTCTTATTTAGGTGATTCGCCTCCGTCCAATAGCCACACAAGTCAAGAAGATTTGAAAGAGGAGGATTTCGAGAAATCAGTCTTGACAGACGAACTCCAATGTGTCGGATTGAACCCTCATCTACGGTCAGAGTGGGCCATGACTGTGCTTAAAATTTTGTCATATCCAGAACTGATCACGCCTGATGGTGATAGCAGGAGGTATTTGGGAAATGTATCATGTGAACAAGACAAATAATGCTCTCTCTCTCTCTCTCTTTAGGTTCTTTTCGTATACAGCATCAAATGAAGGAATTTCACTCATCGCTAATCAAGCCATTCTAGACCTCTTTTCAGAAGCAGATATCTTCCAGGATGAAGAATCACCGAGGTACCGCGTAATCCAGGTCAATTTAGCTGGTTCTAATCTCGATCGATGCGGTATCGTCTGGTCCATCTCGCGTCCTTTAGCTGCTCACATGAACTTGCTGTATTTGAGTACATTCAAGAGCGCAAACGTGCTTGTCTCTTCGGATGATTTACCGAGAGCAGAAGAGATTCTGGCAAACGATCTCAAGAAAGGAATGATGGCAGAAGTTATATTAGAACCAGAGTTATAATAAATAGTATAGACGCACATTTAGTATTTCATTGTCAAGGAAACGGAGGAGCAATGTTTAACCGCATTTAGAAAAAGATTTTTTAGATTTAAAAAAGTTGTGAGTCACTCTATTCTTTTCACCCTTTTTTTCCCTTTTTCCATCAATTATGGTTCAAACTAAAGACTTGGGTAATACACTCAATTGTCAAGCCATTTGTTTTGATAATTGACCTTGTCTATAGTGGATCAACTATTACGTATTCCAACAGTTCATATTCATAATAAGGCAGTAGTCATTGATAAATTGACAACAATCTTAAAAGATGGACCTAGTCAACTACATTTTATAAGCGGTAAGCTACTTTTTAAATAAGTCTTCTTAATTATGTACGCGTCTATGTAGACTTTGATATGACTATGTCACGTCATTGGATTAGAAACAAGGCTACAGACGCATTAGAGCGAAACTCTTCGTCACACGGTATTCCTGCTAGATATGACAAGATGACACCCGAGGTAGGCTTAGACATATTCGTTTGAAAAAAGAAGCTAATGATTATCAAAGTATAAACAAGAGACAGCCCGTATCTATAACAAGTATTACCCAATCGAGATAAATCAAAACATGACGCATGATGAAAAGGTACCTTATATGATCCAGTGGTGGACAGAGGCACACGAGAGCATTATAAAGCAAAGAATATCCAAAAAAGGTAAATAACCAAAAAAAGAAAAAGGGGAAGGCTAATCATAAGGTATAGATATTGAAGCCATGACAGAACAAGTTAAACTTGAACTAAGACCAGGAGTTGATCAAGTGTTGACCGAATGTCAGAAAGCATCTATTCCCTTTCTTGTCTTTTCTGCAGGTATTGGAAACATCATTGAAGTGATACTGAAGAGAGTGGGTCTATACTTTGATAATATGCATATTGTGAGCAACATGATGATCTTTGATGAACAAGATATATGTATAGGCTTCAAAGATCCCTTGATTCACGTATTCAACAAGTCAGAATTTCAATTAGAGACATCACCTTATCATAAACTGATCGAACAACGAACGAATGTGATCCTGATGGGAGACAGTCTGGGTGATTTACAGATGAGTCAAGGAGTGGACCATACCATCTGCTTGACCATTGGATTTTTAAATCATGACTTCAATTCACTCAGAGACAGCTACTTGAACGCATTTGATATCGTCATTGAAGGGGATGCGAATATGCAACCGGTGATCGAGCTGCTTCAATCATTCAATAAATAATTTATTTTATAAGAATGCACAACGATTCCTTTTCTTTGGTCGCACAGGAGGTGACAGCACTGCCCTAATCGCTTCATCAAACACGTTCTTGAGACCCTTTTGTGTAAGAGCAGAGCATTCGAGGTATTTTACTGCGCCAATGTCCTTAGCCATCTGAAGGCCTTGAGGGTACGAGATAGGTGCCATACGCTTTTGTTTTAAGCGTTCGATCGTATCTCTATCTTCACGTAAATCTAATTTGGTACCAACGAGGATGATTGGAATATTAGGTGCATGATGACTAATTTCTGGATACCACTTTTATATATGATTAATTTTACATATATTGGTATATATTTATAGTATTACATACCTTTGTTCGCACATTTTCAAAGGATGCTGGGCTTACAAGTGAAAAGCAACAGAGAAAGACGTCTGTTTGAGGATAAGATAAAGGTCGAAGTCGATCGTAATCTTCTTGTCCTGCTGTATCCCATAAGCCAAGATTAATAGGTTTACCGTCTACCATGACATTAGCAGAGTAGTTATCAAACCTAATTGCATTGTCAACAACACACATTAATTAATAAATGACATCAATCTTACACCGTAGGAATATATTCTCCAGGAAAAGCATTTGTTGTATATGAAATCAACAGACATGTCTTTCCAACAGCACTATACAAAAAAGGTTTAGCTCTTTATTCTTTCTCTCTTTATTATTGTTATGTGTTGCTATAGTTACCCATCACCAACGACTACACATTTGATGGATTGCATTTATAATAAAAATAATAAAAAGTGAAAAAGAAACAAAAAAAAAGTTAATTTTGAACCCACTCGTGTGTAACTCTGTTTTATTAAATAAAAAAATTATCGAGTGCTATCGAGCAGAGTTCAAAGGGCTGATGAAGATCCCTTGTAAAGACAAATCGAATTGATTTGACAGTAGGTCGAGTACAGTCAATGTCTATTTTGATACCATAGCTTAGCTGAGAAAATCGACGTATGCTGCATTCTTGCCATGATCCATACAGTTCATGCTGGACATGAACTTGTAAATCATTTGAATCCAGTGTTTCAGAGGTGTACAGAGTAATCCTTTTGGCTAGCATGTCTCCAACCATATAAAGACCAAAGTAATCATCTTTTTTAGGTACTTTTTGTGCATAGTTTATGAGTACACATATAAATGTTATATATATAAACTACCTCTGTAAGAGTACCAGCATGTTTCTGTATCCAGATCAACTGCTTTATGATAAGAATGGTAAAGTATTGTGTTCTTGGCAGGTAAATGCACTTGTTTGTTGAATACGCTCTCATAAGATATCATATTGGCATACTGAAAATCAAATGTCACTGGTGGTATAGGGGGTATTGTATCTATGCTTGTAATAAATAAACACTGATCATTTATACAACTACTCTTCACATCCATCACTTGCGCTTCTCCGTTATTCTCTCTTTGTGTACTGGATTTATCAAGTAGTAAAAGTGCGTCATACTGATTTTTTTTAATAATTTATCTCTCTCTCAATGTCTCACACTTACCACTTGACCTGCTACTTGTTCTCTATCTTTACTATCACCTATCATCTCAAACTGACTATTGCCTGTTGTGGTGATAGGATTAGATATGATATAAGGATACTGACCAAGCCCAATAGCAAAATGAACATCGTTCGTATGATCGAAGGCACTGTTGTCTAAAAACTGTTGAACTTGATCCTTGGATACAAACGCGCCATACCGCAGATCAGCGTATCCAGTATGTATCCTTTCTGTTCTAAATCGCCATGTCATTGTATCTATCGTATCAGATAACCTTGTGTTCACAATCCATTGATCGGGATGTCGTACTGCATGTGTATATAATGAATCCATATAAGGGTTAAGCCAACTGTTGTCTTGGAAATAGCATCGATTCAATCGACTGTCGACACATGCTTCAAATTTTGTCTTTCCCGTACTTTCTTTTATATTCAATCTCTATAAACAAAGTCAATTCATGTTTTTAACAGCAGAATATACGAGCTTGCCTTATTGTTATCACCAAGAGATATGCCAGTACGATTGTACACATAGATCTCTTGGATATAAGGATATTTTGATAGATAATTAACCACTTCCTGAACATCCTCAGTTGTCTTTCCTTCGATAATCGCTGCAACATAATGATCTGGTGATATTGTATAGGGTGTGTAGAGACTCTGTTTTGTCACCAAATCTTGTTGAAATGGCCAAATAACAAATGGTACGTTGTGTGATTCTGATGATATGCTAATGTTGTTGTGCTTGTTGCTATAGTAACCAAGTAATATCAATGTTACTGTAATAAATAAAGCGCAAGCAATAAGTTTGGAAGTGGTCATGGTTAAATAAAGGAAGAAATAAAAAGAAAAAAGATCCGGGGATAAAGGGCTGTGTAACTTCCCTATAAAGGAGAACTTAACAGGATGAAAGTAGCAATATATAGTCTTGGCAACTTTCTCTCTCTTTCTACACTGTAAGCAATATACATCTTCTGCCTTCACCTCTGTCTAATCTTTCGTGATTGTTGAAAAAGAATAAGTATTATCTTATTGATTCCTCTACGAATCAATAAAAGCATAGACAGTAGATCACATGATATATCATTTACCTCCAGGCACATAAATTGTTTCTTTTCTCTCTTTTTTATATTTTATAAACTGATGGACAGCCTACTTTACATTGACGACTACTTGGATGGTAATTTTGTCTCTTTTTATATACTTTAACATATACAAACATATGTTCCTTTTACATGTAGTGATTGAAGCACTTCAGCTTGATCTTCAAAAGAACTTTACCTTACTGAAAGAAATGGATGGCTATGCTCAAGGTTGATTACATTGTATATTCACATCTTTGCACACACTAAATTATATAATGCAGAATCCGTTGTATCTACAGCTCAAATGGCTATTGATTTGATTGATAATATTGACAGATTTGAAGCTGATGTGAGATTTGAAAAACTACAACAATTGATAGATCTTTTGACGGAGACATCAAAACGTACAAGTGAAAAGGCGACACTGGCCAAGGTCACAGTTGAAGCAGTAAGTTTATATATAAAGAGACTGAGAGAGAATAGATAAGATAACAGTGTATGTAGGTAGAGAAACACTGTAACCGACTGGATGCTGATTTAGTTAAATTTGAAGAAACCAATACGAGTGGAAATATTCATATAGTGTCACTTCCTGGACTGACGCCTTCATCAAGAAGTTTAGTTGCTAAACTATCTGCCTCAAAGGACCCATTGAATCAGGATGTGTTGGAGAAGAGAGAACTAGCGGCTAAAAGTAATTGCGATGGGGTTGGTTATCATATATTCATGTATACTTTTTGTTAGAGAGAAGAAAGGAGGATGTTCGTCTAAAGGCAAGCAGCAGCAGCAGTAACAACAACAACAACAATAGTAATAATAGTAAATCAAAAACATGGCCAAGAAGAAAAAATGCCAAATTAAAATCGTAAAGAGAGAGAGAGAATATAGTGTACAGTAGTAAAGTTGACACGTTTGAATGTAGATCGGATATGGACATGTCTGTTGATCCAAATGAACCTCTTTATTGTTACTGTCAACAAGTATCTTATGGTGAAATGGTTGCTTGTGATAATGCTGATGTAAGCTATATGTAAACATATGAACTATATTTAACAATGAATAGTGTGAAATCGAATGGTTCCATATTGCCTGTGTCGACTTGAAGACAGTACCCAAAGGCAAATGGTATTGTGATAACTGTACGCGATATAAAGCAAAGCAACGACGATAAAAATTAAAAATAAAAAGCTCTTTATGCAAACTATGTGACACAGTGACTCATCTTCTCTCTTTTTTTTTTGAATGCTTGGGCTTTCGAAAATAACAACACCTTTTAGACTATTTTATAGAATGACAAGTACTTTGAGCAAACCTACATCACGTATGTACAATATCTATGGGAATACTATTACTTTATTGACTGTGTACATTCTAGTCATTATTGAGCAGACGAATCCTTTAGAAAACAGCAAGAATGCAATTTATAGCGTCACAACAGGCATGACTACATTTCATGAATTCATATTGAATTATCCTAGAGGAGCATACACTGGTATGAGAACACTTGAAAGAAACGCAATTGTTGAATTCGACGCACACCTAAAGCGACTGACCAATTCACTTGCCTTGCTCAAGTGGGACCACAAAGATGACCATATCAACCAAGCCATGGCATCGTTCAAGGATCCAACAGAGCTAAAAGGAAAACTAGTGCCTTTGCTCAAGAAAGGGCTTGAATCGTTTTATGAGCAAATAAACACTGAGCATGAGACCAAGGTATCTGTCATGATTGCTTATTCCTTCCAGGTAAGTTCTTTTGGTACCATAAGCACCTTATTCAAGTTTATACGCGTTAGGAGCAAAAGCCACGCTTTGCCGCTCACTTTACAAGGCTTGATCCTATTCTTCAAGATCGTGTCAAGGTGCGACTTGAGTATCGATCGAGATCAACGCCTGAAGTTAAGGATTCGCGATGGGTACGTGAGCGTGCGGACTTGGAGGAGAATAAACCAAAGGACGTGAATGAGATCGTGTTGATAGATTCAGAAGATAAGATATATGAAGGGATGGCGTCCAACTTTTTGGCCGTCAGAAGAGATGAACAGGGACAGCCTGTAGTGATGTGTGCAGGGCTAGAGCACGTTTTACTAGGGACTATTCTGAGATTAGTAGTAGATATCTGTGAAAAGCACCATATTACCTTTGACTGGAACTTTCCAAGATTACAAGATGCAAGAGAAGGCAAGTGGGAGGGATGTTTTATAACGAGCACATCAAGATTGCTTCTCCCTGTCGAGACAATCTACTGTAGCCCTAATGAAAAGTAAGATGTGCTGTTTTGAATACAAAGAAAAGACGTATTCATTTTTTCGTATAGGGTTGAGTTTAAAGAGCATTCAGAGATCATAGAATTCCTTAGGCAACAAATAGTGCAAGAGCTCGCAAGCACAGCGTATAAAATACTTTAATAAACATTGTACCTTTAACAATGAAATGTCAACCAATAATGAACCCTGGGCCACTTTTTTGTTTAAAAATAGATTAATCTGAATTTGAAGTGATAAGAAGAGGATAGATAGTAACAGAATATAATCAATGGATTATTATTACTATGATCTAAATGAGCGTCTTGTTAGTAGGTCTCATCCTTCGTTGTATGTGTGTGTAAAAAAGCTGAAGGAATTCATTTTGCAGAAATAGCTAAATTTTCTATCTTTTACCATCGCGTCGCACAAAACTACCCTTTTTACCTAAAACATGAAAAAAATGAATAATTTTAGCTTTTCTTTTTTTCATCCTTCTTTTTTTCTCATGAGTATCTATTTCTCTTATGACGAACAAAGGAAGCAAGATGCAACATTCACCGTCAAATCGATGGGCATTCAATTAGGCATCAATTTGGGTACTGCAATTGTTACCATGATTGGATTCAGTATTCTTCGACCTGTAAGAGAGACTATACATTTATATATATAAAGCTTAACAAGTATTAGAGAAATACACTTGTCTATGCTCCAAGATCAAAATTCTCAAAGAAAGGGCAAGTTATAATTTTAGTTAATTAAATTTTAATAATTAATTGTTTGTTATAGAAAGCAGCCCCCTTTGATCGGATCACAAGGTTATTTTTCATGGATAAAACCATTACTCAAAGTAACCGATGAGGAATTACTCGATCAAGTGGGTTGTGACGCACTCATGTATATCCGATTTATCCGACTGCTGCGTAAATTGCTCTTTTGGATGACGGTCATTGGTGTTGGTGCCTTGATTCCAGTCTACATTGTGGCTACAAAATACACAGGGCAGGTATCACAAACAAAACTATACATCTTGGTCATTAATCGTTTTATATGTGTAGTGACTGGCCACCAGCAAGTGGAAGTATTGAAATTTTATCACTAGCAGGTATCAATTATGTCAATGGCAAGACACGAGCGGATGTTAACACAGTCTGGTACTGGTCTCCGTTTGTTGCAACCTATTTATTTTCGATCTTGATTGCCTATTTCATGTACAGAGCATCCTGTGATTACATCGATATGCGACAATATTGGTTTCGGTTGCCTGAAAACGAAGTGACAATGAAGTCGCTCATGGTTAGCCCTGTACCAAAAGAGATGAGATCAGATGTAAAATTGAAAACTTGGGTCGAGTCGACTCAAATGATACAATATCCTATCAAGGAATCCATGATTGGCTATCATAGCTCGAAGCTATCAGATTTATTTGAAAAACACAAGGAGGCAGTCCATCGATTAGAATCTACTTTGGCTTCTTACTTGAGTGGTGTGAGCAATATATATGTCTATCTCTACGGATGATTTGACTAAATAGTTATTATAGACGGTAAAAACACAGACACCAAAAAGAGACCTCTCGTACGTATCGGCGGTTTTCTTTGTCTCGGAGGAAAGAAAGTGGATGCGATTGAACACTACACCAAAGAAGTAGCAGATCTGGAAAAAGAAATTAGCGAGCTTCGACATGGGAAAAAGGAAAAAGCCAAAGCCGCACCCTATGGGTGGATATCGTTCGATCGAATCGAATGGGCTCACCAGGCAGAACGTTCCTTAGAACATCAAAAATCCTTTCATGTTCGACTCTCACCTACACCTCAAGATTTATTATGGCCCAACTTACCCTTGGATGATAAGGCAAGGAAAGCAAAGAGAATGACAGGGCATATTTTCTACTGGGTTTTTGTGTTTGCGTGGATGATTCCCATGTCAGCACTTTCAGCTACTTCGAACGTCATCAACTTAATCCGTCTCATACCAAACTCGGCCAATTTTATAGAGAATCATCAAATAATCATGGGCCTCATCCAGTCATACTTTACACCTGTTGTCATGGCCATCTTCTTTTATTTGCTCCCTATCTTTTTCAGATTTCTTTCACAACAACAAGGATATTGGACAAAGACGGCCTTGGATAGAAAAGTACTGGTTAAGCTTTATATCTTTTTTATAATCAACAACCTGCTAGTATTCACTTTGACATCCATGTTCATTGGCATCTATGGTCAACTGAAGGGATTGGTTCAGTCTGGAGTAACTGAAGAAGTGAGCCTAGTTGATTATATTATGCAACTAGCCAAAAACATTTCACAGGTATCTACATTCTGGATCAACTATGTCTGTCTCCATTCACTCGGTCTTACGATGGAACTTGCCATGATTTTGCCTCTAATCACGATTACCCTTCGCAAGTTCTTTACGCGACCCAGTCCAGCCGAACTTCGTGAACTGGCACGTCCACCCGAGTTTGACTATCCCAAGAACTACAATCTCTTGCTCTTTTTCTTCACCATATCTCTCATCTATTCAGCCATGTCGCCATTCATTTTGCCTTTTGCCTGTCTGTATTTTTGCGTAGCCAGTATGGTCTACAAGTACCTGTTGGTCTATGTTTACGAAACAAGAATGGAAAGTGGTGGAAAAATCTGGCCTGTCCTCTTTCAGACAATCATGACCTCAACCATCTTCTTTCAATTGATCATGATTCTCATCCTTGTCTTTAAGGGCGGTAACTTGCAAGCTTATCTTTTGATTCCACTCCCTGTTTTCACCTTGATCTACCAGTACTTTTACTATCGTCGCATGCACATTCATGGCTCTTACATCTTTGGCACACATTCCAAGCTTCCTTTGCCACAACACGCACCCAGTACGGAAAAGTCAAAGACCGAACCTGCCAAGACGCTCAAGAGTCAATTCCAAGACCCAGCTTACCATCAAAAACTGTCTGCGCCTACTGTACACGACGACGTGAAGCATCTGTTACCCAAGGTGTACCATTCAATACGGCAAGGAAGCGAGCACTTGCGACATGACACCATCGAAATGACGCATCAGTACTCGAAACGAATGGTGCATAATATGGATTTAGACAGCCGCAAAGGATTTAACCATCATCAACATGATGTAGTCGTCATTGATGAAGGCATAAATATCAAATTTGAATCTGTGACCGAACAAGAGATTGCAGAGTCTGAAGATTACCAGGAAGATAGTCATGAGGACTTAACAAGGCAAATGTCTATAGAAAACACTCCGTTATTGCTCGCGCCACAGCCTCCGCCTGTTTCAAAGATGAACCGTAACATTACATCAGAATATATTGAAATGTATACTTCATTTACGCCGAACCCAAGTGCCGTGAATGTATTAGACGAAGAAGAAGAAGAAGATGATGATGATGCCAGTAGCCTTGCACATATGTATGAATCTCTAATCGATCTTTCAACAAACGATGCTCCTACGAGACGCCATACGCTTCCTCTGCCAAAAAAGCAGGTCAGCTCGGAACGTCGACTTTCTTTACCATCCATTAAGAGTGAAAGAGAAAGTATCGATGATTCATTTAGTATCACCGTCCCCCTTCCTGCTGTTACCACATCAGTGACAACAACAAGAATGACAAGAAGTCATACTTTGCCACCAACGTACAGGCCATTTAGAGTGCAAGAGCGAATAGAAAATCCATTTGAGCAAGACAGCCATGTCATTGCCGAAGAGTCATTTATCAACTATAGACGACCTCGACCACGTCGTGTGTCTTATCATCAATAAAGAGAGAAAGAGAAAGAGAAAATAAAGACAGTTTGTATTACATTTTTGTTACTTTATTATGTTTTCTTGTCATAGGAGCATCTGTATGGATTGATGCTATGACAACCGAAAGATAAAAGAGAGAGAGATAAAAGAGAGGCAATTAGCAACCAAGGCTAGTAATAGGTGAAAGTGCCGACTTGAGACTTCCATCCGAGTTCATAATACCCCAGTGTTGCTCAACGCCTGTCTTGTAAGGCTCATCAAGCGCAGAGAACCAGATCATGTCAATGTTCTTTTGACGTGTCTGGCAGAGCACGTTGGAGAGATACAGTCTCTGATTCTCGGCAGAGGGGACTGAGGCACCAAAGTTGTCACCAGCGGTTGGCCAACCTGTTTCCGAGATACGCACGGGCTTGCCTTGAGCTATACTGACCACAGACTGATAGTGTTGCATCAGAGTGTTTGCTCCCTGGTCAGCCGTGACACCCTCCCAGTAAGGGAATGCGTTCATCATCAAAAAGTCCAGCTGTTCGACAACGACAGGAGGGAACTTGTAATAGACATCTGCGTTGGTCACACTGACTCCCTTGGGCTTGACCAGGGCCTTGACCTTTTGTATGTATTGAGCCAGTGTGTTGGCGTCGGTGTCGTTGCGGTAGAGCACCTCAGAGCCAACAATGACTGCATCCACACGACTGAGGCTTTCACCAGAGTTGATGATGTTTGTCAAGGCTTGCATCTCGCTTGCAAATGTATCAGGACGATCGATCCACATACCGAGATAGATGTTCATGCCTAAGGCATTAGCTGCTTGTAGAGCTAATTGTCCTTGATTACAGGGGGACAACGAAAACACACGCACTCGGTTTGTGTATTGCTTGATCTTGGTAAAGTCAGCCTTGAGCTGGTCTAGACTAGGACAAGCGTTGGTATTTATACCATAGTTGAGGCCATAGAAGACGTCAGCGGCAGAGACGGCCAAAGAGAAAAGACCGAATAGGGCAGCTGTAGAGAACAATTTCATCCTTGTGTGTGTGTGGAAATAGGTTCCAATGAAGGAAAGAAAGAAGAATGATCCAAGAGAGAAAAATAGAAGAAAAAAAAAATAGAGAAGGGATTCAATTAAAGCGACGCTGATGGGTTAGCGTGGAAGCGGAGGGGGAGACAGGAAACAAGCCAGTAAGAAAGAGATGAGGAAGGGAAAAGAGCGCAGACATCTGAAACCTATACCGCTGAAGAAAAATAATCGATAAACCATAATTAACTTTGGGCGATCACTATTACTCAGGTTTCGAATAACAGAAAAAAAAAAAAAAATCTCGACCTGATTCGCTTATCCTCTGCCTCTGCCTCTCTCTGCCTCTCTATCTTTCTGCCCTTACCCTCTTACCCTTTTTTATTTAATCACCAATAACTCTTGATTTAGCATTACGTCAGACTATAGAAGAACGTCGTCTATTTTGTTATATTTTTGTGTTAGTTCTTTCTAGTATATAAACCACACGATCAAGCAACTGATACAAAGAGCTAGTCTACACGCTCAATTCATGGAGTATTATTGATATATTAACAGTCTCCTATGATCTTCTGCTAATTGCTTCGTTATCTACTTCACTGTTTCACGGAAATATACTTAATCTTCAAATTAGTGCCTGTCATGATCAAAGTGCTTTCAAGATAGGTCGATCTCTTTCACGACATACAGAAGAACTTGGAGCAATCATTGCATTTCTATTTTATAAAGTCTACAAATTGGCAGTGGAACCGCTGTACATGAGTGATTGAGCTCTTTTTTTCTGTTCTTGCGAGCAAAACGCAGCCTAAGAACACTTGACTATGCTGTTTATTACATTGATGAAGTAAACATATTAGATTTCAAGCCAAATATTCATACTGTAGGCTCTCGACTACTGGATTCCCGTCAGGAGCACGAATGGCATTTTGAAATTGAAAATATTCCGTAATCGAGCATCCACTGTAATTCAGCTTTTGAACATTGCGATTGTTGCGCTTTTTAAGAGTGGAAGAATGAAAAAGTACCGTGTGCAAATAAGCGTAAAAAATCAGTAGATGTCATTAACTTATGCTTCATTCCAAGAGCAAAAACGAGGAGAGCATCACACACACCAAAGGCAAAACCCTAGTTCATTTTTCCTACAAACATATGGCGGTTGGGCATAAACCCTATCTTGTCATGATAATATTAATCTTCGAGCAGAAAATAACAATAAAAAAAGTTAGCAAACGCTGGACTATTACATGTAGTACTACGATGACGATAAATCCTTTATTGTGACAGTAGGGAAGCCAAACATGACTTATATCTCATATCTTACGAAATGCATATCGTCATGCCCAAACAGAGAACCAATGCCAGATGAAACATTTGCTTGCACGGCACATCAATATAAACTTTCCGCCTACTGCCAAGAATTACTAAACAAAAAAGTAATAAAGTAATAAAACTCCTGATCCTGGGCAAGCATAAGCGAAATGAAAGCCACGGGTCCCTAAAATGAGCCCCTCCCCTCTCCCCTAAAGAAGGTGAATGCTTTTTTAGATGGTTTGCTTTTCATTTCTTCTTCTTCTATAGTCTGACGTAATGCTAAATCAAGAGTTATTGGTGATTAAATAAAAAAGGGTAAGAGGGTAAGGGCAGAAAGATAGAGAGGCAGAGAGAGGCAGAGGCAGAGGATAAGCGAATCAGGTCGAGATTTTTTTTTTTTTTCTGTTATTCGAAACCTGAGTAATAGTGATCGCCCAAAGTTAATTATGGTTTATCGATTATTTTTCTTCAGCGGTATAGGTTTCAGATGTCTGCGCTCTTTTCCCTTCCTCATCTCTTTCTTACTGGCTTGTTTCCTGTCTCCCCCTCCGCTTCCACGCTAACCCATCAGCGTCGCTTTAATTGAATCCCTTCTCTATTTTTTTTTTCTTCTATTTTTCTCTCTTGGATCATTCTTCTTTCTTTCCTTCATTGGAACCTATTTCCACACACACACAAGGATGAAATTGTTCTCTACAGCTGCCCTATTCGGTCTTTTCTCTTTGGCCGTCTCTGCCGCTGACGTCTTCTATGGCCTCAACTATGGTATAAATACCAACGCTTGTCCTAGTCTAGACCAGCTCAAGGCTGACTTTACCAAGATCAAGCAATACACAAACCGAGTGCGTGTGTTTTCGTTGTCCCCCTGTAATCAAGGACAATTAGCTCTACAAGCAGCTAATGCCTTAGGCATGAACATCTATCTCGGTATGTGGATCGATCGTCCTGATACATTTGCAAGCGAGATGCAAGCCTTGACAAACATCATCAACTCTGGTGAAAGCCTCAGTCGTGTGGATGCAGTCATTGTTGGCTCTGAGGTGCTCTACCGCAACGACACCGACGCCAACACACTGGCTCAATACATACAAAAGGTCAAGGCCCTGGTCAAGCCCAAGGGAGTCAGTGTGACCAACGCAGATGTCTATTACAAGTTCCCTCCTGTCGTTGTCGAACAGCTGGACTTTTTGATGATGAACGCATTCCCTTACTGGGAGGGTGTCACGGCTGACCAGGGAGCAAACACTCTGATGCAACACTATCAGTCTGTGGTCAGTATAGCTCAAGGCAAGCCCGTGCGTATCTCGGAAACAGGTTGGCCAACCGCTGGTGACAACTTTGGTGCCTCAGTCCCCTCTGCCGAGAATCAGAGACTGTATCTCTCCAACGTGCTCTGCCAGACACGTCAAAAGAACATTGACATGATCTGGTTCTCTGCGCTTGATGAGCCTTACAAGACAGGCGTTGAGCAACACTGGGGTATTATGAACTCGGATGGAAGTCTCAAGTCGGCACTTTCACCTATTACTAGCCTTGGTTGCTAATTGCCTCTCTTTTATCTCTCTCTCTTTTATCTTTCGGTTGTCATAGCATCAATCCATACAGATGCTCCTATGACAAGAAAACATAATAAAGTAACAAAAATGTAATACAAACTGTCTTTATTTTCTCTTTCTCTTTCTCTCTTTATTGATGATAAGACACACGACGTGGTCGAGGTCGTCTATAGTTGATAAATGGACTCTTCAAACGAATTTTTAACCAAAAAGACTATACAGCTTGGTTTTTTTTTAAAAGTTAGGAGTTATGCACCGAATGTAAAATACAAGTCCATTTTATTTTATTTAATTTATTTTCTTTTTCAACATCACTTGTCAAAATGAGCGACGAAGAAGATTATATGTCGTCTAAATTTTTGGAAGAAGCTGCTAGCTTTGAAAACCAAACTAAGCAAGAGACTTATTCAGAGAGAAGGAAAAGGCAACTTCGTGAGCAACGCGAAAAAGGCTTGATCAAACCTCGTCATGTTCTTGAAAAGGAAGAGCGAGAAAAAGGATTAAAAACAGCAGTAGACACAAGTAATAAAGGCATGCAGATGCTCATGAAGATGGGATTCAAGTAATAAAGCAACAATCTGCATGTGTATACTTATTAAAATATAGACAGGGAACAGCTTTAGGAAAAAAGGGAACTGAAGGTATTGTTGAACCTATCAAGGTCGATATGAGAAACAGTCGAGAAGGGCTCGGTATGAGCAAAAAGAGAGAGAGAGAAGAAGAAGAAGAGTTTGAAAAGAAAAAATTGCACATGGATCCTGATGAATTTAGAGCAGCAATGGCTCAGAGAGCAAAGGAAAATCAGTATCAGAGATATGTTGTGGCAGCTGCGTCTATTTGTCAAAATTTTGACGAAGAAGCAGGTGTTGAGGTAAATGAAAAGAGGCCCTTGTTATGTGTATAGTCTACTTAGTTTTTTCTGTAGTCCAACATTTTATGGGTGCTTAAACCTGAAAAAGAGGATACGGAAGATAATGAAGAAGAAGAAGAAAAAGAAAAAGAAGACGGGGAAAAGCAGAAAGAAGATAAACTAGAATATCCACCAGAACAAGTTGAAGAGCTAAAGTCACTTCCGGTACGATATAGATAATACCAGCATGTAATAGATACTAATACAATATCCTATAGCTAGAGGAAAAGGTTGAACGACTTACAAGTTATGTAAGAGAAAAGTATTTTTATTGCTTTTGGTGTAAAGCAAGATATACGGATAAAGAGGACCTTGATGAAAATTGCCCTGGTCTAAGCGAAGACGATCATTAAAATAATTAAAACGTATGTCTACAGTTGTATTTATTAACAAATCATTCAATTGAGCTGCTTTCTTCTTTCTTAGGCTTAAGCCACTCTTTAGGGAATTCTAATCTTGTCTTGGGCTTTGGTAAATTGAGAGGCACATCAGCAAATGTATCCTTCATATCCTATATATTAGAAAGAGATGTTAACATCGTACACTCCTTCCTCTTTCTTTCTTTACCTTTGCTTCATTGATTAGTTTATGCAAAGTATCAAGCAAGAACTTTTTGTTTTGTTGACGCTTTGGGAATCTCTCGCTTGACATGATTAATTCGTCTGTATCAACATGATATCTCGGTCCACTCAATAATAAAAACTTGTGTCTTTCCGTATCATTTAATTTTAAATCAGCTACTTTCACACTCAATACTACTTTACGTTCAACAGGGTGTCCTTCTCCGAGATAAGTGTGCGTCTTAAATTTCAAGATTTGATTAGAAGTAGGTGGTTCAAAAGGTTTTGCAAACACTTTATAAAAAAGGTTAATTGGCTGTTATAGCGTTTATATATCATACAATACCACTCAATTTTGGTAATTCAAATTCTGTCTTCCTCAAGTATTGACGAACTTCTCTAATATTGTCAAAGAGATTGTGTCCAATGGTCGTTTGATCATCAAATTCAAACTTTGGCATTTCTTCAACATCGAACTTCTTGGCTGGTCTTCTACGGACTCCTTGACGACCTGCAAAGGCAGCGGGTGTTGTTGAAAAGGAACGAGCGTTGGACTTTACAAAGTGTCTGAGCATGGCTGTCAATTTGCAAAAAAAAAAGAAAAGAAAGTCCCGGGAGGGTAAGATGAGAAAAGGGAAGGGGGCCAGTGAAAAGCGCCGCCGTCTTTTTAAGCTCAGTCAAGGCAACCTTTCTTCCACTCTTTGCTTGAAAGAGTGAGATCGATTGACTTATGAGCCTTGTTGAAATTAAGCAATATGGAAACAGATATTTAGTATTTAATGTAAAAGGTAAATTTATACAATTCTTAGTGCTTCTTGAATATTGATTATAGTTTCTGTAGATGTCGAAAGATTAAGAAAAGAGTTTAGAATTGTCGGTGCTCTATGCGGCACATTACCAGGATTCCCTCAACAAAACACCTTTTATGGTCTTCCGCTATCTTTGTCTCTAGAAGAAGTCAAAATGGTAATAGATCTAAGTAAAATCAAAGTTACCTTGCTTATGCATCAAAAGAGCTTACATTTTAAAATAGAAGTAGCAAAAGTGACAAATGCTTTATCCCCACTCCCTAGCATCAATAACAGTCTATTTCGCTATTTTTGGTCTTTGGATTATTATGTGACAAGCGGTTATAAGTTTGGTGGTGATTATCTGTTGTATCCACAAGATCCAACGTGTTGTCATAGCCAATTTATTGTCTCTGTCATGCACTTTGATCAGAATATAACGACAAAAGATGTTGTACAGATGGGAAGACTGGCAACCAATGTGAAAAAGAAGTTCGTTTTGGCTGGTTTCAAAAATGAAACAGAGGATAAAGTAGCTGTGTTCTCACTGTCATGGGCAGGGTTTTAGAAACACAAAAGAGAGGATAGCGGTTGAGTTACTATCTAGTTTATACATTGTTCCCTTGCTTTATTAAAAAAAAGGATATCAAATAAATTCAAAAACACACAGGACGCGTAACCATAGGCTTAATTTTGGTTTAAGAACTCTAAATAAAGATACCAATAACTCAGGTGTTATGTAACTATGGCAGGTGTCATGGAAACTTAATTTTAACCAAGACAAAAAAAAAAAGGAAATAACCCTTCACAAGAGTATCTTTTTTTTTTCTTTTTCTTTTCTTTAGTTGAATATTTCGTAATGTCTATGCACGATTACAGTCGGTTACCCACCGAGATTCTTCACCATATTTTCAAATATCTTCACGACAATTATGATATACTTGAGGACCGGTACCACAGCGACTTATTTCAGTGCTTACTTGTATGTAAAAAGTGGAAATCACTTTCTATCGATCACCTGTACCGTACTATTTACTTGACCGATCTCGAACGAGCACAAAAGTTTATCGAATGCACCAAGATCAGCAAACTAGGTCATTTATGCTATGACCTTTCATTCTTTCGTCTTCTTGGAGACGATGAAGCGATCGAATTTCTACCTGAACTTGCCAAGGTGACGCCTAATGTGAAGCGTTTCAACACAAACAAGCCTCCACGATGGTTTTGGCTAGATTTTGCACAAGTATGTGCACGGTACTGGAAGAACCTGGAAAAGATCCCATACCCTTCAATGGATGACTTTGTAGAATACAACATATGCGCCTTACAGCACCAACAGACACTCAAAGAGATATTCTTACCGGATGATGATCCCAAAAATGACCGTGGACGAAACATTATCAGACAGCTCAAGTACTTTCCCAACATGCAAGACGTCCAAATCGAATCGGCGATCTATACTGCACGGCCAGTAGATTATGATGAGTTGATCGACAATTGTCCTAGACTGACTCACCTGTTGGTGATGATTGATGAAATGGAAGAAGTAGACGAAGAAGACTATGAGTGGATGCCACAGTATGACTTGGCTACTTTGAAGCCTTGCGAAACAATGAAGGATCTCTGCTTTATCTTCAACTATGACAAATACTCAATCGATTATATCATGCTTAAATTTCCACGTTTGAAACGTCTTGACTTAGCCGTGCATCTTCCACTGACAGGCTCAATACAGGCAAAGCACGACACATATCTTTCTAAAAACATTGAAGTACTTGTGAATTATGCGATACAGATACCCAAGTTCAATATCAGCTTTTATGGTCCCATTGACCTCGTACCTCCTTTTTTGAAGCACTCAAAGGCACTTGAAATTTACTTTTCAGAGAATGATTGGGACCGCCATGGATTTAGAGACGACGATGTGACGCTACATCCTTCATTGGAATTCACCAACGACAGTGCATGCATCAGTTTTGAAGACGAAGTTCAGCCACGTGAGCTCATGCGACTATGGCAGCTCTGCATGGACATTGTGACCGAAATGACGTTCCATTCACCAACCGACTACGATCAGGCTGAAATCCAAGACCGAAACCTTGAGAATATCTTGCTACACTGCAAGAAGTTACGATCATTCCAATATAATGCCAATTTTCTTCGCCCACCAGTACAAAAAACGAGAAACTTACAGCAACCGATGCTGGAAACACTTGAACTTCATGTACGACAAATCAATAAGGAAGTCTTTCCTATTTACTCACGGTGCATGCCCGCACTTAAGGATCTCACTATACGAACAGTATTCGAAGGTGACTCTAAGGTTAACTTTGACCTAAAGATGCCCAAGACGGCATTGAATTCACTCGTTTTCTTTGCTACTCTCCGATTGAAACACCGGGAAGACAGCGATAGGATGGTTGTCCTTGATTTTGGTCGACTCAGTACCCCAGCACCATATATCCTTTTAAAAGTTGAAACAGAAGAATCTGGACTGCGGCATTATGTGATCTTCAGGACAGACGGGAAGACAGTTATAGAAGAAGCTGACACTTCTTTAAGCAATGAAGTGGCAGTGACAATACATCTCAAGCTGCTATCGATCCAGACCATATCCCTTCAAATTGCCGATATTCTACTAAAAAACCATTCGTTTAACTTGTAAAAAAGAGAATGTATGTGTACAGCTTTTAGATCGTTCATATTTGTATTAAAATGTAAACAAAATAAAACCTTTTATTTATCATAATTCTTTTGATGGGTCTTGCTGTAAATTGTATATATATTAAGCATGGCTGTCTACATACTATTTATGCTTTTGTATGTCATTATTTCTGTCGTACTATGGTGAACTGTTTACTTTAGACTCTGTTTGGCTGAAGAAAATATTTGTACAAAACTGTGGAGGTATAATCCTTCGAGTTATGTCTCATTTCACATGAACCTTAACTGTTCACGCATATTTAGTATTTCTTTTTCTTTTTCTACACACACCAAAAAACCTTAAAGATATTGGTGATCTTACGCTAAGTGATATTTTGCATAACTTAGGTTTCATTGTGTACTTTATCAAGTCATGTCTTGTATCTTTGCTTTCTGCTGTCTCGACAAGCAGGAATCCTTCTTCTTTTTTAACATAGTCTACGTGTATCAATAATTAATTTTAAGGAAACACGCCCCTTTATCCCCACTTTTCTATTTACTACTTTACAGTAGAGGTTTACGTAAATGGTGTTGGTAAAAGAGAACATTATATAAAGCTTTCTAATTTGTAATATTAATAGTTATTACCAACAGATCAAAGGAAATTTTGAAGACGATGTTTTGTGGATACTGTTTCGAAGGCTCGCTCTTATTTGTCACAGTTAATGATTAACTTCACATGAAAATGTCTAAGATCTGCTGACGTACAGAATCGATAAGGGTATACAGTCAGATGGAGAGAATATTGATTAATACAGACCCTAAGAGTGGGGCAAGCCTTCTGAATACATTCAAAGGATAGTTTTCAAGTAATCTTTTAGAAAAAATAATAATAATAATACTCTCTTGGTACTATGCTTTACCTTGAAGAGAATCTCTGCATTTGGGGATAACATAAACAATGAAACATACAAGAATAGAACATGCTGACAAACCCTTCCCTTTTTTCTTGAATATATCACCCATTTCAATAGTTACACCTTTTTTAAACAAAAGCAGTTTCAAGGGTTGCATGGTGCATTGAGAAAAAAAAAATTGAAGAAGGTGCATATATATCCTGACGAAAGTGGAGTCATCGCAATTACCCCATGAGTTGTAGAAAGGGATTACTATGATGACCCAAGGCTTTGCCTGAGTATGCTCAGCATCTTCCTTAAATAAATTTGTAAAATAGGTTATAGAAAATTGTGTATTGCCATGGATGACACCAGATTTTAGCCACAGCATAAAAATGCTGAAATGGAATATTCAAAGCTCTAGGCATAAATCTGAGTAATCTAAGCGCTCATGAATGCCCCAAAGGGAAAACAAAGATTAATGTTACTCCTGTTGCGCACTGTTAATTTGAACACAAATGCATCAAAAAGAAGGGCAGAAAATCTCGCTTATCCCCATAATTTTGAGTTTTCGTTATCCCCCCAATTCACTTTTTTCTATTTTGACACTTTCAAGATTGGCCGAATTGGATATTAAAATAGGATTATGTTTAGCTTCGAATGACACTCGATTACTTTATTAAAAGCCTACTGATTTAGCAACAGATGTATTCAAAACATGATCACTTATTTCGATATCATTGTACTGATCAGAATAGAGCGATTGTCTCTTTTGGTTTGGTAGGATCCATATGACCTGGGTATCATGTCTTAGTTGTTTAACGATGTCATTGCCATCTTCTAGCTCCCATCCACCTTCGATATGGATGCTAGGTTCAATATGCCGAATTGTATGTATTTTACCTTGCTCGGTTGAGCAGTAAAGAACCTTTCTTGAATCGACGCATTTAAATAGATTAGAATTATAAAGTAGATTGTCTATTTGATCTTGTTCTTGTTTTGTATTCATGTGAATAATGACGTAGATGTCATAGTTTTGTGATAGCTTGGTGAGAAGTGATATGGTATTTTCGTGAAACGCATGGTTGGGTATATTGACATCTCTAGATGGATTCCATAAGATGGTCTAAAAATAATAAAGAAAAATGAGTTTGCCGATCGTCATTAAAAAAAGGGAGAGTTTACATTTTTAATGGATATTGTCAGTTTCTTTTTCATGCCTGTAGCAGACATGACATTATCGATCAATCTCGCACTCCAGCTTCGGGGGGATAATCTACCCGTTGGAGAAGGTGGTGGTGTCAGAAGCTAATAATATAAAAATCAGTAACTTGATATCATCAATCAATGAATGACTTACTGATTCTTGTTGTTTATAGGTATAACGCAGATCATTTAAGCTCAATGTTGATCTTTTTAATAATACAGACTTCTTTTGATGCTTTTTATAATACATATAAATAAATAGGCTTAAAAGTAACGCGGCTATAGAAGAGTAGCCCATGAATTTAGCTAGCAACCATTTTTTATAGACTCTTCTATTCACAATCATTGACATTCAATAAAATAAATAAGACAAAGAAATAAAGAGGAGAGAGAGAGAAAGAAAGGAAAAGGGCCTTTTAAATAATAAAAAAAATGCGGGGAAGCGATTTCACATGTCAACCAGATCTCCACGTGAACACGTCTCTGTGATCAATTGTAACCACCTTGGACTTGGAGCACTCGTTGCCTGGTTACGCAACATGAATAGTTTTATTGTCAGCATGACACCAATGAATAAAAAGATAAAGGTAGTAACACCTAAAATGCACCCTATGACCTAATGTTTCCTTAGATACCGGTTTATTGTATACAATTTATATTGCGTTACAAAATAGGTTTTATCTGACTTGATAGAATAAAATACAGGATATTTTATGGGATCCATAAATAAAAAAAAAGAAGAAAAAATGTAGGACTAGTTCTGAAAGAAATCGCTTTTGAGAATTTACCTTTATTGCCCTATACATGTGTGCATTTTTATGTATACGGTAACCGGCGCTTTCCTGCTCTCGGAAAAAGTTAAACTATAGTCCCATTTAGTACTACCCTCTTCTCTCTTTTTGATATATCATTTTTAGATAAAATAATTATTGCCGAGAAGTATGGCATATCTGTGCAGGGGGATTATGCCTAAAATTGGCACCATTAGGTAAGCCCTTCAGGGGTTTCATAAAAAAAAAGAGCCTAGCGAGATGGGGTATAATTGATTGTTTGATACATACTAAATGAACAATGAAAAAAACTTTTTTTGTATTCCCCTCCCCTCATCAGGTCTATGACAAATGTAACCATGAAGCGATTTTGATTAAAGTCAATTTTGCTATTTAATTTAATAACTGATGAATAGCTTAAATGATAGCTTAGAAAAATAAGGGAAAGATAAAAGATGCTAGAGCATGCTCTACTTTTCCGTTGTGAATATCCCAGATTGATGTAATCAATACAATCTCTTTATACATCTGCGAACAGAGGGCTGGTGAACCCTTTTTGGGCTTGAAATAAAAGAATTTAGAGTTATTCTAAGATTCTATATGGCTTCAACTACACATACCCCTAAAGGCATAATACTAACTATGATGATCGATCACAGTAAAAACAACAATTTATTAAACATAACATGATATAAATGTTGCAGCTCTTGTATACTTGTGATTATTGCAAAAGAATCGCTTTTGCATTAGCTTCATCATAATGAATCTAAAAATCGTTTTCATATATTCACAGATTAAAGTCATACGTAATAAGTACATGTAAAATGAATGATGGCGATCAAATAATTGTTTTATGTTATACTGATGTGCAATGCACCACAGTAATGACCATTGTTGTAAAACAGTTCAATAGAAATTGGTCGTACGTTACATCTTGTACAGATCATGGAATATAGCAATACGGAATATTCGCGATTTTGGATTATCACCTTCGATGAACTTCACAGCCATCGCTTTAAATTTCCTGCGATATTCACTTGGGTTGTCGATGTATAAGCGTTATTACGGGATATCTTTGATTATGGAATGTCATTTGTGATTTCGATAGGTATTCCATAATCGAGAGTCTATTGTATATATTACTGTCGCTATTGATAGTAGATTACTATGAATGTTTACATTTTTGAAGCTTGGTTCAGCAGCTATTAAAAGATATGATGCTGTTGTTCGATAAATTGTTCATATTATGTAGATAATAAAGTTACAATTGCCTGGCATTCAATATACACGTCTATTAAAAGAGAACAAAGAAGCACAATCGTCAAACATCCTTTAACCCAGATCAAAGGATTAAAAATACACCAAGAGAATAGCAAAAGAGATAAACACAATCACACTTTGGTTTTATCAAAAGAACAAACCTCTCCAAGATCCAGTTACCAATATTTCTTTTCAGTATAATACCGCAAAGACCAGGATTAGTGGAGTCACGGGAATTAGTCAGGACAAGTTGAATAAACTAAGCTTCATTTTTCATTTTTCTTTATATAAGATAACAGAAAGATTCATTATCACTTACATCATACTCTATCCTGATCTGTTCTTTTAACAACGAAATTATATTTACTATTAAGCAGCCATTGCCTATTCAAGGCAACAATCAATAAAGAAAAACAAAGTAATACTGATAGGATATCAACAGATGAACAGGATACAACTGATAGTAAATCCAAGGCGTATACTTTGTATAAAAAAAGGAATTTATTTATAAATATAGTATTATATATATAGCCCGTCTTCTTCGTTTTCTCTAAGTAAAAAAGAAGGGCAAAGGAGATACACACAAAAAAAAAACACAAAGCACTCATATACAATGAAAATGAAGGGGGAGAAAAGGGTAAAGAAGTAGTTGCATTTAACTACCTAGAAAAACTGCTGTTGTTGCTGATGTGGCTGTTGTTGTTGTTCTTGTTGATCTCGCTGTTGATGTTGTTGTTGTTGTTGCGCATGATAAGAGTTCTTTCTTTCTGGTTGTTCCAGATAATCAGAGGGATGAACAAACATACACTTTTTGCCATAATAGCATGAATCACCTGCACGGCACATTTTGAAAGGGTGCCAGTATTTGCAGTGTTTATTGGTGCATCGAGGCCAGTGGTTGCATCGAGCGTTCACTGTAGGCGTATGGTTTTGACGCTGTTGTTCAATTAACTGGATACGGGTCAAGCTCTTCTTGGAGCGTTTACGGGTTGGCTGCTGCTTTTGTTGTGGGATAAATTCGGGAATATCGTCGTAGGAACGGAAGGTAGGGATACTGGCAACAGGTTCGTTTTCAGGTGTACCAATGTCGTTTTCATCAGCACTGCTTGCGGCGTATTGGGTATCAGCGGCGGGTTCAGTAATGGTAGCGGTAGGTACTTCAGCAATTGAAAGGGATGTCACTTCTTCTTCAGTTTTGATTCTAGTTGCTTCTTCCTTAGTTGATTCTTTCTCAGTTGATTTCACAGGTCCATCCTCAACAGCCGTCATAGTTTCCTTGTCAACAATAACAAATTCCTCTTGAACATGGGTCACAATAGAATCATCCATTTGAAGCTTTTCAGTGGTCTCAACAATAGTTGTAGTAGTCGTGGGCTCATCTTTGATAATCACAGCTTCTTCTGTACTAATAACAGACACCTGTTCAGGTTCGGTGACGGTACCTTTCTCAACAATTGTAACGGACTCTTTCTTGATATCGGCAGCGGTGATCTTTGATGTCTTTTCTTCAATTGGTTCAACAGAGCGATCGGCAACAACAGATTCTTGTTTTTCTTCATTTGCTTTCTCTGACTTTTCTGTTTTTTCTGTACATAAAAAACAGGTGAGTTTTGGGTACTGTATCACAGACGACATGACCCCTAAGAGAAAAACCTACCTTGCTGTGACTGGTTTTCATCCGCACTTGAGACATCTCTATCATTGAACTCCTTGCCTATGTAAAGGTTCAACGCATGTTCTTGCCCTTGTTAGCACGTTTTATAACTTACCTTTTGAACTAAGATAATAAATAGACAAGCCCCCTAACAAAATTAGAGAACCTGTGACTAACGCGCGGTGATTGACAAAGTGTGTAATAAGACTCATAATCAAATTATCAATAATGGTGCTTTCTGAGTGATGATTTGTGTTTTATAGGTTAGAAATACGTGCTCAGTCCAAGAATAAGTTATCACAAAGAATAATACAAAACGAAAATAAAACAGAAAGAAAAAGAAAAAAGAAAAAATTTTACAGCAAAAGACAGTGAGGAAAACTAGATGGAAAGGGAGAAATATTTAGTCTCCGTCTAAACTGCGTCTGTCAAAAAGAAAAACACAAAGAATTCTATTTCTTGATAAACAATCAAAAAGACCATTACGGACATGTGATGTCTTTTATCACATCAGTTTGACAAATCCAAGGTCAACAGAGGGAAGGATAAACTAAAGGTGCTCAGGAACAATGACAAAAGGCGAAGGTAAGGAAGAATTTAGAGAACCAGTGTAAAATACACCGGGGTAACCAATGGAGGGAGTTTATGTTCAGGACAAAGTGGTGGTTATGGCAGATCTTTTCCATGGTACGATCAGTCAAGTTCATGGCGATGGAGGCAAACCTGTAGGCCATCAGATATATCAGAAAGCCACTGCTTGAATGGATCACGATCGTTAAACAGGTAATTTATTGAGGAGAGAGACTTTTGACCGATATTCGAAGAGAATATTAGTGTTGAGAGGAGAACGTCTTTGGTTCAGATTGTCTATATCTTTAGCTGGAGCGAAGGCATCATCAGAGCGAAGTGTGTTGATGGTCTGTTCAATAGCGCACTTACTGCAAATGTTACTCAGGACACTTAACAGAGGTCTCACCACATTTTTGCCGACGAAAGCAAACTTTTAGATACGCTTTTTTGCTCTGTAATTTATGGACTTGCGGTTTCAACTTTCTTCAACCTGGCACAATTAGTGCAGGAGCACAGGGTCATAATCTTTTGAAATTGTCAATTATTGAAAATGCTATGGACAACTATTTTTACTGCTTGACACAACTTTTCCCGTAGAGCTCATTAAAGCCTTCTATATTCAACGGTTTCGTTTAAGCTGAAAAATAGGGTTGTCTATGTCAAGAGGACACATCAGAAAGAGCCCACACAGAATTTCTAAAAAACGTCATGTCTCCTTTTTCATGTATATGTTTATCCAATGAAAAATGAGCTTCGTCTCGCTTTCTAGCTCCGAATTGTCCCATTTTAGGTTAAAATCCTGTATGACAAAAGAAACGCCATCTTGTACTCTCTTGTTCCCTTTCCTCATCCTCGTCGCTTTTATTGTGGTCTATACATTCATTTCTTATTAATAAAATGTCATTTAATTTCAAGATTCAATATTTTCCCTGAATCTGATTGTAACCCTGCACACAAAAAAGGTTGTAGTTCTGTCAGATGACAAAAGGGTAGCTTTAAAGTTACTAAGATTTAACAGCCATATCGGATACTGAAAAGTACTTAGAAATACTTAACCTTTTTGTGAATACTCTTGAAGTAAAGGTTAATGAATGAAGTGCAATAGACTTTTTTCAAAGTGTTTATTATATCAATTGTAAAAAAAGGAAAAAAGCATCGTTGTCTTGGTGTAATTGTATGAGAAGATTCTCCAACATCATAAATTGCAGTAGCCGCTTCTTTCAAAGTGTTTATCAATAAAGACATTTCATTTAGCTTGCCTTGCTGGGCTAACAGAGAAGGCTTTTCTTTCCATAGCTTGTTTATTACATGGAAATACTTTTCTCCTTTGTTGATGAATTCACTAAAGCGCAGGATTCTCTCGTCCATGTTACTAGTGCTTCGAATATTAACTAGGGCAGCGTTTGGCATTATTCAATAGTATTCAACAAGGAGGCATTCCCATCTGTAATAGGAGCTACATGTAGTGTTTAACGTTCTGTAAAAAGTACTTGAAATATACGATTGACAAGGAAAATGTATTTACAAAGCTTGAAGGAGTCAGGGCAAGGACAGCTATAAAGATAACCGTTTCGAACTTCAATGTCATGGTATAATATATCATGTATAAAGGATATACACTGAATCAGATTATCTTCGATTTTCTCCAGCATACCACAAGCAATATCATAATCAAGTGTATCAGCAGTGTTCTTCTTATTTTGCTCTTCTACAGTCAATTTTACAGCTTGAAATCCGAATCTGCATTTAACGGCTTCTTTATAGTAATCTACTGCAACAACTTGAGGCAAAAGATAAATCAGCCGATCAACACAAATAGAACGAGAGCGGCGCATATAGAACGTCTTCAGTAGGTTATGATACGAATCTCTATCATCATAGAACTCATAGTGAAAGATTATTTACAGAGGTAACACTATTAGGGTTTTAGCAAAGGCAGATCAGTACTAAAATGTTCTTATTTTATTCTAGTGGGGAAAATAAATTAAACATTAATCAAATAATACCCAAGGAAGCACAGAGAGAAGAAATTAATCTTATCCTAGGCGTCCCTAAGCCAACATTAAAAAAGGATTTATCAGTGCAGCAAATCAGGCCAGCTAAAGAACGTAGAGAGTACGAGTTCATTTCACATCATCACTTGTCATTTGTTTACAGCCATTTCTTTGGTAAAGGATCAAGAATTTCTTCAAGCGAAGAAAGCATATGGCTTGGTAAAGTGGAGCCATTGGATATAATGTTCACAGAATGCCCACCTGGGATGAAATCATTGATTGAACCTCTTTCGAAAACGTTTCCTATTAATATTGCAACGATGTACTCGAGTGAACGAATGGCTCGCTTACTATAGAAGACTTTGTTAGTCCTGCTACGACTACGTCTGGCTGCCACAAGGGAAAAAAACTTTTTGACAAAAGACGCAGGTAAGCGAACTGATTTCATTTAATAATATTCTTTAATTTACTTGTGATAGCTTTCGTAATCTTAATGAAAAAGCTAAGAAAATGCAGGATAACCGTGCCACAGAATAAATATGGAGCTTGCCTATCCTTATTAATTGTTGCATTTTTAAAGAAAATAATCAAGTCGAGTGAGGACAGTTGGGAAGAGGCCGAAGCTTTGCCGGGCGAGGAAGAATATGAACGAGAAGCAGAATTTTTACCGAACAAAGAAAACAGTCTTTAGGTGAAGATGCTTCAAGTCTACGAATAGGTCAATTAAAGTCAGTAGTAAAGCACTTAGTTTTTTCACAATCCTACGTTGATTCAGAAAAGGATATTACAACGCAATCTTGTGATGCAATAGAAAAAAGAAACTTTAGTATGTGCCTTAATTGCCAACACCGTAAAATTATTTCTTTCCTGCTAAAGAGAAATACAACACCATAGCTCATCAACTATACTTTTGTACATGGGCAAATAATGTTTCAAAATACGCGGGGTATTCAGAGTTTACTATGGAATTACATCCTTCCACATCATTCTCCTCACTAAACGTACTGCATCTGGATGCGCCTACACTGTATCAGTTGCTGATTCAGGAATTCACTGAAGTATATCAAGAGGGAAAGTAAACTGGTAGTCTACGGGTACGATCAACAACCGATTACATCACTTGAAATCGCACGACAAAACGAACGCACACTCTTTAATGCTATATTTAATATGGACCTGCTGCAGACTAACTGCAAATCATATGATTTGTATTTTGTTCATAGAGTATTCTGCTGGTAAACACTATATACACCAGAAAATAGACCAATGCCACGGGCGCTTTCTTGGGGCACTACATGTGGGATCACTATACAACTTCACATTACCAAAATATCTGCCTAATCTAAGGCTGTCCAGTTCACTCTTTCTGATATAAAATACGAATGTACCATAACTACACATGAACAGTCTTGGCTCCTTGTTGATCAAACTGACAACATAAAACTAGAATAAATAAAGGAATAACAGCATTTCTTTTTATCTCTTCTTGTTCTTGAAAAGAAATAACCAAATGGTGGCTTTATAAAGACATGATTAGCGTGCCGTTACACATTGACCTAAAGCTAAAGAGTCCTCTCTCATTACTCAAACAGCCATAAAGAAAGACGAAAAAGGCGTAATAAATGCTGAAACACATGAACTGTCGATCTCAAATGATTTCCTTTTTGCAGGCACAGACAATGGTTTGGTGAAAATGACAACCTCTGTCCCCCATTCTCTTACCAAGAGCAAAGTTTCATTTAAAATTCTATAATCATTACGTAACTTTAGAAAGCACAGAAATAAATGGAGCTTCATAGATGGGTTTGAATGATGAAGAAAAATCCTTTCTTAACTTGCCCGCAATAATTAGGACATCAGCTGATGATATTGATTTGAGTCACGGTTATTATCAACAGTGAAATAATCTAGAAAGGACGAAGAAAGAAACAGCAGAAGGAAAGAAGATACAATTGTTAGAAGATGCTATGAGCAAAGCAAGCACAGATAACAGTGTCAGTACTATCGCTGAATTAACAACCAGCTTTCAACCAAACTTTGGCAACCGCAACAGAATGCGAGCCTTTTACTATAGCAAAAAAAAAAAAAAGTATCAATCAGCGGCGTCACATTGAAATACAAAAAAACTGTTATTGTCATAAGCTTTGCTGAAAAGAGCAATTGAAGCTCACACATACTGCAGATAATATCTCTTTAAATTATGTTGTATGGTTACTGATGTGTATTGTCTAGAAAATGATGCTAACAAAAAATTATTGATGTTTGTTGGGGATAGGGAACAGAAGTAAAAGGCTTCAAGCGTTAAGGAGGTAAGTGGAAAGAGAAAATGCATACTGAAGCAGTCAGCTTTTTCGTCTTTTATAGTTAGCTTATCGCCAGAGCAGATAACGCGTCTTTCGATTTAACTGCTTTCTTGTTCTTTACTGAGATACCCGAGGAATTTGTTCATATGAATGCCTCCCTTTGTGCTCTTGAATGTCGTCTTTTCGTTTTTTATTTGTTTTCGTTTTGGGTGAGCCAACTTCGTAAAGCAGAAGACACAGATCTGGGATGTCCTTGTTCTCGTTTATCATGCTAATTTTCTCTCTAAAACGGCATTTACTCTTTAGTGGTGTGTCTGCCATCCATTGGTGGTCTTTTAACGTCATTCTGGAGATTTCCATAATTGAAGCCTAACAAGTAGAGAGTAGCATACTTTTGGATATTAGTAAGTATGTAAACATAAAGCTGTACAGTCTTTTATATTACAATATTACTTATTACAGTTACATATTCAAGAAACCAATTTATCACTTGTAAATAAACTTATTTTTCTTTTATTTTTCCAAAGTAAACATGAGAAAAAAATAATTCAAGATGAGATTGGGTATGTGTGAGCACTCTTATTGAATAATTTTGTCTGTTGAACTGTAAATCCAGCAATAGGAGCTTGCTAGCAAAAGTATCAAAGGAAATAAAAGATAAAGAAAGTCGACGTGTTAATACAGCGGTTGCCCCATTCGAACAAGGTAGATGATATATATAAATATCATATTACAGTAAGATACATTTAGAGCAGATGCTCTATCTTTTAAGCATTTCATTTAAATATCAAACGCACTGATCCATCGCGTTCTTCTTCTTTTTGCTGAATCACGACACGTGCATCTATGTATTCATACACGTCTTCATAACACTGAAACACAAGTCAATGCGCTTGACTCGGCATAATGATACAGACCGTGGTCATGCAATAAAATCTTAGTTGTCATAGAAACTGAGTCAAACGCCACCTGGCTGCTTTCCAAACAGATGTTTTAGTTGAAAATCAGTTGACTGCGGGGCCTTTTTTCATCAAAAGAGATATTAGAAGTAGAGAAAAAAAGAGAGAATAATAAGTATCCAAAGACATGTAACACCACTTACCAAGCACTGTTTGGCAAGAACATCACGCGCATAGGAAGAATGTACACATTGGGGTTTTGATATTTCATTGGCCGATCAAAACTTTTTTTAAGAAACGCGGGCGGTAACCAAGGGAGACAGAGTTCACTTTTTTCCCTTTTGTGTATTTCATATTTCTACATATATTGAATACAACTTTATAGCCCTCGCGATGAAAGTGAAGATTGTCATTTCAGAACCGTCAGAAGTCATAGATCCCCTTGTGACAGAACTTGCAGCTTGTATACAGATGAGCAAAAGAGTTTTAGTCATCACGGGTGCAGGCATCTCTTGTAATGGTGGCATTCCCGTACGGCCTACATCAAGAAAAAAAATTTTTTATTCATAATATCTCTATTGTAGGATTTTCGATCTTCTGATGGTCTCTACAACCTTGTAAAGAAGAAGCATCCAGATATTATTTTAAAAGGCAAAGACTTATTTGATGCCACTCTGTTTAAGAGCAAAGAGCAGACACAGTGCTTTTACACCTTTATGGCCGAATTGAAAAAGACAATTGATGCAGCCATGCCAACCCCTACACACTCCTTTATTCACGGCTTACAAGAATCCGGCCAATTGATGCGATGTTATACACAAAATATTGATTGTCTAGAGGACTCTTTAAAATTGTCCGTCGTACGATTACATGGATCAATGGATAAAGTAAAATGCACGCTTTGTCCTGCATCCTATGAGTTCACTGTAGACTATGAAGATCAGTTCCGAAGAGGCGATCCACCTGTATGCCCACAGTGTGAGATGAATGATAGTGAACGTGTCAGATTAGGTAAACGACAACTCACGCTTGGCACATTGCGACCCAATATCGTGCTTTACAATGAAGATCATCCAGATAGTGAAGAGATCGGCAAGGTTCAAACTGCAGACTTAAAAAGGAAGCCCGATCTGCTGATTGTCATGGGCACGTCATTGAAAATACCAGCCTTGAAAAAATTCATCAAACAGGCCGCTCGTCTCATCCATACTAATAAATCAGGAAAAGTTGTCTTTGTTAACCGTACAGCACCCACCAAAGAATGGGATAGTGTATTCGATTATGAAGTCTTGGGTGATACAGACGATTGGGTAAGAATGACACAAACCAAGTTTGAGGATGAAAGCACAATGAAAGCAGCAAAGACACGCCTCAGACGCGCCTTAGCAGCCGCCAATCAAGATGAGTCAGCGCCAAAGAAGAGCAACGCCAAGAAAAAGACAGTCAAGAAGCCATCACAACCACAAAAGAAGAACTCAAAGCGATCTCATTCTCAATTGACACTGACAGAAACTTTTGTGACAAGAAAGCGCCCAAGTACAAGATCTGCCTGTAAAAGTGTATAAATCATATAATTAGACAATTATTTCATTTTATGTATCTACACCACATTCGTTTATCTATTTTTCAAAATACACGCGTTTTCCCCCCTTAATTTTGGATACAAGCCACATTTGTCTTTTTCGCATTCATGCCTCTATTTTTTTGACCTGATGTCCCTTTGTACTTGACGGTATTGTTCCAGTCAAAAGATATAAATACTTGTATTATTTAATGCTTTAAAAGAGATATGCGTAATGTTACTTTCTCATTAAGAATGACTATATCAGCTTTTCGGTTGGCTCAGATCAGCCAGTAAAAAAGCAAATCGATGTATTGATCCTTACCATATGTCTGCTCCTGATTAGATCGTATAAGCAGTTTTATTCATTTTATATTTCTTTAATTCTTTTTCTTCTAAAGAGCTTTCTGTAGTTGCACACTTCTTTACCGAAAATGAATGACTGAGCTGGGCATTTGGTAGAAAACCACGTCAATGCCTTGGATATCCTACAAACAGTCTCTCAAAGACTTATGCTTGCTTTCATTTACACTGGAGCTTTACAAGTTTGATGTCATATTAGATCTCATGCCTATAATTCCCTTCAGGGCTTCTTTATACACTTTGTACTAGCGCTTCTCTAGTCCAAGGGATAGCCACTTGTATGCTTCATGTGATAGATAGTTTGGATTTCTGTAATAGTACCTTTGACAGAACCAATGAGGCACAAAAATGAACGTCAAAGGAAGGTTGTAGCATCGATCGCAAATATCTCGACTATAGCGCATTATTCATTGGATAAAAATAAGGTCGACTTGTCATTGCACTTCAATAAGAGAAGACAGTAGAAGCATGCACCGTATATCATGTACTGTTCTTTCGCTCAAAGCTCTCGGAGGTGTAGGTATAACGCGATATATCAGTCAAAAACTTTACCGTAGCAGTTCGTTGTTGTATAATCACACACTTGTTCATTTTGTCGGGTGTTGTATCGTTTATGGTTTTCAGGTCAATTTAGGTTCAGCAGTCCCGAATCTTGATTGGCCAAGCCTTGACGGAGAGATAAAAAAAAAGTGTCAAAAGAACCCTGGCATCCTAATTTTTTCTCTTCAAGAGAGGAACGATGGCTTCATTACTAAGACGAGTATATAGACAACCTCAGCTCTTCCGCTCATTCAGTACAACTGCCACACCTGCCTCTTCACATGGCTTGAACCGATTAAAGGAATACTATGATAGCACTGTTGCCGAAGACCTCATGGTCTTGGGCTACGATCACAGTCGTGTTGCACCTTCTACTTCTAAATATCTCGACATTGAAGCTAAAATTCAACACATTTTACAACAAGAAGGCCCTGAACCAACAAAGGAACCCACAGAATATGTTCACCGTACTCGAAAGGGTGGTAAGCCAGTCAAACCCATTCAACCCTTAAAGAACGGTCAAATCATTCCCAAGTTGGACAAAATCACACTTCATGCCATGGTCAAAGAATCGATTCACAACAAAAGTAATCTATTAAGTGCATTGATGGCTTTCCAAAGCATCACCGGTTGTCGACCAGAAGTTGTCTATGCCAAGAAATCAGTAGCTAATTGGAAATTACGGTAAGAGAAAGAGAGATTGTGTATGTTCAAATCGAAAATTAATCATGGCCTTTTTATAGTGAGGGCATGCCTATAGGTGTTAAAGTGACATTAAAGGGAGAGGAAATGTATCAATTCATGGATAAATTGATCGAAATTGTGCTTCCACGTCTTAAAGAATGGCCAGGTTTGTCCATTACGGCCGGTGACGGTAATGGTAATATTGCCCTTGGTTTTCCACCTTCAGCACTTGCCTTATTCCCTGAAATCGAAGGTTCATTTGATGTGTATCCAAAGATGACTGGGTTCGATGTAATTTTTAATACCACGGCTTATACAAATACAGACGGCCGTTTGCTACTTTCCGCATTTTCTGTACCATTTAGCAAGAGGAAATAATAAAAATAAAATAAATATAGATTTTATGTACATTAAACAAATGTGTTCTAGCCACCTTTTGTGTTTTCAAGGACAAGCTATACTTCTTTCAACTTTTGTTACAATCACTAGTAGTCCATATCAAATAAGCATTCGCTAGATCACTTGCATTGATAACCGTCAGATATGACTAATGAGTTCATAACACTAGGTTAAACAAACAAATAAACAAACAGACCAGTAAGGCTCAATAGAGTCGTGTGCATCTTACTTCCAAAGGCAAAGTAAGCACATTAATATCCGAAGCTCCCTCCTTTTAATGTGAAGTACTTCCTTTTTTGTTGTACTATGCGAGCGAAGGAAAGAAAAAAAAAAAAAAAAAAGAAAACGGGTGCTTTTAACCGGCTGTTAAGAAAATACAAAGTTTAAACAAGCTAAATCCCGCAAAATGCGAAGTAGCAAAGTGTTGTTCAATGTATATCTAATGCCAATACCATACCTGGTTTACGACCTTGAAATCAGTATGTTTCTCCCTTACTGCTCGCTGATCACTCATTTAAATGTTGTATTAAAGAAAATTAACGAGGCTCGTATCACACTTTGACGTAACTGTGAACCGCTGATAGACTAAAATAAATAGGCAGCTAAGGAGACAGTCTTGAATCGAAGCAGACTCTTTTCTTGTGTTTTCTTTTAGAGGCTCGACTGTATTAAGGAGGTGCATCAAACACACCACTGTTGTTATATTAAAAAAGTAGAAGCTTGTCCTCGTCTTGGCAATTTGTTTAGGCTAGAGTCCTTGGCCAAATAAAAAGCCTATCATAGTGGAACGTCTATGGGGTGATTTGATGTCTGTATACAGTTGAGTGCAGTCGAATAAATAAACAAATAATGGTATAATAATAGCAAATGTAATAATACCAAAACCAGTTCCATCTACGCCTATGACTTATACAAGGAGTAAATACACCCCTCACTTGATCTCTTACAAATAGGAATTGGCACATTATGTTTCATCTATCACATGAATTCATGTCCCCATTTACAACTTACTGTCGATCCAAGGTAATCATAAATTCAATAGCCGATAAAATAAACCCAGTCTTCTTAATTCTTCCCTTCTTCTTTTCTTTTTTTTTCGGTTTTCTTACTCAACATGGCCGATTTAACTATACCTACTCCGCCTAGAACGCCTACAGAACTACCAACACCGAGCAGTAGTTCTGCCTCTTTAAAGACTTCTTTTTCCAACAAGAGTACATCAATAAAAGAAAATGTACAGGTCATGGTTCGATGTAGACCAAAGTCCAAGAAAGAGCTCGAAGAAGAGCCTTGCTGGATTATTGATACTCGACAGGGAACGATTGAACTTGCTCGAATAACATCTACAGCCCGGTCATTTCAGTTTGGTAAAATGATGAAATAGAACCTGATATATTCAGCTGTATATTTATGCTTTTCTTTCATAGATAATGTCATGATGGGTGAAGGCAACGAGCAAGTTTATAAGGCAGGCATTCAGGATCTGGTTAGGTAAGCAGATAGTCATCCTTTAAAATAGACCACAGTTTACTAATGTCTGAATAGATCAACTATGATGGGTTATAATGGTAAATTACTCTTTATTTTGCATGCAGCAGAATGTTAAATTTTCTTAAATTTAAGGCACTGTGTTTGCATACGGACAAACCGCCAGTGGTAAAACTTATGTAAGGATGCATATTCTTTTTATTTAAATAATCTAACTAAAAATGACTTATAAAATAGACGATGGTAATATAGTACACAGATGATTACAAGAACCATAATAATAACTCCTTTCATTTTATCTTTATTACCTCATGACATATTGTGTTTATTATAGATGGGTAAATTCGGACTCTAAATATTTAGCAACACAGAATACTAACCTCTCCTGCCCTTCAGGTACCGAAAAAGAGCCCGGTGTGATTCCTCGTGCGGTTGAAGAAGTATTTTCGTATATTGAAGAAGTAAATAATCAACAAGTCTACCACATGTTTACTTAAACGCATTTTTGTTCATAGGATACATCCGGAAGAGAATATCTGCTCCGTGTTTCTTATATGGAAATATATAATGAACGCATCAAGGATTTGCTGTCAGATGTAGATAGCAATCCAGAAATTGTAGAAGACAGAAAGGTACATTATTCTATAAGATTTTGATTCCCTTTACTAATCGTTTTGATGTTAATAGAAAGGAAACTATGTTCGTAACTTGAAAGAAGAAATAGTCAAAACCTCACAAGACGTGATCAACTGTATCAAAAAGGGTGAAGGCAATCGACACATTAGCGCCACCGACTACAATGAACGTAGCAGTCGATCCCACACTATTTTTCAACTGATGATTGAGAGTAGACCAAAGTCAATTGGAAGCAAGACCAATATCGTCCGTTTTTCTCAATTGGTAAGGATCAACTTGTATGTTGTCATCCTTTATCACTCACAACAATTTATCTAGAACTTGATTGATTTGGCCGGTTCTGAAAAAGTAACAAGCGATGTAGAGCGAAGAAAAGAAGGTGCATACATCAACAAGAGTTTGCTAACTTTGGGCAATGTTATATCGAAATTAACAAGTGATTCACCGTAAGTCTTTATATTTTTTTTATGCTGCATTATACTCATTCTTTCTTCACAATAGACCTATGCATATCCCTTTCAGAGATTCAAAATTGACGCGTATTCTTCAGACTGCATTATCTGGAAATGCAAGAATTTCAGTTATCTGCACTATCAACCCGACATTCTCCTCTAAAGATGAATCCATGAACACATTAAAGTTTGCCCAAAGAGCCAAATTGATAAAGACAGATGCTAAAATGACCAAGGTACACGAAAATATACAATGAAATCTGTTTGAAATATTCATAATAATGTGACAGATCGGTGAGCATTCAGAGCTGCAAAAATATTTACGTACAATTGCTGAACTTCAAACACGAATGCAAGAGAAAAACGATGTATGTTTGCTTATATAAGCCCTTTGAAAGGAAAAGTTGAAACTAACCTTATTTTTTGTTAGCTTGAAACAGAAACGAAAAAGAGGTATACAAAGCCACATTGTTTATCTTTCTTATCTCATTCCTTTGTTATTTAGATTAGAGAACTTATTGAGCTTAATTTTAACCAGTTCTAAGGGAACGAACAAGGATGAAGAGGTAAATTTCCATTTATAATCATTTCTAAAGCACATCTTGACGTATCATTCTATCTCTAGCGTGATAGCTTCCAGATAGCTTCCTTTGTTCCAAAAGATTGTACTATTGAAGAGGTTGCTCGTCGTTGTGAAGAAGGATTCGCGGCCAAGTGCGAAGCACATACAAGAGAAATGCAGAGAAAAACGGAAATGATTGATCAATTGGAGAGCACAGTTCAAGTGCTTGAAAGTATAAATTCTCAAAAGGCAGAGATTTTAGCAAAGCGTGAGGCACAGATTGAATTGCTCAATAAAAAGCTGCATGAAAAATCAACTACAAGCGTACAACATCTTATGGCTGCCTTTCACAAAGCAGGCGTTGATCAACCGCAAGTGCAACGCGCATTAGAAACATTATTTCTTTCTGTGCACCCAGAAGACATTAACAAATCCAAGGAAATTATCACGCAAAGTATTATTCAACAACAGCAAAAGCAACAGCAACAGCAACAAAAAAAGCAAAAAGAGCAGCAAAAAGGACATGAAAAGGAACAAAAATTAGAACAACAACTAGAACAACAGGCAAATGTCCAAGCAGACTCACAGGAAAAGTCTCAGGCAAGCACTCAGACAGACGCACAAGTCAATATTCAAACAGACACTCAGGCAGATTCCCAAGAAAACACACGAGCTAATTCTCAGACAGAGCAACAGACACAATCTATGACAACCCTTTTGGCAGAACAACAGACAAGCCCCCTGGCAAACACTCAGGAAGAACACCAGGCAGAGCAAGCTATATATACCAAACCTAAAGTATCACCACAATTATTTATATCCATACAAGAAGCATGTACATACTGTCCGTTACCGGCATTTACAATATACCAACCCATCGAAAAATACTCTTGTCCTGACCTGGTTGAGGACGGTAATACGAGCGATACCACTGAACATGGACATTCTCGTGAAAACTCTTTCTGGGAGGAACAAAGTTATAAGACGGACAGTGAAGTAGAGGAGATCGATAAAGTATATTCTCCTTATGCTGAGCATATCCAGCAGACCTTATTCTACCTTCCAAATTGGATTCTTGTTGCATGGTGTATTTTCTACCTTCTTCGTTTATAAATACCCCCCCTCCCTCCATTATCATTGACATGTGTAAAATAGGCAAATCATTTCTCCCATTTTGTTTAATAAAAGATGCATATATGTATACAGTATTCTAAATTGTGTATATTTTTATTTAAAGACTTGATCCACCAACAACAGCAATACCAGGTCCACGTGTGGAAGATACAACAACGTTTTGAATAATAGCTGTGTATCATAGCAATATGAGTTACAATGCAATATGTCAACCTTATTCATGACTCACCTTTTAAGTTGTTGGCTTTTCCAAATGTTCTTAATTCTTCCAGAATAGCTTTTAAGTTGGCTATAAAAATATTAGCTTTTTATATATAGAATAATATAATATATGCATACCTTCAAGATCATTTGATTGGAAATGCACTTTGCCGATTCCTACAGAACATTAGGTATGTTGAATATTGAACATCTTTTTGCTGATTTACCTGTATGCAAAACGCCGTGTTTATCTGCTTTGAAATCAAACAAACTCTTTGACATGCGTACAACATTAGCTACATCGTCTGTGACAGTTCCTATTGACATACAGCACGTTATTACTTGTCTTCAAAAAAAAAAAACCATTTCTTGATCTACCTTTCTTGACGGTTGGCATAAGATTCTTTGGGCCGAGAATTTTAGCAATCTTTGTCACAGCAGGAAACATTTGAGGTGTAGCAATACATTTATCAAACTTGAGTTCACCGGCCTTGATTTGTTCAATCAGTTCCTCACCACCAACAATTTGAGCGCCGGCTGCTTTGGCTTCCTCAGCCTTCTTTCCCGTCGCAAACACAAGCACAGTTGGTTCTTGCTTGATACTCTTGGGAAGCACAAGTGATCCACGAATAAGAGGTGTTGATTTTTCGATTTTACATTGAACGTGAGCTTCGATCTGGTGGTTAGGGTTACCGACTTCCAGAGCCTTTAGGATGCGGAAGGCTTCTTGAAGTTCGATGGCATCTTTGTTTTCTTTAATAACTTTTCGTTTAGTGGCGTAGGTGCGAAGAGAATGAAGGCGACAGGCAAGTGGTCGAGTGAACATGATTGGGAAAAGAGAGAAAAAATATAAAAAGAAGTCCCTTTACACCCCCTTGCCTTCGCTGGCTCTTATTTTAAAGCCCGTTCTCGCTCTTTCTCCAATTTAGCTGTTGATTTGAATTTATGATATGTTAATGCCTGTATGCTATGCTCTCTTATTTGCTACAAAGAAATAAGAAGAAGCAGTTATCTTCCAATCTTTGGTCTGATGCTCAGAGTATCCTTTTGCTTTTGACAATAGAGTGTGAACCTTTGTTTGTTTGCGTATGTTTTATCAAATCAAAAAAGTATGGAGAATGACTGTCAATAAAAGGATGATACCAAAATGTTGGTAAAAGTGAAAAACTCATCATACAAGGATTCCTTAAAAAGAGATACTGATCATTCTATCTAAAAATGCATCTTCTATTGACATCATTATGTATTTGCTTGGCTTATTTCCATTTTTGATCGGAAAAAGTTTAAAACCGAAATTATTTAGGTGATTATGACGGCATTTATAATTTTCTTTTCTTTTATTCTTATTTAAACTATGAGTTGGAAGGTAAGCTTATAGAATTAAAAAAGTGTAAAGTGGCTTAGAGTTCAATAGGGTTTACAAAAAGCAGTGAATAGATTACCTTATCAAATATTGTCAAAAAAGAGTGAAGGTATTAGTGTCAGCATACATACACAAATGAAAAATGCTAAGCATTTCTTTATATTAGCAACAAAGGATCCTGAGTTCATTATACTCGAGAAACAATTTAATGAATTTGCTAAAGTGGTTGAAGTATTCTCTAAAGATGCTCGTATCTTTCGAGATAATATTGCAGGTAAACAAGAGATCTTTCACGCACACGCGCTCTTGAGGGTTTGTTTGTGCATGTGTGTTGACATTTTCTTTTCCTAGCCTTGTTGACACATCAAACTGCAATGGCACAATACTTGAGTACGATTTTTGATAACAATCTGGGAATTGAAGTGCCTCAAGGTATGGTTCAAAAGAGGTTTCAACAAACACCTGCACAGCAATTACAAGCTGTCAATGATGCAGAAGCAGCTATGGCCTATTGTCGAGATGAAGTATTACCCGAATTGGTAAAGTGAGTGTTTGGATGAGATATAAATAGTGGGAGAAAGTGAAAAACAAGGGTTATGCTAACGGTCTGTCATTATAGGACGTATTAGATCGAGATATAGTGAGACCAATCATGGAACTGAATGAGATTATCAAAATGATTCAAAAGACAATTACAAAACGCAACCACAAATTGATTGATTATGATCGACATCGATTGTCTTTACAAAAACTAAACACCAAAACAGAAAGAAGCTTTAGTGAAGAAAAGCAGATATTCAAGGTAAAAAAAATAAAGCTGTGACAGCAGGAGCACATTGTGACCTTTTTCTACAGATTCAATCACAGCTTGATGTAGCCACACAAGATTATAATTATCTAAACGACCTGTTGAAACGAGAATTACCCCGATTCTTTCAACTCAAGGTCTCGCTGATTCAACCGGTATTTGAAAACTTGTACAACATGCAGGCCCGTATCTATGGCATGATTTATGCTCGTTGCTATGAGTTACTTAACCAGAATCTGGAGGCATTCTCAACGCACATGATGGGCATCCAAGATGGGTTCAGCCGACGAGCCCAGATCAGGGACGCACGTGCGGAGATGGAAAATTTGGACTTGCTTAAATCAGGCGGCAAGGCTTGGTTAGCGGCATCAGGCGGTGTTAATAATTCGAAACTGTCCTTGCAGGAACGTGCAGCACTCCGCAAACAAGAGGAGGCCGGTAGTCCATACATGGCACAACAGTCACCGCCACCAGCTTACACAGAGGCATCCTCGTTCAGAGTGGAGCAACCAGAAAAGAAACGATTCGTCGTTGCCTTGTATGATTACACTGCACAGGCGGAAGGTGATCTCAGTTTTAAAAAAGATGATCGTATTGAACTAGTACAACGTACTGCGGACACGAATGATTGGTGGACGGGTCGCTTGAACGGCATCACGGGAGTCTTTCCAGGTAACATTCCCTTTTTGTCACAGTGTTTCATTCTTATTCTAAACATGACAAACAATAGGAAATTATGTAGCAGAACTATAGTATTTTTATGTGAAAAAAAATGGTTTATTGAATAAAATAATATAAAGAAACATAAAACATATTTTTGTCTTTTTTTTTTTTTTCATAGATTTACAAACATAGACTATTTTTTGAACGTATTTAAAATAATGATTTCCACATAAAACTTTTAGAGAGAGAGGGTCATATGAGCTGTTGTTGAAAGGGAGGAGAGAGGGGGAGGGTATAAGTTTAGGGTAAAACGTGATTAACGAATCTGGCAAGTTCATTTGAAGTAGAACACTTCAAGAGTCTACTTTGAACATGAGCCTCAATTTCCTATACATACATTAGTATTGCTATACAAGTTAACATCATTAGAAACTTACAGAAAGGACATCCTTTGCACTGGGTCTTGTAGCAGGTTGTTCATCTAGTAACCAAGCAACCAATCCGCGCATGTACATTGTAGGGTAACTATAGGTAAAGGTAGGACTAGGTTCATGAAGAATGACGCTAAAGAGTTCCATTTCGTCCTTGATCAAGTAGTGAGGAGGCACTCTATCCATCATTTCGATAATGGTTATACCAAGTGACCACATGTCAATCTTTTCACTATAATACTGCTCCCGAATTACCTCGGGAGCCATCCATTTGCTTGTACCCAATCGGTCACGATTACGTCTGGTTGTACGAGTCGCCAAACCAAAATCAGCTATTTGGTAAAATCATTTGGGTTATCACCCTGCAAAACTAGTTTATCGTTTCATGTTAACTTACCTAGTTTTACTTCGCCATTCCAACCGAGCAAAAGGTTTTCACACTTGATATCACGGTGAATGAATCCCTTAGAATGAAGATAGTTCAATCCCTTGAGTGCCTCACAAGCGATGTGAATTGTGTGCTCCTCAGGAATGCCTCTCTGACAAAGAACGGCAAAAACAGAGCATCGCATGAGATCCATAGCCATCCAGACATCGTCTCTCCACAAGGTGACTTCACGAAGCCGAATAAGATTGGAATGACCTGATGACATGATGCGCAGTTCTCTGATAATGGCTGCTTTATATTCACGGTCGGGGTCTAATCTGCATCGTTTGATGGCCAAGTGAAGATTTTTTTTGTACTTGTGAGTGGCACGGACAACGGCACCATTAACACTATATAAAGTTCAATAAAAGATTTTACAATTCACCTATATCTATTTACCCTGTGCCTACTTCCTTAAATCCGGTGTATTTGTTCTTTGGATCAAGTGTCGAAACTGGAATTTTGGGTAATGCTTTACGTACTTTTCTTTCAAATTCATTTTCTGAACGAATCAAGGGAGGTAGTTGGGGAATTTCTGTTGTGGGTCCAACAGGGTACCAAGGTTTGTTGGTAATCGGCTTATCTGGATATTCACGAAGCGTAAATGTCTTTTTGGGGTTGGGTTCTGGTTTCAGGAAACAATCTGGGCCAAAGACATTGGGAATTTCATAATATCCAGGAGGACGCCAAACTTCCTTTAAGAATAAAGTTTAATTGTGTGTGCGTATGCTTGTTATTTGTATATAAATACCTTTATTACAGTATTATTCGTTTCACTTGATTTAGTAGAATAGAATGAAGACCTGCGAATACAACCTGTTGATCTTCTTTTCAAGGTCATATCAACAGTAATCAAACTTGTTTTTTCTGTTGTTAATGATCTAGATTTACGTAATTGCTGCTTCGGCACAACTGATGAGCGCTTTTGATCCGATAGTCTCTGTAAATAAGAGTTATATATACAATCATGATACACAAACAATATATACTTACGTTCTTTTCTTGGTCTTTGGCTACAGCAAGGATATGCTTACCAATCTTGACTGCTGTTGCTGCTGCTGCTGATGCTGCTCTTGCTGCTGCATGATGATGATGCTGATTATTAGTTTTAGAATTAATATTATTATTGTTGTTGCTGTGAATATGAATCATTTTATTAATATGAAAAAAAAAGAGTTCTATGAAAATAAAATCATGAAAGAGAAAAAAGAAAAAGAGAAAGAAAGAGAAAAACTTTTTTTATTTTGTATTAGAAACTAAACACCCCCTCCCCATTTTTATCCACTTTGTGTTGCATGTTTAAAATAGTGTCTATAAAAGAAACACATGCTGTAACTGAGATTCAATTCCATTTGTTTCCAAGTACATAAAAAGAATAAAATAAAGGCATAAAAAACCATGGATACTTTATTTTTGTCATGACAACGGCTATTGTTGTTGTATGCTACTCTTTCGGTCTGGGTAGCGTAATCTCTCCCCTTTTTTTTCACAGAGGTACGCTCACTTCTTTTGACTTGCTATACCACGTGAATGAATGGTTTTAAAAGTTAATCCCCTTATTTTATATGTTAAATGTCAAACACATTTCATATCAACGTGTTATACACAAAAAACGTGGCAATTCTTATTGTTTTATTAAATTGAGCATGTCACAAAAAGAATGGAAAATCATCTGGACTTTTTAATGATCTTGTAAAGAAAGAATAGAAGGAGAACATCCCTTCCCCTTACTCCTCCTTCTTTCGTGAAACTATTGATGATTTGCAACGAACAAAAGAATTGATACAACAATGAACTTATTCAGTAATCAATTGATACAATTCTTTACAAATATCAGAGTTCTAGAAGACAAATTTACAAATCGACTTGGCTAATTGCAAGTTTTTTTTTTTTTTTTCTTTAAAACTTTTTCCGTAGTATGACAGAAGCATTTGGAAGAGCGGTAAAGTAAAACGTAGATCATTGGAAAAAGTATAATAATAATAGTGAATGCATTATAATGTGAGGGTTACATATCAGCTGATGAATGACTATTGTTCGAGGCATAAACAGATTGAATGTAATAATCAAAAGAATACACACAGACAGGGGGAGGGAAACTTGGTGTTCACTCGATCGCTTTTACTAATTATGTCGATTTGGTACTAAAAGTCCTGCAGCGGTTTTTTATAGTATAATTTGTGATCATTATGCTTTGTCAAGAATATAATAGATTAACCGCATGCCTCGTCTTTTAGATCAGCATAGTAGCTTCATAACGAAAATATCTCATTTATACTGGTAACAAAAGAATGGTACCAGTAAATAATTCGATGATTATAAACGAACTAACTGTTAATTCCTAAAGATCCTATTTCATGAAATTTATGGTAATGTAAACGCTGGAGCCTCTAGAGAGATATTGATTTATATTCTCTTTGTTCAATCTATTGACAGGTTAGTTATGCTTGCAATTGGCCATAGCAACTGTAATACAAGTAAGTACAATAAGATTAGTCTATTTTTTTTCTTTTTTTTCTTTATTTTGTTTTGTGGCTAGAGAAATCTAGCAAATCACACAATGAATTATTATAAAAGCAATCCAGTGGCACTTTCTTTAATAGGTCTTGTATGTGTGTTCAGTCTCTTTATAAGCTATAGTCAATGCACTTTTATATTGTTTGTTTGTTGTTAAACAAGAAATTACTGCTTTGCTGTTGCAACCTACAGCAGTAACAAGCAAACTTGTTGTCAGTGATATAAAAAAAGGGGGAAAGAGTCTTTTTAATAAACTCACCAGATTTGATTATTTCCTTCACGCCGTTTGTAGTCACGTTCTCTAATACACCATCTCTTGACACTCCAGAAAAAAAACTCGTCATTTTTTCCCTTCTCTTTATTGTTATGATATTTAATGTGCGCCCTATCTCACTTGCCTTTTTTTAGTGAAAACGCGCGGAGCAATAAATATTCAAATGTGACAAATAGACTATATTCTCAGCCCTCTCTCTTTTTTAAGCTTTTCTTTTCTATTTCTTATAAACAAGATGGATGATGAATACGATTACCTCTTCAAATTAGTTCTCATTGGTGATTCAGGTGTTGGTAAATCTAACCTATTGTCTAGATTTACGGTAAATATAGAGAATGAACTCAAGTTTATTTTCTAATCTTGGAAACTCATCTCGTTCATTAGACAAACGAATTCAACTTGGAATCAAAGAGTACTATTGGCGTTGAGTTTGCAACTAAAAACTTAGAAATAGGTAATCATTCTATAAAAGGGAAAACACCGAGATAAGTATGATGTTCATATGGTTGTAGATAATCATACTGTCAAGGCTCAAATTTGGGATACAAGCGGACAAGAAAGATACAGAGCTATTACGGGAGCGTAAGTTACTTGTTCGTGGCAATGAAAAGGCCCCGCTAACTTTATATATATATATGTAGTTATTATCGTGGTGCAGTTGGCGCACTCTTAGTTTACGGTAAAAAAAGGCAGATATTTTATGAATACGTTACTGAACCCTTCATCAATAGACATCACTCGTCAATCCTCTTTTCAGAATGTTCAACATTGGCTCAAGGAATTAAGAGACCATGCAGACCCAAACATTGTGATCATGCTTGTGGGTAACAAGGTCGATCTGAGCGAGTCCAGTCGACAGGTTCCTACAGAGGATGGTGGAGCATTAGCCGAGCAGGAAGGGTTCTTATTTATTGAAACATCTGCTTTGGATGCCACCAACGTCGACAAGGCCTTCGCTACCGTCTTTGATACAATCTATTCTAATTTACCCAAAAAGACCAACCAAGCTGCAGATACCGCCAACCAACAGCCCACGGCTGGCGAACGTATTCAGTTAAGACCTCCCAGTGTCCGAGGCTTATCTTCTCGTGAGGAGAACTCACAACAAAAGAAGGAGAGCGGTGGATGCTGTTAAGATTATTTGTTTTGTGGACAAGTTGGTTAAAAGAGTGGGATGTCAAAACTAATAAAGCTGTCCTTTTCACATGTTTAAACAATAGCTAAAGGTTCAAGAAAAGCCCCCCTTGCATAAGGGCTTAATTTCATGTATTACTTTAACAAAAATATAGGGACCCAATGAATTTAAAGCCATATAGATCAAGGCTCGAGGCCTATCATAAAGTGTATCTTATTTCGCTTTATCATTACAAATTCGGAAAAATGAGGACGTGGTACACGTTGCATCAGGCTTGGAGATGTGGCTAATTTGTGATAACCGAGGTACATATCATGCTAAAGTGTATGTACCTTATTCTCTCCTTTTTCCGATGACGAGGGGCTCAGCTTGATGTAAAAAATAACCTCACTCTTAGATAGATATGCTCGAACGGATCAAAAAAGAAAGAAAGAAAAAGTTGGAGTATCTTGCTTTATTATAAATCATGTGAAGGATAAAAGTGTGTTTATGATCTAGGCACAAAGCGAACCTTGTACGGAAGTGGCTTGTTGACAACCCCTTCATCCACAAATCCTTCGATATTAATCGGCACAGGATTACCTTGAGCATCAAGCTCGGGCTCGACGGTAAATTCGGAAAAGAATCGAACATAAAAGCTAAACAACTCCAACTCGGCCTATACAAAGACAAAATCAATACGCATACATTATGATACAATGGAGAAACTTACCAAATGGATGCCAAGGCACATACGTCTTCCCCATCCAAATGCAAAAATATCTCGATCATCAACCTTGGTATTAGCCGATGCTGACATTCTGCTTGTATTGTTTTTGAATCGTTCAGGGTTGAAAGTGTGAGCGTTCTCGTAAATGCTTTCATTCATGTGCATGGCGCCCATGGTACTAATAAGAACGGCGTCCTTGGGTATAAGGTAACCACCAGCCACGATATCCTCCGATGCCACATGAGGGATCCCGTAACTCGTGGCCGGACGGTATCTGATCATTTCCTTTTGCACGCAGATAGTGTATGGGAACGCTTCGCGGTCTTGATGAAAATTGGGAATAGCTCCAGGTACATGGTCGGCCTTCCAAGAGTCGAGCTCTTGTATGATCTTGGCCTGAACATTAGGCTGAAAGGCAAGAGTGGCCAAGGTCCAGTAAAGGGTGACAGAGACTGTATCTGATCCGGCAGCAATGAGATCAGCTACATAATAAAAGTATAAGTCACAGAAAGTATAGACAGTAAGGAATATTACTTATAAGCACATGCATATCGTCTCCGCTAATCAGTCCTTCTTCCTTCATCTTGTTTAATGATTTCGCAAGAGAATCAGCATCTCGCTCAAGCGCGCCTTGAATGAGCTTGCCATAGAAAGGGTCACATCTTTGTTTGATAAAATGCGTCATCTTCTTGTCTAATCCCAAGAGGGTACCAATCCATGCTAGGCTAGGAACGAGCGATCTCAAATCACCAGCTGCACCAGCATATACCATACCTTCATCAATGAGCTTATTGAGCTCAGATACAAGTGGATTATCTATATGATCATAACGAGTACCCACGAGCACGGTCAAGACGATATTCAGCGCAGTGAGCTGTAGCTCTCTGAAGGGATTGATAGCCACTCCTTCATTGGCCACTTGTTTCAATCGATCCATCAAGCAATCAAATTCGTACTCTATTAAGCCACTAAATTTGTCCACTGACGCTGGGGCAAGAAGTGATGCAGCTTATATACAAAGAGAGAGGTAAATGAGGATGAAGGTTTTTTAAAGTATAGAATACACATTACCCATCTTTCTGTTGTTCTTCCATTCAGGAGTGTACTGCGTGAACACAACGCCTCTATGTATGCTGTGGCTTAGTATCATGGATATCTCATTTTTTTTCTCAATAGCGATACCTTCTGTTCCTTGCATAAATATCACAATTGAACCTGTGGTAGGGCCTTGAAGATGTGTTGGCGCCGTTCTTGACAAAAATCTCGTGTGCCAGATAAGGGTCACTAATCATAACCCATGTTTGCTTACCCATACGAACTTTGTATATCGGCCCTGTTTCCTCATGCCATTTTTTGAACTGCATGGCTGGGACACTACCAAGAGATAGCATATGACCTAATATCAAAGATGTAAGAAAAAGAGATACAGCTTTCAAGTGAAAAATAGATGATTACCGAATATAGGCCAATTAGTTGATCCAGCTGGATAAGGTATCTCTCTGTATTCCTTGTTCTTTTTATCTGATACTCGTTTGACCAAATAGACGGTAAGGGCCAAGACTATTCCAGAAACTGCTAGGGCCTTCTGATGTTCCTTGTTCATAATGTAAGTATCCATTTCTCGCTTGAAAGATAGAAAAGAAAGAAAAAGGTGTTGCGCAAAATAAATCAAGCAGCATATTTGAGTACACGAGATTTGTCCTCTTTGTGATACAGTACATTGCTAGAATATAAGTGCTCAGGACTGATTGATTATCTTGTGGATTTGATCTATTTTTTAGTCATAGGTTGTGTCTAGTAGGAAACCATGCAATCAGTTTGAATGCTCTTTACGCATTAATTGCGACGTAGGGGCTCTTTCTATATTTAATTCTATGTTTCTTATTCTAAAAAAGAAATAGTTTACTACGCTTCTATCTCATATTGGCATCAGTCTATTTATCATCTCCATCGCCTTCCATTTATTGACCAAGTATATGTATGATTGTATTAACACCATATACGCTTCGGCATTATAAATGTCAATGTATAATTACGAAAAGAGCAGTCCAAATCTCCACTCTTGCCCTTTTTTGCCCATTTTTTTTTTTCTTTTCTCTTTCTCTTTTTCGCTCTCTATTTTTCTAGTCCAATGGCAGAAAAATCACCGTCGACACCAACAAACATCTCTGCAGCCATTACCACAGGTTCATCATTTAAACGATATTATCGACCTTATTACACCAAGAAACAGATTGCAACACTAAATAGTGTAAAGAAGCTTGGACCACTGGCATCTAAAGAAACAACGGCTCGATACTCTAGCTGTAAATTTATGCAAGACGTTGGAAGAAAACTCGGATTGTAAACACCAAATAAGCAAATACATGAACAGAAATAATTAACTTTATATACACTTTAGCCCACAAAAGACTATTAGTACATCGCAAGCTCTATATCATCGATTCTATCTCTATTATTCCATCAAAGACTACTCGCCACAAGTAAGAAAAGAAGAGAATTTAGATGATACTGTATTAACTGAAAATAAAAACAAGGATATCAGCGTGACATGTCTATTTGTAGCCTCAAAAATAGAAGAAACAATTAAAAAATTAAAAGATATCTTTGTAGCTGTTCACAGTGTTAAATACCCAGACAGCAAGGAATTGGATCCAGAGCATGTAAGTAAAGGCATATAAACATACATTACATTTTATTGACATTCTATATTTATAAATATAGATTGCTGAGGATCGTAAGAGGAGGATTATCAGCTATGAGAAGTTGGTATTGGAAACAGCGTGCTTTAATTTTCAATTACGGCATCCGTACGAGTATGTGATCAAGTTTACAAAATGGTTAAAAGGTAAATAAATCACAATTCAAAGGAGAAAAGATATTTATAAAAATATAGAGATGGAACCTTCTTTAAAAGATAAACAGTTGGCAGAAAAAGCTTATGAGATTGCAGTGGACAGGTAATAAGAACATGTTCAAAAAGAAGGGTGACTCATTTTTCATAGTTATAAAACGTCTCTTTGTATCGAATACCCTCCACACACCATTGCAGCCGGATGTGTTTATTTGGCAACCCTCTTTTTAAAGGATCAAGACGACACAATCGAAAAGTTGATTAAAGATAGGCCATGGGACCAGTACTTTCTGTCACGTATGGATGATATTGAAGGTAACGAATGGATATATATGTAGTTCGTGGAGATTGACTTTGAATAGATGTGACGCAACAAATATTAGACTTGTACATTGCCACCAACTCTAGACACGATGTTGGCAAGTACACAAAACTCAAAATTATGCTAAATGAGCAGGCTCAGCAGAGAGGACCTGATCCATATCTGGACGAAATATCCAAAATAGAATTAAGCTCTATGGCTAGCAACAGTAACATTAGAAAGATGGCAGCAGCATTAGATGAAGTGAATACAAATCAACATACAGTCTCTTATCATTTTGGATAATGCACATACACATAATGTAAATAAATTTAATAAATAAGGAGAAAATATATTTTTGGTTTATCGGCCAAGAAACCATTCTGACCAAGATTGTTTCGAGGCTTCTTTTGTTGAAGCTTCTTTCAACTGAATCTTCATATCATTCGTTTCATCCCGAGATTGCTTCAAGAACGGCATTACGTTTGTTCCGCCCGTACCACGGACCACTTTGGAATCAGAGCCTATGGTACGAGCAAGTCCCAGTTGAGGAAACATCTGAGTGACTTTTTCGGTTTTAGAGTCCTTCTTGATACCAGGTGCTGTCTCGAGTTGTGTTTGTGGATAAAGGTCGTTGTGTTGTGATGAATGCGTCTTTTCTGTCTTCTTTTGTTGAATGGCGAATCCACCATGAGGAATATTAGGGCCCTTACGTGCCTGGTTGACGATGTAGAGAGTGACGATTTGAACGTGTTTGTCACGGAACAGTTTGAGCTGGTGTAGACATTGATTATACACCTCGACCAATTCAATCTCTTCTTCTGTAATTGTGCCTTGTCTATGTTGTTCCTCGAGTTGAAGCATGAACGGACGGATGTTGGCAGCGACCTCTAGGTCTTCTAAAAATTCACGATGAGATCTTGGCATGTACTTGCGCATGGCTCTCAAGAAGGCATTGTGGTTCGTTCGCTTGAACTGTGGAGGTGTACGTGGTGTTTCTGCCGAGCCATTCAGTTCGTCTGCAGGATTGGGTGCAGGTAATTTGGTATATCGGTCGGCAGGCAGCTCCGAGGGCTTGATCACTGTTGGCTTCTCTCCAGTACGATGGTGCTCAACACCAAAGGCTACATCAAGAGCAGCAATCAAGCTACTTTGCGCAGCACTTCCACCAGCGTACCGTCTGTACTGGCGCAATAAGCGTTGTGCACTATCAAGATGTGACATGTCGGCGTACTCATCCGTTTGTTCTGACCACAGATCAACCCCTTCATATATCAAACCAAGAGGTAACCCTGCTTCGGCCATATTTTCCCAGCCTGCTAGGTAAGGTCGGATTTTCCAATAAAAGACATAAGGATCACATTTTTCGTACATGCGCGTGAGAACTTGTGTCATTTCAGCAATAGAATCACGGATCGTTTCAAGATTGGCTTTAAGGCCAGTATAATTGCCGTCTTGGATATTATCGATGGCTGCCATGATTTGAGATACACAGGGTGCGCCTGCACTTTCTATAGAGGTTGTCACAAGGTAGAACCATGCTTCATCGAGAGAACCAGAATAAGTGCCCATGATTGCCAGGTTACTACGGATCATCTGTTAGTTGAAAAAATAAAAATAATCTATAAAATTCAAGGTTACCTTAAGTCAATTGGGCCATCCTCATCAAGTAAACGATAGTTCCATAATGCTACTGCAGCATGACATACGACAGGACACAAACCCAGATGGTCAGCAATTTTTGTCCATGGGACAGCCAGTTGTGATGGAAGTGTCTACCGTGAGAAAAATACATTAGATTATTACAATATTATTTCCATTTTTCTTGATCCTGTGTACCTCTGATGCAAGCTCAAGCTTTCCCCAAACATAGGCGTGAGACAAAAGACAGAGAATGAGAAATGCACGTCTATATTCTTCTATAGATCCTAATCTATTGGCATCAAGTAGAGGCAACTATAATAAGGTTAGTTTTCTCGTCAAGCTGTCATCTTTTCATTGTACCTCGTGTATCTTTTCACGCAATCTTCCAGCCAATAATAAGCCGTTAAAGTTGTCCATCATGTTCTCCCAAGGGGCAAAGTATTCATTTGTCAGACGCTTTAATGGAGGTTTCGATGGTAGAAAACCAGTGACAGGAGAGATGTCATAGTCTTCTAATGGACGCATTGTCAGTGTCATGGTTTAAAATAATAATAAAAAAAAAAAGAAAGAAAAAAAGGGAAAGAAGATGAAGAGATCATCTTGTATTTAAAGTCAGAACTTGTTATCCATAACAAGTAGATCTATTGGTTGTATTCATGGGTTAAATACTCATTGGCCCTTAACCTTAAACAAATCATCTTGGAGATAACTCGGATCAATCGATTTATCCGTGGCATTGAAATATCGAATCATTTTTTTTGGTGAATTATTACCATCTAAAGTAAAAAAGGGTCTCATGTATATGCATAAGTTTTAGTTTAACTCATAGGCATTATATCTCTTGGTTGCCATAGTGTGTTTGATGATGACTAATAATGGGTAAAGCACTCTTTTGTGTTCAGCCTAATGTTTTCATTTTAATCAACAAAAGCTTTTCAATTTTCTGCATTTATTCTGCATTGTTTTGCATAAAAAGGGGACGGAAAGGGAACAGCTGCTTCAAGAGAAAAAGAGAGAGAGAGCAAATGACTACTGTTTATTTATAGAGTATCATTTAGTCTTACAAACAATGCCTTGGAGATTTTTACTACAGTAATAATTTGTTGTATTTTAATACAAGGAGTAAAACTCAATTCACTTCCATTTCTCTCTCCCTTTCTCTCCCTCCCTTTTTTTGACTCCTGCAAATCCAATAAAATCAATTTCAACCCATTTAATAATCCTTAAGTCCTATTGTGCATTAATAGAAATGATGGGGAGATAAGAGTCACAGACAGTCACAATGACAGCTCAGCGTGAACACACACACACAGGTTATTTTCCTTGGCATAAGCTTTTTATACTTTGTAATCATCTTTGTTTTTTTTCTTCACTTTCTGTCCATATATGTCTACAGATATACACACAGCACATATATGATTACAGTTAATGTAAATAAGATAATGTATAGTGATCACCATAGAATTAAAATACCGGTGTTCGGGTATCGGCAAATTGTTTGAAGCGAATCGAAAGAGAGAGAGAAAGAGAAAGAGAAAAAAGGCACCTTTTCTCTCTCTTTTTTTATCCTTTCCTTTTTTATACATGACTTTATCTGGAGTTCAGGTCATAGTTTTTTTTCAAAAAGTAAAACAAAAAAAGTGTTGACTGTATTTATAGATTTCAGCTAAATACATTGCTTATTCACATACAACCTGTGCTTATAGTAAAGAAATATGCAACCTTCCCTAATCATCCTCTCTCTCCCTTCAACTTATGTTTTTTTTCTATTTTTTTTTCAGTCGCATTCGCTCTAGCACTCATTGTAGGCTGCTACACGCATTACGAAAAGATTGTACAAAACGAATACTTTGGATATCCTGACGTAAGTTTTCATTCACTGTGAACCCTACATTTTTTTTAAAAAAAGCATTAGGAATGGATTCCAAGTGTGAGCGCGACAACAGGTGATAGATACCCAGCACGAGCCATCTTTCAGATATTTATCGCGCTTACTTCGGGTCCACGACTAGCTCTTGTCTTTTTATGGTACCTGCTGAGCCAGAACAGGTTTTTACTTATTGTTGGTCTTATCAGGACCGTGTCTTGTGGTGGATGGGTCTATATCACATCTACAGATGACCATTCAACGCACGATGTGGCCATGGTTATCTATGTGCTCTGTACTCTGCCTTGGATGCTGAGTGTCCTGGCTACAGCTTCACAAGATCCAGTAGGGCTCAAGCGACGTCGTCTGTTGGTCATTGCGTTCTTTGGAACGTTGGTGCCTATGGTCTACTTCTTTATTCAACACAAGGTACATCAAGTACCTGGAGGTAAGATATAAAAAAATAGAGAAAAAAATGAACAGACTGTATGTGTGTGTTAATGGTTCCATTTAAGCCTATACCATCTATGCATTCTTTGAGTGGTCACTTATTGTATATGATGTTGGGTTTGATGCGCTTAGTTGCTATGAGTTTGACAGGTTTGATCTAAAGATTTATCCTCGTACTGCAAAAGGAATGGTTTAGAATAATAAACAATTACGGAAGAATTTTTATGCATGACTGGCGGGAAAAGGGATGGTATAAAAACGGGAATTTAAAATAGTTAACCTCTTTACTTTTTTTTTCTTCCTTTTCTCATGGTTCAAGTATTGATTGTCGGCTGTATCGAGTTCGCAACGGATATCTTTGAGCAACTTCAAAAAAAGTACCCGATTAAGTACTACACCTCTCGATCTCGCCAAGAGTTTATTCAGGACTGTGCAGACAAATACAAAGACGTGTCAATTATCTATCGTTCGCCCGAGTCAATGTCTGTTGTGGGCCCATTTGATGCAGACCTTGTTTCACAGCTGCCCAAAGGATTAAAGTATATCGTTTACTGTGGTGCTGGTTACGACACGATTGATGTGCACGCTTGTGACCAGCGTCAGATCCGAGTATCGCATACACCTATGGCCGTAGATGATGGAACGGCAGATATTGCTGTTTCCTTAATCTTGGCGTGCTGTCGTAACTTGATTGCTGCTAGTGATAACTTGCGTGCTGGAAGGTTCAGAAGTGGATTACTCATGGGAACAGATGTACAAGATAAGGTGCTCGGTATTATCGGAGCAGGAGGTATTGGTAGAACTCTGGCTAAACGCATGTCTGGGTTTGACCTGAAGAAGATACAATACTATAATCGTCATCAATTACCCAAAGAAGGTAAACGATTCGAAAGGAATCTGACAGGATATCTTATTCTTTCCCTTTTTTAGTGGAAGAAAAATATAACTTAGTCTATGTTGACTTTGAAACACTGCTAAAGACGTCTGATATTATCTCTGTCAATTGCCCACATACAGCCGAGACAACACATTTGCTCAATTATCGAGAGTTTGCCTTGATGAAGCGAGGTGTGATCATTGTCAATACAGCAAGAGGTAAAATCATTAATGAAGCAGCTCTCGTCGGAGCACTTGAGCGTGGTCAGGTCCTTTCGGCTGGACTTGACGTCTTTGAGAACGAACCTGTCGTTCATCCTGGCCTATTGTCTCACCCCCGCTGTGTCTTGCTGCCCCATATTGGCACCTATACCAACGAAAGCCAGTACAAGATGGAAAAATTGGTTCTTGATAACTTGGTCAAGGCTATCGAAGAGGACACACTATTAACCCCTGTTCCTGAGCATAAAAAATACTTTGGACAATAAAAAGAGGGTTTATTTGCAATATTCACAAAAAGTTTTAGAAAAGGAAAGCACCAGTAAGTGCTGCGACAGGAGAGCCAGTAACACGAGGTATACTCCAGCCCTCGCCGGCAAGGAGTTCTGCAGAGCCAGCAACGTCCAAATGAGTGTAACCTATAGACAATTCTCTGTTATCTAACCCGTACTGATCTAATCCAGAAGCCTGCAACATGAAACCAGCAGGGTACTGATGGCCGCGGTTAGTCATTGTGCTAGCCAAGTCGTTTGCAGACACGAGGTCTTCACTGGATCGACCTCCCTTGACACACTCGACATCTTCACGACGTAAGGTGGAGATTTCAAAAGGATCGCCCAGGACATGTCCCGCGTTATAGATTCGCTTACTAATCTTGTGCTTACGAGCAAATCCGTTGTCAAGCGTGATACCATAACCACCATAGGCACGAATAGCATGGCCAGTAAGTGTGGCACAGGTGAAAAGGAAAGAAGGTGCGGCAGACGAGGGGGTATTGGCTTGTTTGTGCTCAAGGACTTTTTCCTTAAACTGGCACAGCAAATCTGTCATCACCATACGGCCTTCAGCATCTGTGTTACCAACCATGACTATGAAAATAATCAGTTTCTCCTTTTTCTCTTTTTTCTTTTCTTTTCTTTTTTTGTTTACCTCGTTTGCCACTGCGAGCAACAATGATTTCATCGCTCACGTACATATCAGGGCCAACCGAGTTTCTCACTAAAGCAAGGCCACCTGTCACATTGACCTTGGTAGGAGCCAACAAAGAGACTGTCTTAAAGAATCCAGCAACGGCAGCAGCACCACATTTATCGCGAGACATGTCTCTCATATGTCCACTGCACTTGATATCAGCTCCACCTGTGTCATATGTTACACCTTTACCTACAAAATAAAGACTACAACAACCATTAGTCTTAGGATCCCAATAACATCTTCAATATTACTTTTCTTTCACTTGAGATTGATCAGGAGAAGAGTATTCGAAGAGAATAAAGCGAGGATGATGACGAGGCACAGCCAAGGAAGCACGAGTGACAGCATGAGCCAAAGGATATTCCTTCTTGATGACATCGACATCGTCAATGATTGTCAGCTTGATATTGTCTACATCCTTGAATTGCTCTTGAATGTACTCTGTGATATGGATGGGTGACATGATCTCTGGGTCCGGGTTACCAATATCCTTTGCCACACGACGGCCCATTTCACAGGCCTTGATGGTTTTGACTGTTTCAGCATCCACATCAGCCACAAATCCAAGAGATTCAAATGTTCTGATGGTTGCCTGAGTGCGAGCAGCATGTTGACGGACATCCACAGGTTCAAACGTGGATTCGAACAGACCCATCAAGGCTACAGCGGCAAAATGTTGGTAATCGTCTTGGTCTGCATCAAAGGACCAGGCCAAGGAAGAGCTAGGTTCATCAGCAAAACAGACAAGAGGTCGTCGCATGCCTGCCTTGAGAGCCTTGATACCAGCAGCATAAGCAGCATCTATTGTACCAAATTAAGCGGATGAAGAAAAAGGCAAAAACATACCCTTGAAGCGTCGGACGTCGTCAAAATCGTTATAGATAGTGCCAGTAGGAGATACAACGATACGTTCGGCAGGTTTTCCGTCGTGCGTTACAAGTAACTGAACAGAATCACCAAACGTACTGTCGAGATCCATATACTTTTGAGCAACAGGTAAAAGATCAGCAAGTGCCTTCTTTTCAGTGAAAATGACCACAAGGCCGTCATAGTTTGATTGGTTGGACTCGAGTGTGTTCAAGAGGCCGTCTTGACCTTTAGAAATGAATTCGACCTGTGGTAATTCCATGTGTGAATAAAGCGGAAAAAAGCAGTAAAAAAAGAAAAGGGTGCAAAAAATTTTTGGCTTCCCCCCTCCCCCCTTTTTTCCCTTTGCCCCGTGCTACCATTGACAATGAGAACTGTGTAACATAAGTTGTTAAATTGGGTCAATGGTAAAATGGGTGTAATTGTCCTGGGATCCGTGTGTGGTATTCCGTATCATCTTTTGCCGCTTTTGGTCTTTTGTTATTAAGAAACCCCATTTGTATTTCTATTGGCCGACATTTTTTTTTATTTTTAATACGCTAGATTCAAACAAGGACATTTGACAGTGCATAAAAGGGTTATTCTTGAACTTTTACTAAGAGATAATAATGACAACAGATGCATACAAGTGAAGATACAGTGAAGATATTTATGCAGACATTAAATTGTAGGCGCGTTCATATGTATAACTAACATTAAAATATGCATCTAAAACATTAAGAGAAATAAAAGAGTTGTCTTTTGGCAAGCAAGTCATTTATTGCTACTTTATACAGTGAATCCAACAAGCAATGTCGCAGCCAATTAAAATTGATGTTGCTGGACAATTGAATTTAAAGTCGCAAGTCAATCAGAATCAATTTCGCGTATTCAGAAATGAATGTCGTATTTTTAGAAATCATGTCACGTTAAAGCAATTCATTTAACTCTTCATCGATAACCCTACTCATTAATTTCCTTTTACATTTTTTACTCTTATACCCATAGGGGGTCTTTTCGCTAACACTCACTTCCAAACGGATTGAACGGGTCCGGGCGGACGTTTATTTTATTATTTTATTTTTGTGCTCATTTGGACCATCAGTAAAATATCATATTTAAACGAAATCATGTCACTTGCTTTGAAATTATACCGCAAGGGGTTTCTTGGCATACGAAAAATATAAATCGCAGGCGCTTCTTTTGCGGGTGTTTTTTTTTTTTTTTTTCTTTTTTCAATCTTTATAAACTAACATGAGCACAATACCTTTATATGAAGATGAGTGTGGAAACGTAGTTGATGAGAATGGTGGTCCTGAGCCCATAGACTACACCGTTGATCAAAATGAATTTATAGTTGAGACGATTGCCACTCATTCTGAATACTTGAAACATTTGGCGTCTAGTGAATCTTCTCGGACTTGCCCAATACTGGTAGAAAAGTCAAAAGAGAAAGACATCCCTATGAAGGAAGCAAATATAAACGGCATTATGTTCGATATACCGTGCAGGATAAAGTTAGGTTTTTCAAACTTCAGATTGAAGAATGTATGAGTGCTTCAGTTGCACCGAAACAGTTGGGCATTCATGTTCGAACTGCTCAGAGATAGGTTAGGCAATATAATACGTGTCCTGATAGCATTTTTGAGGACTGTGAAAAAGTATATATCACATGGACTGGACATATTCCAGCCGTGCTTGGTCTTCAGGAGACTTACACTAAATTGTCGGTCCTGATTCTCTCTTCAGATTAAAGAACACAATCCGAGTCTTGCATACTCACATCGTCCCCTCTATGGTCTTACGACACGACACTGCTGTGTGGCAGTCTTTGTTTTAATTGCTGTTATGTGGCAGTCTTTGTGTTTTGAACGAGGGTTTAAAGAGATAGTTGTAAAGGTAAATAATCCAAACAATATAAATTAAAAACCTTCTTTATTAGAGAACTTTAATAATACCGAAAGAAGATCCGGTTTATGGAAGTAGCAAGAGTATTCCTATTTATACTGTTTCAAAGCAGATGAGCGCTGACATCAATTATTAATGACTCGCTTAAAGAATAACAAATGATGAAGATATATACCTGTCGAGGTTCTAATTTATGCAGGTCAAGTAAGTTAAGAAAAAGGTTCATTGTTCTGTCATTATTACCGTCGCAACTATATTTTGATCGGTTCACATGCTTTATGAGAATTCAATAAGTGGTAATCTAACTTCTTGGTAAAGGTAATATTCTTGGATAAGATCGTTCTTATCTTTATACATTGCTATACTTGGTTTATTTACACATTATTACAGTCAATATTTATAGAAGTGGACCTCCTTCACAACACTTTGTTTTAATTACTGTTGTATGGCTGGTGCCTGCCAAAAAGGGCTACTCCATCCTTCTATTTGTTTTTGTCTCTCTTTTTCTTACCAGGCTGTTGTTCTTTGTTTGGGTGCTTTATGCAAGTGTTCATCGAATATCGTTGTCCCTGCTGCGAGCAATGCTTCGCCAGATGATAAAATTTACATGTGCACTACAGCATCGTTGAGAAAATTCATCTCATGTCACCAAGTCGCGGCAGGCCCTTGTTCCAACTTGCTGCAGATCAATTCCACACCACCAACAAGGAAAATACAATCATAGTTAAATATACATGTTCCTGTTGCAACCATTACTTTGATGAGCTTGCCAATCTTGGTGCCCACCTTGATACCCACCTTGGACAACATGGTGCGTCAGTTGACAGGTAAAGCTTAAACAATTTTTTGTGAATTAACATCAACTCATTTTTGTGCGTGTTTATAAAATGAAATCAAAAGTGCGGATGACCTTCTTAAAGTGGACGATGACAATGGTTTGGAGCCAGAAGATCAACCAACAATTCAAGAGCCACTGCCAACGATTTCACCATCGCTGCACCCTGGTAAGATTGCCATCAATCCCGTCAGTGTCAATCCGCCGAGGAAAAACTTTGATGAAGCAGCCATTAATGCTTGCCAACAATTAGACAGCAAACATGTTGAGCGGCAAAAGGCCTTGTATATTGTCGATGCTCTTGACCTAAAACTATTTACCATTTTCGACAAGAATGGCATTGAACAAAATGCCCTGGCCCACGAGCGCGTTATCAGCAGTATCACGACAGACAATGACTCAATCCTACCCATCTTGCCATTGAAACATTTGTATGATGAAGAAAGCGCCCCTTGCATGAAATGCAGATATATAACCACTCCAGGCTTCGACCGAGTCCTTGCCTCATTGCCCTACAACAAATTAACTCGTCGACGACAATATGTGGAGCTCTCATCAGCAATGTGCAAATTATTGAACCAAGATTGGGAATTTCACCCACAGATGCGATATTTCACGGCCAAGGTCTTCTTTGGCGCCATCATGCACAACACCGGCAACGGGTAAGCCATCATGGTCAATACCATAGGAGCCTATGGACAAACCAAGCATGTGGATGGCCACCGCGAATCATTTGGCTGCCTTAAGGACACTGTCGTAGACACGTCACTCCTGTCGTGTTTACGTAGATCGCACATCTCTTAATTCTCTATTTATTCATTCTCAACTAATAGACGACGTCAGACATTTACAGTCGTCACTCCTCGTATATATTCGAGTCGTACCCTCATTTAATAGCTTTTCTCTCAGACTTATAATAAAATAGCAATTATTAGCTATTGACTCTTCACTGTTTTACAACTATATAAACACAAACATCACAACTCCCGCCGCCAATGGACACAAAATACCCTGACGTTTGGCCTAACAGCCTGCAACATGATGATGGCACGAAGCTCTTGATCGGCACTCAAGTTTCTAATGTGCTGATCACATAAAGTATGCGCAATATGTCATTTCAATTATTCTCGACTGTTGATTTACTTTGTGCAAGGCTCTATCTAGATTCAGTCTGCCTAGAAAAAGCATTAGCCATTTTGGAATCACCAGACACATCTTGCCTTTCGTCGTTCAATATGATCTATCAACTTCGTCAAATCAGAAGTAAATTTGCCACATCATCTGCGTACGCTCTCTGCCGTTCTTTCGGGCCCATTACCCGAGCCCATGTCTGCCAATCGTACATGGTGTTTACATTGGCCGACAATGACTGTGGCAACAATCCTGGGACAACTCTCTTCCGTACTATTGGCGTTTTCGTGCTAAAGCACGATAATGCGGCGCGTTTGTAAAAGCACACTGTCAAGGAATTGGCTTCTTTGGCTACGGGCAAGATCAAGGAGCTGCTGCTCACCATCCGTCGTTTGTTTCCCTCTACCGACGAAGACATGGCCATAATCAACAATGAGCAACTAAGCAAGCACCTGAGCAGTATGGCCAATCTCCTTATGCCATCAATTGCTATTGCTAATGACACGAAAGACAGCATAAAGCTATTGGAATGTAGCATCGGAGAATTGAAGATGACGAAGAAGTTGAAATCGGTTTCATTTGATAGCTACAAGAAAAGAAAGTTTTTGAGCTTTCTATACGCTAATGACAACTTGACGATGTTGGCAACCTCGGCTGCTGATCCCAGCCATTGGGCCGTTTTGTGACTTAGAGAGGCTCGCATACCAAGATCGTAAGATGCTAAATTTCGCTGGCTCAAAGCATTTGAAGTCATGTTTTGTATGAAGGTATATGTTTTTCTTTTTTTTTAAGTGACACTGACCTGCATAGATGTTCTAACCTTCATATCTAACTTTCAGGCAAAGTTTGACGAGCAAAGAGCTCTGGAAGAGACCTTTGAAGTAGAAGCTCTTGATTAGCTTGCAATTATTGTCGTATAGCTGCAATATCAGCGTCAGCGAAGTTTATAAAAGATAATAATGAAGGATGATTCAAATTAAGCGGTAATTATCTACGCTTAGAAGATCAAAGAGCAAGCATTTTACATCCAAGACTATATTTATTCTATCATAATTTTAACTGTTAACATACTTAATTATAATCGACCAATAAAATAAGATCACATCACTTTATCCTTCCTTTTCTATTCCGAGAGTCATTCAATTCCAGAGAATTTCAATCTCGAATTGGAAATATTAAATCCACCAATTAGGACCATAAGCACTGTAATTTTCATACAAGGATAAACGGGAAATCACGCTTTTATAAAATATATCTTACCACATTGATGTAATTACCCAAATAAAAAGAGTAAAGGGAATATATTATGATTTTATTACAATAAAAAGTAGACACAATGCTTAATACTTTAGTATAATGTATAGAGCGTGAACTATTTAGGATAAGATATATTAGCTCTCTCTCCCTCCTTACACGTCACTTGCTTATCTTATTTCACTTACTGATGCCTGGAATGTAACCAAGGATAGTTAAACCAATATTGATCAAGAGGTCAATACCGCAGCCTATATAAAATAAAAAAAGAGAAATCTTGATTAGAAACCCATAGCTTATGGTTTCTTTCTCTTTACATACCTCTTTCCAAGAATACACCGAGAGGCGGCAAGACGACAGCTAAAAAGATGATAGATTAGGATATACTCACCCACGTATTCTGAGTACAACTTACCGCCAACAATTTTACAAATATCAGTTACAGTGACAGCCATTTTAAAAGATTATTTTTATTTTGAAACAAGTAGTAAACAAAAGAAAAAAGGATCAGAAAAAAATCAAGCTCTTTTAATATGTGTTGAAATGACATCATTTTATCCAAATATAGATATTGCTTAATGCAGGCTTACAATGGACCATGACAGCGTCATGACCTAATGGGTTTCCAAAAGTCGATAGCTGCCATGCGCAAAGCTTATAGGTACGAGTCGTTCAAGATCGGCTGTTGCTAAAACTTGCAAACTGGTTGCATCGAGCACAAGTAAAAATGAGCTAGACGTGGCTGCATTCATCACTACACTCAACAACACACCCTCGTCCTCTCCCACTTGATCCTCAGGTCCAATCGAAGGACGAGGAATGAATACGGGTTCGCTTGGATAGCATCCTTCTTGATGCCAGGAGGTCATGATGGATTTTGTCTCCAGATTCTATAATAGATAAATAAAAGGGACGCTTCTTTTTAAACGTTACTTTACCGTCTTGACAATACTGTCCCAAATGGCTCCATCTTTGAGTGAATTGGAAGCACTGAAGCCAAGACCGTACATGATTGAATGCTTGTACATTTTGAAATTAGGATTGATTTGAGGTAATTCAATGGATGGCTGAATACGTTGCTCATACGTAGCAATAGGCATCCAGGAATACCAGCGATTTGTTGCATTTTCACTATATTTCGTTTGCGTGGTATCATTCTTAAAGACTTTAAAGAGCGGCAAAGAGAATCTTGATTTCGCAGGTCGTTTGCTTAAATAAGTCACATGCTCATCTTCCAAGTGGGATAGTCTATATCGTCGCACTTCTGATCCTAGTAATCGAGATGGCTTCATCGTGTGAGGTTCACGCAAGTACTGTGTGGTCAATTGGCGCACAATCGTGTCGTCCTTGTAACAGATCATGTCTAAAAAGATCGTATCGTTCACTTCATACGCATTAATAAGGTTCATGACAAAGCAAGGGTCTGATCGGTACACAGTCATGACCTCGCGTCGTTCTCTTGAGATCACGTAAAACAACGTTGGCTCAGAAGGTTTGAACGAAAAGGAGTCCATGATGCTCTCACACCAGTTGTACTTTACGCCTCCTGAAGTAGCCAGCATAGGATGAAGCACCTAAATAAAAGATTGGTTGATTTGTTTAAGAGACGTCATCTTTTTATATATAGTTACAAAAATGATGTATTTTGGTGTGATCAAGAATGAGTTGACATAGGCCATAGGAGCTGTCAATGAAGTGATCAAGGATCCCTTGGGGTTCTGGTCACTGATAGAGAAAAAGTGATACTTGACAGTCTGGTATCCTACTTCCATTGTGAAATTGATGTATTCTCCTGTACGGGAATCATATTGTCCGTTAGGACAGGAGCTTGTTCCTTTAAACGCAGGGTTAATCTCATTCCATGTCAAGAGTTGAGTAGGTTTCAGGTCAAAAGGGTCGAGCTCTTGGATCTATCAGATGTTAAATAAATCAGCAAATAAAGAAGAAGAAAAAAAAGCTTATTTACATGGTTGGCGTGGTTTTGGCAGAACAATCTTCCATCGAGTCCAGGTATCTTGGTAAGTATACGGGCGCTACATGGCTCTGCATCTGGCTTATTAGGCTTAGCCGCTGTCTTTAAAATCTTTGAGAGCACCGTCTGGTTTGTATTGGACATGAACAGACCAGCAGGATGCAGAGGGGAGTATCCATGATGGTCTCGAATCTTTTCGATCAATCGGCGACTAGTGAGTCTGTTGCGGTATGTGATTGTGTTACGCTGACCGTTTAAATCAAAGCGGTTGACAAGTGGTAATCTATACAAGCAATCAGTATCAACGATTGAAATGCCAAGAATAATACTGTACGCATCAAACCAGTGTCCGAACGTATAGAAAGCAGAAACCAGCTGAATCTCGCCATCGATTTCGATCTTTCGACTATACTTGACATCAAATGTACCGGGTCCAACCGTAAAGTACTCACCAACAAGCCATTTTGGAAGTTGTCCAGATACTTTGAGGTCATCAATCGTGTCTTTATCTTGCACATTTTGGAAGCTCTACACAATTATGTTATATATATGCTTCTTATAAAAGATATGTATACCACTTGCTTTGACAGCAGAGGTATCTTGACTTTTGCTTGGTACTGTCGTTGCTGTTGCTGGCTCTGCTATTGTCGGTGAAGCTATTGTTCCTGCTACAGGAGGAGTAGTGTCAACAGAGGTTGTTGTGATGGCAGCGGGTGCCTCTAACTTTTTCTGTTGTTGTTCCTCTACCAACGTGTCATGTTCTGTCAATAAGTCGTTCTCGTTATCTTCAGGTTGTGCCCAGGGGTCACTTTCATATTGGTCTAGTGTTTGAATAGACAAAGGATGAGGTTCCTTTTTGATATCATCACTATCCCATTCTAAAATGTTGGGCTCGGAATGAACAGTTGATTCATCTAAAGCAGCTGTTGTTGTTGTTGTTGTTGTTGCTGTTGCTGTTGTTAGTACTTCAGTAGAGGTAGAAGTAGTAGTTGGAGTAGGAGCAGAGGTAATAGCATCCGTAGTTATGTCTTCTGTGTCCACCAACTTTGTATTTTCAGTCATTAAAAATAAATACACAGAAAAAGCCCAAAGTGAAAATCCAAGAGTTTATTTTATTTTTTGTGAGGGGTGACAACACACACATCTATGAGCGGGAAAAAAAAGTGTACATAATCTATTTTTATTACATTATACCAGGGGCTTCTTCAAAACTAAAAAGTGAAGATCTTTTATCTTTAATTTCTCTGGCCAAAGGAAAGGCAGACGTTCTCCCGTCTCCACAAATCCTAATTTTCGATACCAAGCCAAGATATCAGGTCTATTCTCTAACACATGAAGCACAGCATGGGTAAATCCCAACTCTTTCATCTCATTTATAGCAGCTTGCATCAGTTTACCACCAATCCCACGGGATTGCTCAAAAGGTGACACAGAGAATAATCCAATCTCTGCTTCGTTTTCATGGTCCTCACAGGGTTGAATTTGAACTGTTCCCACCACGGATGATTCCTCATTTGTTTGTTTAATTGCAAACAGTAATGTGTTGGGCTTTCCGTTTTCTCGAATGAACTTTTCAATATCTTCTTCTGTGCATCGTACTCCACTGACGATATCTTCTTCAGTTGTCCAACCGCCTATTTTTTAATAGATAAGATTAATGTGACAACCAAAAAAAAGGGGGATATTACCCTTTGATCTATAGGCTTGATTTACTGTCAAACAGGCAGATGATTTATATTCCAAATCTTCCAATGTTGCTTTACGAACAATGATATCTGATTGTACCATACTTTTCTCTTTTATAAAATCGATAAGAAAAGAAGAAAATTTCTAGGTAGTGACTAGGCTTAAATACAATTCACTGCTTATAAATACAAGCCAATACCAAAGCCCGAAATTTCGGATGTACGGAAGGATCAAGCAATTGTTTTCTCATACATATCCAGTCAGATAAAAGAAAAAATAAGATGGTTGAATAAAGACAATGAAAAGAAAAGAGTAGAAATGGAAATGTTGTCATATCCTTTTTAAGAAGGTCTGTATGATCTTTTTACTGTCCTTTCTTTTTCATCTTTACAACAAATAAATCTGCAGCAGAACAAAGAATGTCAGTTTTGCATAAATCATTAGAGATATCGAAAAGAAAAACTGCTGCTGCTGTGTAGCTTATTAGACCCATAGTTCTTTGTTTCAGAATTTAATGACGTCTTTTATTTAATGAGGACCACTCGATCTACGATACTGCTGTTGCTGTATGAATTGCTGTCTATTTCGTTCCATTTGAATCAGCTGGTCAATGGATAGATTGTTATCTTGCTGATTCATCATCATTGACGTATCTTGTGGAAAAGCCATCATCATTTGTCTATTATCGGAAGGGTAAAATGGTCTCTTGTCTATAGATATAGAGCATTAGTGTGTGTGCGTGTGTCATATTGATAAACTTACTTCCATCAAGAGGCATGTTTGGGTAGTAAGGTAATGTGTTGGTAGCAGTGGCAGTCGTGGTGGCAGCAGTTGTAGCGGCAGTGGTAGTAGGAGGGGGAGTGGCAGCCGCAGGATGATTGGCGTTGGGTCGAATCATAGCATCAGATGGTATCCTAACAAACGCTGGTGGTCTCATAGGAAACGTCATCGAATGGGGTCTTTGTATTAACCTAGAATGAGGTTGTTGTTGTTGTTGTTGTTGTTGTTGTTGAACAATGCCTCCAAGATCGGATTGCATAAAAGAAGGGTCATAGATTGGATCCTGAATAGCATGATACATTATTGGAGCATTAGCGGTTATACTATTATTGATGGCATGAATAGCAGGTGCAGTATTTGTACTTGCTGTTGTTGTGGTGGTGGAGGTGGAAACAGTTGTATGAGTAGTAGATATTGGGCTATTAAAAAATAAATTATTACTATCGTTATTATTACTATTGTATTCTTTTTGCTGATGGTGGTGGTGATACTGATGGGTAGAAGGAAAGACAAGGTTCTGTTGTGAACCTGAAGGTGAAGAAGGCGAGGACAAGGCGCTGTCTATTTCATCATCCCCTATGGCAGCAAGGTTTCTGGACAGCTTTCTTGCAGGAGAATCTAAATCCATCAGTTCCTCCTCTTCAGAAGTAAACCTTGATCGCCTTCTGTTCAACGGCTTGTTTTCAAAAATAGCACGCCTGATATCACCTGTGGAATTTTGGCTATACATCTTGATGTGAAATGTATGCTGAGGTATGGTGACAGCAAGGTATCCTTTGGGTAAAGATTCGAATGATTTTTTTGAACTTATGCTTGATTTTTTCAAAATGGGTTCATTGGACTATATATGTGCAACAGTTCACAATATTGTCAATAGAATTTTTCAATAGCCACACTTACTTCCTTTTCCTTTTTAACAGTTGTATCTTCGTTGCTATCACTGCTGATACTGCAGCTATGTGTATCCTGCTTTTGCTGGTCATCAGGTGGAAACGGCAATGGCAAATGCAGTTCGTCAGGATTCAAGTTGGCAAAACGACACGTTTCTTCCAACAACGCGGTCAGCTTGCTTTCGATATAATGTGATAAATCTTCACTGCCTGCATTCAGCATACACAACTGTGCGCTCAGATTCACTAAACGCGACGTACGCATTGCTGCATCCCTCTGCTTCATCTTTTGTCGTTCCTCTGATAACCGGTTATAGAACCGTCTATCGTCCCAGCTAATATTTGGATACTGCTCGCGCACCTGTTGTCGGATTTCGTGTGTAGGTAGTCGCTGACGTGCAAGCGCAAAGATCATCTCTGATACTTCTCTCGGCCACTCTTTCTTGATCTCCTCTGGCTTCATCAGTGGGTGATTGTGAATAAATGCATCCGCATTTTGAGATTTACGAAACTCCCATATCATCTGGTTATTTTCGTAAAGGACAATGCGCCAGCGACACTCGCACCGTTGACTGGGACGATTGCGTTGTGGATTTGACTTGGGGTTACGGTGTGAGTCTGGTAAGCCTTCACGAGAGCAGTAAACGTAAATGTTCTTTTATAAAAAAGGTTAATAAAATCAAGACCCCCTTGCATAAATATTTACCTTGTGTGTGCTTTGTTCCTGTTTGACAGTAAAACCATAATTTGAACAAAGCTCTCGGCAGTAGGCAATAGCTTCCACACTTGATTTAAATTGTTTTGATAGTAATTCTGCATAAAATAAGTCCAACTGTTTAAACAAAAAGAGAAAAAGAGAGGAATATTGTTATTCTGAGTTGCGTAAATATTAAAAATATTTACTGAATAGTAAGGTTGATCTGGACTGTGATTTTGAATAGGACTGCTGCTTGAATCTGTATGTCGCTTAGAGTTTGACATTGAATGTATTTACGATGAAGAGTATATAGTTACTGATGCTGGAAAATGACAAGGTATTTGTTTTGCTTAATTAGCTTTTAGACTGTTTAATTTCTACTTTAGGCGGCTTTGGTAAATGTATTAAAATGTTGAAATTTCAAATTGAACAATAATGAACAAAGAAAAGTGAGTAGAAAAAAATAAAAACGAAGCGTTGTATGTATATAATTTCAGGCACGGGATTCTAAATAAATGTGAGCGAATTTTAGAGAATACACGTAAACACACAATATATAAGCATATACGCAGAAACTCACAGGTTAGAACAGAGATATACACACGTACGAGGCAAAGAGAGAGAAAAGAGGAAGGGAAAAAGGAAAAAAAAATGAAAAATGAAAAAGAAATGTCTTTTTCCAGGCAATCAAGGAGAAGACATTGAAACAAAGCCAATGACAATCTCAGTGTTACCGATTGCCTCTCGCCTAACCTAACCCCTATGGTCTATGAACATCTTTGGTTTCTAATTCAACATCATTTAAAACACCGGTATTCCTTCAACATTGCTCCGTGCGTATTGGTCACTAGGGAGAGCGGTTACGATGGTAGTTCTGCTGTTGTCCAGGTAACCAAACGTTCATAAATGAGCTGAGCTACTGTCGTAATTTTATATATTTAAAGAGGAACTGTAAAATCAAGGCCCGTTTTCAAAACTGTTGGTCTTTTTACATCAGTGAATCAAGTTGTACAAACGACACTATTCATGGGTAACTCTCCTGCATTTGTCAAAGTGGGTAATACAATGCGCGCAACGCCAATTGACGGATTTTAAAATAATGGGCGGAAAACGAATTCTTATGAATGGTTATTTCGTTTGAAAAGGATAGCTTATTCAAAAATACATGTTATGATTATATGATCTCATAATCGTAACCTTGTTCGCATCCAACGGGCATACTTAATAAATGTAATTAGAGTATAAAAATACACAAAGAAAAGGGAGAAAATTGATCAGCAGAATTACCATTTTTGTAAATTTAATTTAATAAAAGGGTTTCACGTCTGTAATGTGCTTTTTCTCCTGATTGAGATATGCTTGAATAGCTTATATTTAAAAAGCAGTTACCCAGGTTAATTGAGTCAGCTAGTAATCTTGGAGAGTAAATATTAGATAATATAGAATCTGTGTTCAGACAACATATCCAGTTTTTCTTTTTGCCAAGAAAAGGAATAGGTACAATTTATGATAAATCGGTGAGAAGGTGATAAATCAACACAATCTTTTCGACATCAATGTTTGTGTAAAACCTGTGACTTCAATAATAATTTCCTAAGCATAATTGTTATCTTTGTTGAAAATTTTACACAGAAAACAATACCAACGAAGACACGCTATCATTGAATTCCAAAGTGTTGCATGAATTAAACTGCATATTGTTTTGGTTAAGAAAAGCGCTATTGTTGCCTACTATGAGTATCCATTGTGCTTATATATACATCAAGCGATGATCAGTTGTATGAAGTTTTTCTTTCTAAAAAATGCTAGACATTGAGAAGAGCCATTTTTGCTTGGCAACAATTTATTAATGTATGAGATTTATGCGTTCTTTACACAGATATAGTAGCTGTTTTATTGGATGAATACAAAGCTTCAACTTTAAAAATTTCAGTGTGTATTAGCTTAAGTCGTAGGTAACATAAAGGTATTCTCCATTGTGTTGTTGATACTCTTGATTCATTGAAGATCTATACTGCTGATGGTGAAGAGAGTATCAGAAGCCACCAAGTCGGTACTTTAATCTTTATCGCAATTCTATTGGATCTTTATCAAATGGTATTGTTTGTTCTTTACTGCAATTGAAGATCTGCAGGATAGTGAGGCTACCCCCATCTTAATCTCAACTGCTCCTCACAAGCGTACTATACACTTTATGCAGTTCCTTTTTCATGACAATTAACAAACCAGTACTCAGTTTAGTATATGCAACCAATTATTTTACATGTAACACCCTGCTTTCATGGCACACAAGCGCGCGTGGCAACTCACGTTTGATTATTAAACAGGAAAAGAAAGGCGTTGAACGGACTTTGATGTGTGAATGCAACAAATGTATCACAAAGCACTTACCAACAAAGGTAAAAAAAAATTGTTTATATTTACAAATGTGAAGAAGATAAGCCCTGCTCTACTTCATGAGCCTTGATTTCATCAGGTCCAATATGATTGCTTTGCTGATCTTGTGTTAAATTCTGATTAAAGTCCTTGTTTCGTTCTTCTTTACCAACGATGGCTATATATAAAGTAAGATACGCTGCTGTGTACCTTTCTTTTTTTTTTACCAGTTATAAAAAGGCATCCACAAACACAACCCATGAATATGGCTTGAGTCTTGCCATAGTCTGCAATATGCTGTCCCTTGGAATTTAATTTAAACGTACCATCTGAATTACGAAGGGGGTATTTTTCACCAATTGTAGCCTCGATCTGACTTGATGCTGCACTAATCTATACACAAAAAGATAAGTTGCCAAGAAAGATACACATGTGGGAACATACCAAATTACCCAACTGATAAGCCAAGCCTGGCATCAGTCCTCGGAAAGCGTCTGGGGAAAGTTCATTGATATGTGCGGGAATGACACCTAAAATTGTGTAAGATATAACGTTTCAATTAACCTTATCTATAGTGCTCGTACCCCATGCGCCTTGAACAAAGAATTGCATGATGAATGCGCCAAACTGTAAGGCATGAATATTGGGCGCATATACCCAGAGAGGAATAAATGCGCCTGCGCAAACAGCACAAAAGCAAAGGATGAATCGACGACCAAAGTAATTTGAAAAATATCCAAAGATCGTACCGCCTACGATTGCACCAACATTCATGATAACACCTGTTACAGTTTGTTCAGTAGATGTATATCCAAGCTGGGAGAGAAGGAAAGTGGGATAGAGATCCTGTGAGCCGTGTGAAAAAAAGTTCATAAAGGCCATCAAGATGACCATGTAGATCATTCGTAACCAATGTAACCGAATGGCCGTCTTGAGTTCTTTCCAGATAGATCGACCCAGGATTTTGCGAGCATGTACTTGGCGCACAAATGTTTCTGATTCTGGTACCCAAATACGAATGATAACAGCCAGTATAGCAAATCCTGCGCCTACCCAAAAGAGGATACGCCAGGTCGAGTTTGTCTGAGTGACGGCATAGTTAACCAAGGTAGCAAGCAAGTAGCCGCATGCATAACCTTGCTGATAGATACCAGAGAATAAACCACGTGCCTCAATAGGAAGTGTTTCAAGTGCCAAACTGGCACCAAGTCCCTAAAGAGGAATAAATCAGAATACATGCGACCAAGAATCCTGTGTGTCTTACCCATTCGCCGCCCATGGCGATACCAAAGACAGCACGAAGACCAATGAAAGTTTGTAAATTAGGAGCAAAGCCACTTGCCATATTGATGATCGAAAACAAGACGATGTCGATCATCAGGGGCCATCGTCGTCCAAACTTATCAGCCAGTGCACTAGGGAACAATGAATATGTATAAACATGCAATAAAATATCACAGTTTTCTTTGTTGCTTACCCAAAAATCAGTGCACCGATAGGCCGTAGCATCTATGTAGCAGTGGGACAAATCATGAGATGTTTATAAAAATAGGTTATTTTTCCATATATTACCAAAGTGGTAGTAATTGCACCTATAAAAAAATGGTATGCGTTAGTCAAGGGAAAATATTAAATCATTACCTGAATTGACTTACTTGTGACATCAGAGGGTTGAACACCGTATGTTTCAGCTAGCATTAATGATTAGAAATACTCCTTTTTATTTCTTTTTTGAGCATTACCTATCCGTGTTGCAGATAAAGAGACAGAAAAGAAATCAAATGCATCTAAAGTCCAACCAAAGAAGGCTATATTGCGTGTTATAACACTGTATTTTTAAAATAAAAGCAATTACCTGCTGCAAATGTAATTCTTTGAGTATTATTCAAGTTTGTTAGTAAATGCCACACATTTTGTGTCTTTTCAGGCTTTGTATAGATCGAATCTTTAATGCGAGAAAAGATATTTCTTTTGTCAGCGTGAATTTCATTATATTCTTTCTCGCTTAAATTATCATTTTGTCTTTGATCTGAAGGGATATTCTCCACTTGTTCCACCTGTGGTTTTGATTCCTTGTTTGACATTTTTTAAAATAAAAGCAAAAAGAAAAAGAGCACAAGTGCACTCTCTCCCTTTTATATTTTTTTTGCTGCAGAAATCATACCCACGCTCCACTTCTCCTCACACTTGCCCACTTTTTTGTCTTTATTGGATCTTTTCTGCATACACAAAAAAGAGATTAGGTTTTTCCGGTGTAACTTTATTAATCATCCCATCTTTATTATGTTCTCTTTCATAACATAAAATGCGGGGTAGACAAAACCATCACACAAAGCAATCTTTTTGTTTTACTTTTTGTTCTTATTGTTGTCATAGCAATAATACTCCTTTTTTTCGTCATTATTATCTGTAGATAAAAAAATTCAGATCTTTTTTTTTATTTTAAAAAAATTTCCATATCAAGGGAAATTATCCGTACATGACGCATTGGTAAATGACGGGACGACAGGAATAAGTCAAGATTCTCAAACAAAATGTGTGGGGACGTGTTACAAGAACGATTCAAATAAGGTCGATGTTTGTTTTTCCAACTGGGAACAAGTTTCCAGCCTAATCTTTTTCGCCAACTTCAAGTCAAAAGCAGAAGGATCCACTTCACGCACCGGCTTTCGTTTTTGAACGGCAGGGGATTGTAAGCTCACTTGGACCGTACCGGGTGCTGTCATCTTGGTTTGAACTTTGGTTTCCTTTTCTTTGGGAGGCGGGGCAAGAAGAGCATCCATCTTGGCCTTTTGAATCGTAGTCGCGATAGCCTGGGAGTTCATTCGGACTAGTGGAGGACAAGGATTACAGGCGCCAATGACGCCGCTTGTGTCTGTGGGCATTCGTTCGACCAAGGCAAAGAGCATATGATTGGGTAGCACGAACCGTATTGATTCATCTTCATCTCGAGCCGTCTGATCGCGCCAGTGATGTAAAGCCTTGAAAACAGCGAGTTGTTGTGGGTTCATCGGATACTTCCATTTGCTCAACATGTACTTCCATCCATAGGACCCTTTACCCTCTGCAGCATCATAGATTTCTTTGTCGTACTTTTGTAGTGCGACCTCATTTGAGAGTTGCAAGGAAGAGCGCATCAAATTGGCATTATGTGTTGATGCAGTCAGGAGCTCGTTACGAAGGTGATCGTAAATATACAGCAAAAAGTGCGTATCGGAACGAGCATAGGTCAACATCTCTTGCGGTAGCGGACGAATACGCCAATCAGCCAACTGGTACTTTTTGTCTGTGTCATAGTTGCAGTACTTTTTGAGCAAATAGGCAAGGCCGTGATGAGGAAATTCGAGAAGCTTGGTTGCAAAGTAGGTATCAAAGAGGTTGACAATGTATAGCCCAAAATCACGCTGTAGCCAGATGATATCCGATTCGGCACCATGAAGGACCTTGACGATGCTTGGATCCGCAAAGTACTCATTCAGTCGCCATAGCTTGTCGCGAATCTCGAGTGTGTCAATGATGAAATCTTGGTCACGTGTACTCACTTGCATAAGACAAGTGAAGCCTTGATAGCTGCGGTAGTTGTGATGTTCCAGATCGATTGCGATCTCGTCTGCGTCATCCAATACTTTCATCATCGCCTCCAATCCTTCTTCGGTATCAACCCAGGTAAATGAGGTACTGTTGAAATCATTATACATGACGGGTTCTCTAATCTCAAACATACGTCCGGGATATTCAATATTCTGGATCTCATAGCTGTAAGGGTGAGGCAACGATTTCTGTACACCGTTTTCAAATACAGGTGTCATGTCTAAGGGCACCTGTGCGTGAGGCTTGTATTTGATCTTGCGTTCAAATGGTGTATTGTTTGAATTGTCTACTGGATCCTTGAATTTTGTTTGCGGTCGGACAACATTTTTAGCATGCAATATTCTATATCCTGTATTTTCCTTTTAAAAATGTTAGACTTATTCCTTGACACACAGTTTTACTCTTACTTGAGTAATTTGAGCCACTTCAGGTGTTGCTTGTAATATATCATCATCCGTATTGATCTTGCCCTTGAGGTGATCCAAGCAAATATCCTATCAAAAAAAAAAAAGATATTCATACCTTCCTTTCCTCATATGGGCTTATGCTCTTACCGCTTTTTCTAATAAATTATCGCATACGTCAATGACACCTCCATATCCTCTTACAACATCGTCTACATCTTCAAAATCTGTCTGTGATTCTATACCAGCGTCTAAAGCACAATGCTGCAGTAATGAATTTGCTAGACTGAGTGTATTTGAAGTGGCTTGATCTAATTCTTTAGCAAATGAACGATCGAGAGTTCTGAAATAACCAACATCGGATACAGGAATACTATTCACTGCTGCTGTAGCTGACACTAGCGATTTAAAGAGTGACGTTTGATAGGCTTTAAAATCAACTGAAGGATCGGGAATGTCGTCTTTCATTTTTTTAATCAATGAAAAAAAAAAAAAGGAAACAGAACAGAGAAGGAAAAGAGAACGACGTGACTTGAAAAAATTATAAAGTATCGGCAGTTTAACACGGTTTTGTCAAAGACCATTAAACAAATTGTATGGTTATCTTGCTTTTTTTTTTTTTTTTTTTAAGAAAAGTCTTTATATAGACACAATGTTTTATTCATTTGTTACTATAGGCATTTGTATCCATAGAGACTAAGTAGGTTAAAAGTCTAATTTGAACATTTCTGTATAATCCGGCCCCCCTTTGGACTGTGTTTATATTTGCGTCACGCTATGCATGAATTCCCTTCTAACTGTGTGTCTTTCTCCTTGTCCTTAATAATTCCTTCGTCACTCCCCCTTATTTTATTTCCTTTTCTTTTTCGTTATTTCTAAATGACTTTTGACTTTGAAGAAAGACAGGGTGACTTGATTGATTCAATTCAACCTACAGACAGCATTGTCTTGGGTATTACAGAAGACATGAAGCTACTGAACAAAGGTAAGGATTCTTTATTTCTAAAAACCATCTTCTTATCGTCAACGTGTAGAGTTACGTTCCAGGATAGGTCAGCCTCAGTTACCCAAGAGGAAAGTGGGAGAGGTAGCTGTCCACCAGCATCAAAAGCGATACATTTTTTATCTCATCACGCGACCTAAGCCGTACAACAAGCCAAATTATAATCAACTAGAGTCTTGTCTGATTGAATTGAGAAAGGCATGTGAAACCTATGGTGTTACTAGCTTAGCTCTGCTTCGTGATTTAGATGAAGGGTTACAAGATAAATATGTCAAGCAACTGCTTTTTGATGTATTTCAAGGTAATAAGAAAGTTAAAGAGAGCATTCGATATATAACGATTGTGTGAACGTAGGCTGGCCAGGTAAAATGGTCATGTATGGAGATTGAATTATTTGTGTTATCCAAATAAAATTTCGCTTTTCTTTTATCTTTTTTCTTTAAACAAAATGTTTGAAGGGGAACAAGAGCCACTTTTGAACGATAAAAGATCAAAAAAGGCAAATTGTTTCATATTTATCCTATTTATCGTAAATAACCTCTTGTTTATAAAGACACGAGTTAAGTATTCGGATAGGTTCTTGTATGTGCTATCAGCAGCCTGATCGAAAGCGTTTTTTCCAGCAAGCCTGACTTTTCACACCTTAAAAAACAATGTCAGCATATTCGACCTATCCCAGCTGCAGAGTACGCCACACGCCACCGCCGACTACACCAAGCCCTTGTGGATGCCAAGAGTGATTGCTTGTTGATGGAAGGAGGCGCAACTATGCAATACTATACAAACATTCAATGGGATTTGACCGAACGACCCTTCTTGGTCGTTCTTTTTGTCGACAATACCTTACCCACAGGCATCAACATGACCGTGATCACACCTGAATTTGAATTGACCAAGGCGCAAAAACGACTAGCTGAGGCCAAGTTACCTGACGACATTCAGCCCACATTGGTATCATGGAAGGAACATGAGAGTCCGTTCGAGGGCTTGAGAGCGGTGTTACCATCAGAAACAAGAGTCTTGATCGAACCAGCCACACGGTTATTCATCTATGATGGTCTACGTCGTCTGTTTCCTACTGACATGGCGCCTATCGGAATCCAGCAACTTCGCATGATCAAGTCTCCTGCTGAACTGAGTATTCTCAGATGTGCCAATACAGTTACGGAGATGGCCATACGCGCTGTTCGTCCGCATGTCAAGGTGGGCATGTCCGAGTATGACATTCAGCAGCTGATGACAAGTGCCCTCAAGAAGGCTGGCTTGACAAATACTTGGGTCCTGGCCCTTGTTGACGAGCATGCGGCTTTGCCACATGGTGACTCGAGTGAAACAAAGGTCAAGAAGGATAGTGTCGTACTAATTGATACTGGAGGAGAGCTTTATGGTAAATACAAAAACAAAAAACGGCGTCCATAGATCTCATCTTATCCTTAGGTTATCAGTCAGACACAACACGTACATTCTTTCTCGGTAAAAAGGATTTCAATGAGACAATAAAAGATGCGTGGTACTTGGTTAAACAAGCTCAGGAGAGTGTTCTTGATCATACGATTGCAGGCAACACAACCGCTGCTCAGGTCGATCTGGCTGCTCGTCATGTCATCCAAAAGGGCGGCTACGGTCCTTACTTCACTCATCGTCTAGGTCATGGTATTGGCTTAGAGATGCATGAAGAACCCTATATGAACAAGGGCAATACGGAGCTTGTCTTGGTCCCTGGTATGACCTTTAGCGTTGAGTAAGTTGACTCTTTTATTTATTAAACATATCTAACTTGTAGCATAGACCAGGCATCTACATCACTAATGAATTTGGTATTCGATTAGAAGATATTGCCGTCGTATCTGACAATGGAAAGCTCGAGTTATTAACAGAGGGTCTTGCTGATAATCCTTGGACACTTTAAATTTAAATGTGGCTTATCCACTGTCCTCTCTGACATACTTTCGCATTATTTTTCTCTCTTTTTTTTAATAAAAGGATATGACTGATTTGAAAAAAGATTATTATTCAGAAGAAGAATATGATGATTATGACGACTATGATGACTATCTTGACGATGAGTTGAATGAAAATGACATGTGGGATAATGCCACAGGAGGTATACAAATCATAAATTGATTAAGGTTACTAACACATACGTTTGACAGACTTTACCAAACAATACAACAAGCTTCGTCAACAGATCGCCACAACAACACCTAAAGTAGAAAAACCAGCGACCCCAGCACCAGCGATCAACACAAAGAAACAGCCCGTGCAACCCCAGATCAAAGACAAGAAGCAACTTTTGGAGAGCCAAATCGAAAGCTTGGGTCACCTTGCCAGCCGTATTCACATTGACGATGAATATAACCCAAGTCGCCTGACAGCTTCTGTTGCAGGAGATCTTCGAGCTAGTTCAAAAAAGGCGAGTGGTGACAAGACAATCCAAAAGGACAAGGCAGATCGAGCGACAGTTGAGCAGGTGCTTGATCCACGTACACGTATCATTCTGTTCAAGATGTTGAACAGAGGCATCTTTTACGAAATCAATGGATGTATCAGTACAGGTAAAGAAGCCAATGTGTATCACGCCGTAACCGAAGACGGGCAGCATCGGGCCATCAAGGTCTACAAGACGTCGATTTTGACCTTTAAGGATCGTGATCGGTATGTCACTGGTGAATTTCGATTCAGACATGGCTATTCCAAATCAAATCCACGAAAGATGGTCAAAGTGTGGGCCGAGAAGGAGATGCGTAATTTGAGACGATTGGAACAGGCAGGGATTCCATCTCCTCAGGCGCTACTTCTTCGTATGCATGTCCTCGTCATGGATTTCTTGGGTGATAAGCATGGATGGGCATATCCTCGTCTGAAGGATGCAGCCATTGAGACAAGCAAGTATCCTGCATTGTATTATCAGTTGATCAAGAACGTAAGAACGATGTATCAAGTGTGTAAATTGGTTCATGCTGATTTGAGTGAATATAATATTCTGTAAGTCATTTTGGGACATCAAAAAACACTACTAACAATCACAAAAAAGATACCACTCACGAACATTGTATATCATCGATGTGTCTCAATCAGTCGAACATGATCACCCACACGCTTCAGAGTTCTTGAGAAAGGATCTGTCAAACGTGACAGACTATTTTGCAAAAAAGGGCGTGCGCGTGATGAGTTTGATGGACCTGTTCAAGTTTGTGACAGATGTTTCATTTAGTAATGATGAAGCTGTTGTAGACGCAAAACTGCAGGAGGTATGGCTTCTTTTTTTCAGGAATCATAGATAAAACAGAGACTTATTACTATTTAGATTCAAGAAAGAATGGATCAACAGCCAGAGACAAATAATAAAGAAGAAGAAGAAATTTTCAAAAAGTCTTATATACCAACGACACTAGAAGAAGTCATCGATATCGAACGAGACACACTTTTAGTTGAAAAGGGCGAGGCAAAGAAATTAGTGTATGCAGATTTGTTGGGTACGGGTGTAACATCAAGTATGCAAAATATGAGCATAAGTGATGACGACAGCAATGAAGAAGAAGAAGAAGAAGAAGAAGATGATGATGATGAAAATAGTGAAAGTGAAAGTGAAGATGAGGATAAACCAAAGAAAGTGAAAGGCAAAAAGAATGAAGATAAAGATGAAAAGAAGGAAAGAAAGAAGAAAGCAAAGGAAGAAGCAAGGGAACGCAGAAAGCATAAAATTCCAAAAGCAGAAAAGAAGCGAAAGATAAAGACAACAAGCAAAAAGAAGAAATAGGCTTGCTGAGCCTTTTTTTTTGTAGTCACAAATACCTTTTATATTCTTTGTTCAACTCGAAGTTGTACATAAAGAGCGATTTTTTATTTTGTTTCTTTTTCTTTCTCTTTTTCTTTTTTTCAAAAAAAGGCAAAATGAAAGCAGAGTTGCTAAACTACCCGTTTGAATTAGTTGCACCCATGGCAGCTATTGCTTCTATTTTGCTATTACCTTTGGGGCCTTTGTTGATTCCACGATTCTATATCATCTTTTTACTTGTCTATTTCATGTGTTTTCTGTATACCCAAGTGAATCATCTCTTTAAATTTTATATCACAGCCAAAAAGATGACAAAGACGGTGCGACGCTGGACTGACGAAGAAGAATCTGCGCTATATGATGACACTCAATTGATTCATGCCTTCATCGTACCTAATTATGCAGAACCAGAAGCTCTTTTGAGAGATACGATTAAAAGATTAGCCAATCATAAGTAGGTTATAGACGGATTTATATATTTGTATATTTACCTTTTTCCTGTGTATTTATTTAGAAATGCTCAAACAAACTATGTTATCATCTTGGCCATGGAAGCATCTGAAGTTAATTATCAAGCCAAGGCTGATAATCTAACTGAATACTTTAAGGACAGTTTCCTTCACTTTTTGGTTACTGCTCATCCATCTGATATTCCCGGTGAGGCGCGTGGTAAAGGTTCTAATGTTGCTTATGCTGCTAAACAAGGCTGTACCGAATTGATGCAAAGAGGTATTGATCGAAAGAGAGTCATTCTTACCGTGTCCGATTCTGATAGTTCCATTCCTGAGCTTTACATCAAGGAGGTATATTATAATATATATAAAAGAAAGATAACCAATGTTGACAACATTTTTTAGATTGAAAAAGCATTCAATCAAGCCGAAGATCCTTACTTCTTACTCTTTGCCCCACCCATCTTCTTTTCCCGAAACTGTTTTGAGGTACCTGCCGCTGTACGTATGACAGACATTACTTGGTCTGCAATGGTGATGTCCAGTCTGAGTAACAGTCGTGGTCTGTCCTTCCCTTGTTCGACCTACAGTTTGAGTATGATCCTGGCTGAGCGTGTAGGCTATTGGGATACAGATGCTGATTCTGTAGGAGAAGACATGCACATGATGCTCAAATGTTTCTTCAAGACAGACGGATTGGCTCGCTGTTGTCCCATCTTTGTACCCATCAACCTGACCAATGTCCAAACCAATGGTTACTTTGCTAACCTCATGGCGCGCTTTGTTCAAGCCAAGCGCCACTATAATGGTGTTGCCGATTTAGCCTATACGTTAAAAAACTCTTTTGGTGTTCAAGAGGATAATCATTTTGCTACACTCACTAAAAAGTCTACTCACTCCGCACCTTACCTTGATAAGCTCGTCATGTGTATCAAGGTCATGGAAGCTCACTTGATTCCAACCACCTCAGGCTGGCTCATGTTTGCCGCGGTACCTTTGATGCAGTTCATCTTGTTTCCTCCTACTCCTGCCTTGGCTATAGTGGATCCTGTAGACAACCCTATCCTTACTTCGGAATTTTACGCTTCCTTGTGGAACATTGTCAAAATTATCACTGTCTTTTTACCCTTCCCCTTGTTTGGGACTCTGGCCATTTATGAGCATTTGCATCGTACGATTGATCGGGAACTCTACCGCAAGACAGAGACAAGGACATGGCGCAACGTCTTTGATTATATTTCTTTACCTATCGCTGCTTGGGCTTTCTTGACCATTCCATCTACTATTGCATCCATCAAACGATTGTACAAGACTAACGATCAATACATCGTTGCTGAAAAGTTCTTTGAAGAAGATGAATAATTTTATAGATCATGTTGCTTTTTTAGCATCATCTTTTTCTTTTACATATACACACATTACTTACTATTACTACTACTACTACCTTTACTACTACTAATATTAATAATAACATACATTCTTTTTCCCTCTTGTATACAGACACACATTTTATTCATAGTCACTCATTCTCTCTTTTTGTGATTCTCTCTTAATAAACAGACCTTGTTTCACATATCAAAGTTACACTCCATTAATAAATTAAACTTTGGCGGAAGCCACAGTCTATTTTATTTCCTAATCCGTCCAGTTTGATGGTACTAAAATGGACTTTAAAAAGAAAAGATTAGCCTTGGTAATTATCCCAGCGCGCTAGGCATAATAGCTTATCCTGGCTTATCCCGCAGGGTCTACCACCATGCTTCCAAGGAAATTGATTCTAACCTTGCTATCTAGTATACGTTTAATTAAGGTCCAATGATTTGTAATCAACAGCATACGCCTGAAAAAAAAAAAAAAAATTATTATTTGGATTAAATGATTTTGTTTGTGTCTCTGCCTAAACAGGTCTCATGTTTGTTTAACAACATACATCAGTGTCACTTGAAGTGCATGGACGTTTAGTAATTGTGAGAATCAAAACAATAAAAAGGAATATGTCAGTCACGCCTGAGGTTGTCTTCCTCTTGTGACAATCTCAGGATTATTGGATTGCACAGCTTCCTTGAACAGTTGCTCCAGAGTACAAGTAGCATATCTGTAGTTTGGCAATTCTTTTATGTATGCTCCTCCTTGAGCTTTTGAACGATGCTTGCTGTTCCGTCAAACGGTCCCTATATTGTAATGATATAGAGATGAATCTTTGTGTACTTGATTCATGTTTTTATGATTATACTTATTCGTAAGCTCCTGTACAACCAAGAGGAAAAGAATCTCCAAGCAGTCTTCAAACCTCTCTCCACAGCTCCAAGCGATCTTCATCACAATACCTTACACTTCCACAGGCGAAGCTTTGTACTTAGGTCTTTTAAAGATATCCTTGGATTGCAAAGTAAAGCTCGTAAGCATTTTCTCTTTAGCATTGCTAAGCACCTCAAAGGTACCCTTAGAGTGATCAAAATTTATCTTGGCCGTATCCGTGTTTTCCAAAAGCAAGATTTCCATGTCTCTAAGTGTGATCTTTGATTATTCTTTATACCGTTCACTCTACAGCATTTTATGCTTGTTATTTTGAAATTGTATTGGTAGATCAAAGAAGAGGATATGTAAATGCGGCACATACAAAGCTAATTTGTTGACGCAGGATGCAGGCTTAACACTGTTTATAGCTTAAAGTAGAGTATACACGCAAAACTTGTTGACTGAAAGTCCAAATAATTTTGTGTGCATGAGCTTCTTCACATGGGATCAAGCTTACATAGTTGATATTGCAAATATCATCTGACCTAATACGTTAATTTTTTAGAAAAAAAGAGAGAAGGAGAGCATAATGGTGTATTGGGATAGGATATCTCAACCTCTTGTTGTTATCGATTAATGTCAATCGTCCTTACATCATATTGTCTTAAGAAGGACTACAGCGTATAGAAATAGGTTGGTTAAAGAGAAAGAAGAAGAATAGTAAATATCTGGTCCAGGTTTAATTTGAAATGAATAAGGAAGTAAAATCTTCCGACATGTAAGCCGATAAGGGATATAAGGGGGCAAAGAAGTAAGATTATACAGTTTACTTGCTTTCCAATGCACAATCTGAGGCTCCCACCCTTTTCCCCTTTTAAGAAATCTCATACAATCTTCCCCTTTACATACATTTTTGTTCCAACAAGATAAAGGAGACGGAGAAAGTTGACATGGACCAATCCGAAAAATAGGGAAATTATGAAATTAACTTGTCATTAAGTAAGAAAAAAAAAAAGAGAGAGGACAATAAGAAAGATCTTACAAGGTCGTATATAAATCATGAAAGAGCATTTTAAATTTTTATTTTCCTTTAATTTTCCTTTTATCAAAAAAAAATAAATATGAAATCTATTGTCTTCCTTGGTGTTCTTGCTTCTGTCGTCTTTGCTTTTCCTGCTGGTCAGAAGAAGCAATTCAAAATAGATGTGAAGAAATCTAAAAGTAATTCCGATATGACACATTCAAGTCGTGTTGTATCCTATCTTGTCAAAGAAACTCAAACTGCTTATAATCACGGTAGTGGTAAGTCATCATCATGACAGAAAGAAAAAAAAAATCTCCTTGTATTCATCTATTGACTATCATCATTAGGTTACTATGGTCAAATTGGCATCGGCACACCACCTCAGTACTTTAATGTCGTCTTTGATACTGGCAGTGCCGATCTCTGGGTTATTTCCTCCAATTGTAAAAATGCAGTATGCAAATCCCACAGCGCGAGCTTTGATGCGCAACGTTCGGTGACTTTTAAAAATGAAGCTGCCTACACACAAATTGAATATGGTTCTGGCTCTGTCTATGGCTTACTCGGAAGAGATAACATTCAGCTGGGCAACACAACCACTCTCAACTTTACCAATCAGGCAGTCATCAACATTCTTTCTCTCTCGCAGGATTTTGTTGGTTCTCCCTTCCAAGGGATCTTTGGCTTAGGCTTGCCTCGTATCACAAGCGGCGATTATGATCCTCCTCTGGTCAGCATGGTTCTTCAGGGCATACTGGATGAGCCTCTGTTTGCGATCTACACTCAACATAGCGCAGGTGAAATTGATTTCGGAGGTATTGATCGATCCAGGTTCTTGGGTGAAGTGACTTATGTCAGCCTTATTGATCGTGGTTATTGGATGATTCAATTGGAGAGCGCTCAGTTCCAAGACATGACATATACAGCAAGAAAAGCAATTGTCGATAGCGGTAAGTCCCCTTTTTTCTTCTTCTTTCTTTTATACTCATCTCCCGTTTTTCTTTATAGGCTCGACTCTGATCATCATGCCCAAAAAGGATGCTGAAGCCTACCATCAACGAATCAAGGGTGCTTTCAAGAATGGTGACGGAACTTGGTCTTTCCCTTGCAAGAATGTGAAATCACTTCAGCCGCTTACCTTGCGTACTGCCACTGCTACCTTATACTTGCCTGCCGAAACACTCTTTTTGACACCAATGCAGACGAACGGTCAAACCTGTCTTTCTGGCGTCGCAGGTCAAAATGTGGATACTTGGGTGCTTGGCGATGTATTCTTGAAACAATTTTACACGGTAACTTTTTTGATGATGCTTTATTTACACAATACTAATGAACAAAAAAAGGTATTTGATGTAGGTCGACGTCAAATTGGATTTGCCGTAGCCAAACCAGATGTATCGATGACAGATCCCGATTATGCAAAAGTATTACAATGAATCTAGCTCCTTCTCGATTGTATTGTATACCTCATCAATATCCTTATGCTCATGTGAAATAAACTTGATATGGATTGTATGTTCAGTTTGTGCATGTTGATTGATGAGCGTATTCAGTAGTCGTGAATGCTTTCTAACTGCATTATGTACTTTACCCTATAATAATAAAAATAAATATAATAGAATATAAACCATGTTTGTTGTCCTTACCTGCTCGTTTGCTATGGGTTCATATTCTATTTGACATCTCTTTAGATTCCTTGCCACCTTGACATCTGCCACTCGTAATTGTGATAACCAGTTTGTAGGCAAGTCTTCAACCGCTTGAACTTTGGTCATTGCCTTTCGTACACGATCAGCTAGTCGCATTTGAGCTTGTGTTGGTCCATCTGATTTCTGTCCAAAGGTCATTGATCGAGCTGGTTCGGTATACATTGGAACCTCATCGGATCCTCTTTTTGTCTTGTCTTTGTTGGAGCGATTTTTAAGATATTTGAGATAAGCACCGGGTACCATAGTGTCCTGAAGGATCACTTGTGCCTCAGGTGTGTATCGGTTTGCTTTGGTAGCAAATCCACGCAGAAATCGTTGCATTGCTAAAACAAGGAAAAAGAAAAAAAGATTTTTTATTGGTAATCAGTTTATGCAGGACCTGAAAAATTAGACCCTATTTTCTTTCTTTCTCTCTTAAAATGCCATGCAGAATGACAAAAAAAAAAGAGGGAGGGGTATTAACCCAAGGTTTGGACCAAATGGATCAGAGTTAGGTATCGTTTTACGCTTTATGATAACTACTTTCTTCAAAAGATGAGGGTGTGTCGCAGCCATCCTTTAGACAAAGAAAAGAAAAAAACGGGCTAAACACTCATTTTGATCGCAGGATAAAGTGAGAATAATGTGTGCATGGCCAGAATTTAAATAATCATGTTTTCAAAGCTTTGCTCTTAATAAATTCCAAGCCAAAAAAAAGTCTTAACGCAACCAGCCTATCAAAGTGATACTCGATGCTGTTTGGTTAATAGTAAGTTGTTTGTCTTTTCATATTATTGAAGTGGATAGGAAAAATCTTTCTAAATGCTCAAGGTCTTTTCTGATGTATTTTGCTTAAAAGGAGCAAGATTGTTGCTTCTTGAATAAAGAGCGGAGAATTCTGTACCTCGTTTTTGGAAAGATAAAACGAAACCGGAACTCTTTTATCAATTATAAAATCGTCTTTTCGTACATTACAAGTTCCTTTTTTTATATATAGAAATCACATGGCTGTTGTGCAGTTACGCTTAGTTTTTCTTTTGGCATAATGACTGTATAAAAAGATTATACATGTAAGGAAATCAGGCCTTCTTAATATTCATCTCGATTGTGCCACCTTCTTATAGGACGAACCAAATTAATAAGAATCGAACCAGATATTCTTTTACAAGATAAACTACATCGAAGTCCTTATTTATTTATTATTCTCTTTTTCTATACAATGGTGGTTTTGCTGCTCCATTTTTCGATCTATCTGTAGTAGTCTTGTGTGATCTACGGCTCATTTTTGACACTTTACCCCTTTTCTTTGCGGTTGTTGACCCACTTGCCAATACACTTGTGTAACAAAATATGAAAGGATCCGAAATTTAAAACTTCCTAAAAAGAAAAGAGTTTATTTATAAACAAGTTTTTACATCTTTTGAAGTAAATATTTAGGATAATCAAACTACACAGCTGATGACTCACATGTTCTTGCTTATGTCGGCATAATAAGCAGCAAGATGTAGACGACTGACAAAGCAGAATTAGTCTCATCCTTTTGACTATTTGATGCAGCACGTTTTTATAGTGATATGGTGGAACCGGTTTTTTTTTTTGTTTAAATGTTTATTAACAAACACCGCCTTCCTTGTTCTCACTCTTCTGTCTTTCTCTCTCTCTCTTTCTCTTTTTCAATTTCTGTTAGTCATCTGTAACACCAGACATTTATTACATTATATACAAAATGGATATAGAAAAGATCAAACAAAACGCTACTGTCCTTATACCCACTGGTGTTGCCCTTCTGTCAGCCATTTATCTATTAACTAGAGGGAAATCAAATGAAGGCAAAGGATTAAAAGAGATACCCTATCCACCACGTTCGATTAGATGGCCTATCTTTGGTAAGTTCTTTTAAAATAGAGTTGATCTTGTTTACATATCTTGTGTGTTAGGCCATATGCTCTCCATGGGTAAAGTTCCTTCCAAGCAGATCACTCAGTGGCATAAAGAGGCAGGACCTATCTACAAGATCAATATGGGTAACCAGTTATGGATCATGATCAGTGATCCCCTTTTAGCCCATGATATTTTTGTCAAGGCTGGCAAGAGCACCTCATCAAGACCCTATCATCGATTCAATGTTGAAATTTATGGTAGAAATAATAGGTATAGCCAACTTCTCTTTGATTCTTCTTCCTTTTTTTTTAACCTAGTCCTTTTTTCTAGAGGCATCGTCTTTGTTCAGTATGACCCTCAATGGAAGAATAAGAGAAAATCAGGTAAGCTCTCTTTTCATTATTTCATGCATACATAGATATATACTGATGGATATATAAGCCGCCTCACTTCTGAGCCCTGGTTCCGTTGATAAATATGGTGAAATCTTGGAAGTGGAAGCTGACAGCATGATGAGCAGATTGACAAAAATCGCTGACGAAGGCATAGCAATCAACCCATTCAAGCAAGTGCAGCTGACATCTTTGAACATCATCTTGACCTTAGCCGTTGCCGCACGATGTAATGATATTGATGATCCTATCTTTTTAGGCATCAACAGCTTTATCCATCAAGCCATGATCTACTCAGGTGCTGCAGGCGATCTTGGTTCCTTTGTACCTAGCTTGGCCTGGGCTGAAAGATTAAGAGGCACGGAGAAAAAACTACGTGAATTTGTCGAGACCAAACGTGACTCTATCTATGGCATGTTGATTCAAGAAGCCATAAAGAAAGAACAAGATTCATTGGCAAAGGCTATGTATGAAATGAAAGAACAAGGATTGGTTGATGAAGATGATATTCACGTCTTTATGAGTAAAATGGATATGGAAAAGAAAGAAACGCAAAGCTCATCCTCTTTCTATAGGTGATTTGATTGGTGCTGGTGCTGATACTGTTGCTGTTTCTCTTTACTGGACATTTGCTATTCTTGCTCAGAAACCAGAGGTCCAAAAGAAGATTATTGATGAACTTGAAGCTTGGAAGGCCAAGAACCCTGCAGGAGCTATTCCTAATTTCCACAAAGACCGTGAAGAATTTCTATATGCCATTTGTGTACAAAAGGAAGTGATGCGATTCCGTCCAGTGACTAGCTTTGGTGTGCCTCATATGGCTTCAGAAGATGTGATTGTTAATGGCTATCTGATCCCCAAGGGTTCTATACTTGTCAGTAGTATGGCTGCCATGCACATGAATGAAAAGTTTTATAAAAATCCCACAGAGTTCAAACCAGAGCGATTTATGTCCAACACAAGCAGAATGGGTATAGCTGCAAATACAAAGATTGAAGATAGAGATCAGTTTGGATTTGGTTGGGGAAGAAGAATCTGTCCTGGCATTCATTTGGCTGAAGTCGAATTGTTCAACTTCTATGTTCGCTTCTTTGACAGGTTTATTATTGAGCCTGAGCTTGATGCTCAGGGTAAGCCTATACCCATCGATTTAGATGATTATAGTGATGAAGGAATCATTGTCAAGCCTGCTCCTTATAAAATCCGCATTGTTCATCGTCAGAAATAAATAAAAAGTATTTTGCAAAAAGTACTGTCTATTGACTTAATTATACGAGTACCTTCATGACACACCAAGAGTGTAGTTGATGTTGCCTGAAGGTAGAACTCAGCCATGTTTTTTCTCTGGTATGATACTCTTAGCTTCTTTCATTGTTTTACTATATGTATCGCTCTTCATGAACTCGACCGCTAAACCAGTCCTTTATCATATAGCCTAGGGCAGTAATTCTTCTACTGGTTGCGTCAACCGCTGAACTAGGTTTATACTCTCATTCTCTCGCATTTTTAAACAAAATTATGCTGAAGAAGGTACAGTCCGGCTGGTGGATATTGTCGATCACAGCAAAATGCAACTGCCGGTTGCAAAAAATCAAATTGATGGTTCTAAAAAAATGGTTGAATGTCGTTCCTAATTCAAGTCATTAAACAGACTCTTAAAGATGGACATAGTTTAAATATTAACGCAAATAGTAAATAAAACAATCATTTATTAGAATATGTTCAATAAGCGAAATACATATATTGGAGTGTTGTAAAGATCTGGTACTAAAATCGCTGTAAGTAATTCTTGAATATATCCCTATCTCTTCTCCCTCGCTTGAGGGAGAAAAACAACAGTCAAAAATAGAATTTTTTAAGTTAATAAGCAGTTTACGATAAATTCTCATCTTAAGCACGGGTTTTAATCTGAAAAATGGTCAAAAAAGATTCCCCATTAAACACAAAAAGACCACAACTCTGCGTGTCTCGCTGGAAGCTCCTTACCCAACGGCATCGTGGATCGGTTGGCTATCCTCGTATGGATCATAACAAAGCGTGCTATACCTGTTTTTAATCTTGTGCTTTTATTTGCTTATACAAAGAAGGAGAGAAGAGACTCCAAACAATAATAAGCAAGTAAAAAGATTGAAAACAGAAGATGAGAAAGAACATGGGCTTAATTAATGACATATCTGTTGTAGAATTGAAAGAAAATAGAAAAATATCCCCACATGGATTTTATAACCAGTTGATGCTTTAAATATTTTACTACTATTTCGTCATAAGTTGCGTAGGTTGCCGGACACAAAAAAATCTTAAATGGGTTTAAGGCTTTTTGATTGGCCAAAAAAGTTTCTTGACCAGTGAAAGGAAAAGTGAAGCACCAACGCTTGATGAAAAAAGAGACAACATCTTCTAGAATTGGTGATGCATGTAATGATGTTCGCTTTAGCGATCTTAATAGCTTTTACCTTCCATTCCAAACGTCAAATTATAAATCGCTATAAATGAACTCCACTCCAAAGCTTTTCGTTAAATAAGCATCTACTAATTCTAGCTACAAATCAACCGGAATGTTACGAGAACCGGGACGCCATATGATTCTATTAATTGAAACATGGTTAGGAACCTAGCTGCCAATTATATTTTTATTGACCCGACAATCATTTTTTTTAGAACCATCAATTTGATTTTTTGCAACCGGCAGTTGCATTTTGCTATGACCGACAATTACTTTTTTTGTAACCGACAATATCCACCAGCCGGACTGTAGGGGTGACTGTTTATGCATCACTTTAAGCTTATCGTTGCACATTCTACTGTTTTTTTTTTTTTGCCAAAAAAAAATTGCCATGCTTACGTCTGAAGATCTAAAGATTGTTGGCCAATATGTCGATAATGAGCCAGAACAAGATCATAGCGTAGAACAACATGATGATAATAGCAATAATGCATCAACTGAGGTACATTACAACAAAGTAAAAATATTTTACTTAATAATACTTATAGATCAAACCAGATCAACAGCCCATTCAGGATAGTATTGATGCTGCAATCTCAGGAAAGACAAATAACGAAGAAGGCTATGAAAGCAGTGATTTAGAACTGTCGTCAGATAGTAGTAGTGATTCTTCAAGGTAAATCGGAGCAGTCATTATAAGAGAATTATATGCCAATAAGCGTGTATCTAGTGATGAAGAAGAAGAGGAGGAGGGCGATAAAGATGAAGATAAGCCAGAGGATGAAGAAGAGGACGAATTGTATAAAGACGGTGTTGTTAAAACAGCAAATGAAATAACAGAGGTGTTTATTGAAAAGCCAGAGTTTGAAGTTACAGCCGAGACAGAGATCATATTTGCAGGTCATATTTATCAAAAGATTCAAAATGTCATCGTTGTGCAGTCTCGGCCAGGTTCGGAGCACAGTACACTTGACATTGGATCACTGTTGGTATATGAAAATAGAGAAATCATGGGAGAAGTCTTTGAGACATTTGGACCTATTGCTCGACCTTTTTATACAGTCCGATTCAACGATGAGACTGAGTTGATCAAAGAATTGACTATCGTTGGAGCCCCAGTATTTTATGTGCCGTCATATCAAAAGACGCAGATCGTGCCAACAGAAGCACTGAAGAAGATTCAATATACCGATGCTAGTAACGTGTATGATGAAGAGATTGATGAAGATGTAAGTGAGATAAAGAGAGACAATTATAGATATCAACTATATATATATTATAGGAAATGGAATTTTCAGATGATGAAAAGGAGTTGGCTTATAGACAAGAGAGAAACAAACAAAAGAAAATGTAGGTTAAATAAATTTTACACTTGGAGAAATGGTTAACAGTTTGATCATTATAGGAAAAAGAAGAGAGCACTACCAGAAGGACAAGAGACTGGAGAAAACAAGAAAAGACTGAAACCGACACCTAGAGATTTTGATGCCGCGCTAGCATCTTATGAAACTGCTTCATCGCCAATGCCTGCCCGTCAACAACAAAGCTATGCAGACTTTTTCTAATAAATCATCCTTTTTCAACAATAAGCCCCAATTCTTGTATCTTGCTTGACCTTTTCATCCGTTTTCTTTCTCTTTAGGAGAAAGGAAAGTCCTATCTGTCACGTATACATACAAAAATAAAGTTATGCTTTATTATTTCTTGAAGAGCCCTTTCACTTTGTTCAACACGCCTTGATCTTTGTTTTCTTCTTCTTCTTTTTGCTGACCCATTACTTCGTTATATTTTGCTAAACCTGCCTGTAATTCCTGAACCGCTTTCATATCAAGAGTGATACCTGCTGCCTGCATGTCTTGAACAAGCTTCTTTGTTATTTCCTTCACTTCAGGATCACTCATGACCTTGACGATCTATGTTCAATCGCGTTATGAATTGATCAAACATAATAACAAGGATTTTACTTCTGTAAAACTAGGTTGCTTGTTCACATTGATGCCTTTATCTTTCAAAACCTCGGTAAACTTCACCAACTGATCCATAATGTGTGGGTGCTGCGCGATCTTGTCAATCAGTGGATGACTTATACCTTGCTGCCAGTCATGTGACGAAGCAAATGAACGTGTGGTTTGAAGTGCAGCTAATGATCTAGGAGCAACAATTCGAGGTACTGTAGCTCTGTAGAGACAAGGGCGAACAATATTAAGAGTGATTCGGTGCAGCATATTATCAATTTATTAAAAGAAAAAAAAAAAACGAACATTGTCTGAATTTCATGGGATTTTATTACTGCGATTCTATTCAACAATTAGCACCCCAGCTCTCTCTTT